TCATACCTCTATTCCCTCTCTTGGAGATTGTCTTGAACTTTTTCTCAATGTCTGCCTTAAATACCTTAGCATAGACTCAAAGTGAGTATTCCCTGATTTTCTGAGATTTGAAATCTAGCAAACTTAAGAATTTTCAGGGAAAAAAAATCCCTACTTGACTGAAATTGATCACTACCAGTAGCCAGTCTCTGCAGCAAAAAGAAAAGAAAGAAGGGAGGGAAAAAAAAGAGAAAGCTATTGGACTTTGACATGTTTCTTTTGCATTTCTAGTGTCAGCACCAAATTTAAAGAAAAACAAATCTAGTTATATTCAAAAACTCATCTAATTTATGAAGTTGTTTCTTTTTGTCTGTTAACGGTGTGAGTGTCTTAAATGAATGAATAACAACAAAAATGCAACAGAAATGATATTTTGAGGTAATTGCCTTCAGAAATTTATATAAAATGTATGTCACCTATGTACTTTCTTTTCCAGTAGCCTTTCAAGTTTCTTTATGTATATAGTTCTGCATGTTTTTGATATTTCTTCAAATGTGTATTGACTAGTTGTGTTAGTGATTGATGTTATAAAACTGGAAGTGATTCATATCTGCATTAATAATTAATTAGCCTTCTGCTAAAAATTGCTTCTCAGGACCAGCAGTTAGCATAATGGCTATGTCACTGAACTCTCATGTAATCGACTGTGGTTTGAGTCCTGGGTGTGTGTGCGTGCATGCCCAAGATCCCAAGAGGAGAATAGAGGAGAAAGGATTGTGGTGTGGCCATCCCCCCGGGGCGGTGATTTCTCGCTTTCTATCTCTCTGTCTCTCTGTCTCTCTGGTGAGTACACACGCCCTGTAGCAGAAACCTCTCAAAAAAAAAAAAATTGCTTCTTTATGGGACCAGCAGATGGCATTGTGATTATGTTGCTGGACTCCAACATGGCCGACCATGGTTTGCATCTTGGACCTGGAGACTCAAGACACACCAGGCACATCTCTATGTGTGCCCAAAATCCTGGGTGGATTTCAGGTTGGGAGAGAATGGAGGAGAAGTGATGAGGTGTGGCCATCCCCCAGAGGGTGATTTCTCACTTTCTTTCTCTCTGTCTCTCTGCTCTGTCTCTCTGGTGAGCACATGTGCCCTATAGCAAACATCTCTCTTAAAAATTTTGATTTCTTTTTTATTCTTGAGTAAATAATGTTAGTCCAAATTATCATTTTAAATTTTATTTTGTACTAATTTCTTAAGAAAGAGAGCTTACAAAGCACAAATCCACCTTATTCATAGCAATAATTAGGCAATGTTATTTATCAAATAGGCTTAACCTGTAAACCTAAATCTCTTTCGTCTGTACAAAGATGAACTTACCTCATGTAAGGGAGAAAACAGCCATGGAGGCAGGTAAGTCCTTCTATGGAGAACTTCCAGAAGGGAGGCATGTGTGGTATCAGGGGCTCTGAAGCTTGCATGAGAGCACAGTCATGCAGAGAGCAGCTGTGCTTTCTGTGGAGAGGAGGCCTTGCTCCTTCCTGCACGTGGGAAGGTGACCTCTGACACTGAACATTCAGGCTATCTGTGTTTTTCAGACATCTGTGGCTGTGATGGATTTAATATATTTAAGTTAAGATTGAAGCCCACATGAAAATTCCTGTCTGGATTCCTCTGTAGAAAGTGGTTTTGATGTGTGCCTACTTTATTTATGTGACACTGTTTATGTGCATTCCAGTGATCATTAACAAAGGCTGCTTGGTGGAAAACCGTGATTAAAGTGGATTTTAAAATGGCTGTATCAGCTGCAGGTTTGGCAAGACTGCAATGACTTTCTGAGTCTCGTGAAAACCCCTGCATCATCAATTTGTGTTCAGCCAACCTTATGTTGAAAGAAAAGGCAGTTTAGTTAATCACGTGAAAAAAAGGGCAAAAGGAATATTGTAGATTTCATTTGAACCAAGCTTTAAACGTCTACATATGAATGGAAGACCTCTCACTTTTCCTATGCTAGGTATAAGACCCGTTTGTCAGCATATGATTGGTGAATTAGAGCTTGTATTAGTTCCTAGAGCTGCCAAGACATTTACCATAGACCCATAGCTTAAACAAGACTGGGTCTTCACAGGGCCCCTGTGCATGTCTGTGTCCTAATCTTCTAGTTCTATAAGTACACCAGTCATATCGAATTAGCACCCATTTCAACGACCTCATTTAACGTAATCTCTTTAAAGACCCTCCTTAAGATACAGTCACACTCTGAGATACTGGAGGTTAGGACTTCAACGTATGTAGTTTGGAGGGACACAGTTAAGTTCATACTGGGGCTTAAGTGAAGACAAATTGTATTTACTTCTTTCTAGCATCCTTTTCCTCTTTATCAGAGGAATGATTCATTCTTGGTACTGCATTTTGGATTAGATATCTATAAGGATCTCTTCCAAAGCTAAGATTTGTCTGACTAGGTTCCTTGTATTGCTAATAATTATCTAAAGCCCCCTTTATAGTTTGCCTTCTCTCTATTCTGACTTTTATTTATCTTTTTAAGCAATAGGAATTTTTTTTTTGAGCAGTTTCAGTTATATAGAAAACTAAGCAGAGGGACCAGCTGATGACATAATGGTTATGTTGCTGGTCTCCCATGTAGTCAACTGCAGTTTGAGTCCTGGATATGGTGGCTTAAAATTCATGTTCAGCATATGGGCCTGAGTACCCAAAATCCCAGGAGGAGAGTGGAGGAGAAGGGATTGTGGTATGGCCATCTCCCCTGTGGAGTGATTTCTCTTCTCTCTCTATCTCTCTTTGGCAAGTGCACATGCCCTAAAGCAAAAATCTCTCTTGAAAAAAAACCAATAATTTTAAAAAAGAGTGGAAAGTAGAGAATTCCCACATGTCTACTCACTTTCTTTCTCCTCTCCAACTTCTGTAACTAATATCTTGTATTAGTGCAGTCTCTTCGACCAATGATGATCCAATATTAATACATGATTATCAGCTAAGCCCATAGTTTACATTAGGGTTCAGTCGTGGGGGTGTACATTATATGGGTTTTAGCAAATGCGTAGCTACATTACAGTATCATAAAGATACTTAGAATATTTTCACTGCCCTAAAAATCCCCTGTTCTTCCTGACTCATTCTTTCCTCCTACCCCTGAGTCCCTCACCACCACATTATTTTTTACTGTCTCCACAGTTTTTCCGTTTCAGAATGTTATATAGCTGGAATCATATAGCCTTTTCAGATTGGATTATTTCACTTAGAAATATGCATGTAAGACCCTTCTATGTCTTTTTGTCCCTTGAGAACTCGTTTCTTTTTTATCACTGAATAATATTCCATTGCCTAGATTCACCATAGTTGGTGTGTCACTTCATCATGGTATCGAAGGGCTTCTTGGTTGCTCCTGAGTTTTGGCAATTACAGATAAAGCTGCTATACACATCTATGTGCAGGTGTGGACGTCAGTTCTCGGTTTGTTTGCACAAATGAACTGCCAAGGGGCACAATTGTTGGATCATATGGTAAAAGTTCATTTTTCTAAAAAACTGCTAAGCTGTCATCCAAAGATCTGTGCCATTTTGTATTTACATCCACAAAAAATGAGAGCTCCTGTTTTCTACATTCTCACCAGCACTTGATTTTATCAATGTCTTGGATTTTAGCCATTTTAATAAACATGTCGTTGACTGACTTTTTCATATATTCAGATGTATCACTGTGAGAAATACAGTTAACATTACTACTAATGTAATATAATTTGCTATTATCATCCAGAATCCAAACAGAAAAAGACATTGGAAATCAAAGAACAATATTATCACCACTGTACATGATGCAAATTTGTGAGTAGTTTGAGTTTATTTTGAAAACAAATGCCCCAGTAAAATATTCATAAGGCGTACTTCAGATTAATGTGTATAAATAGTTATACTCAAAAGCACAAAGAGACATTGATGATGTATCAGTTCTCTCTAGAAGCACTTTGGGTTTTGAGCAATTGCTGCTGATTCTGTTTAATTTTTTTTTCGAATGTGTGTATTTAAAGGTGTACATCTTGATGACTTACTATACATATCTGCTATGATATAATCACCACAATCACTAGATGGACGTAGTCATCATTTCACATAGTTTTCTGTGTGTGTGTGTGTGTGTGTGTGTATATATTTTTGGGCACACACATACAGTGAGAACACCTAATATGGTGACACAATGATACTCCAACTGGGCCCACTTAGGAAGGTCCCAAGCTCACATCCCAGAGCCCCCTTAGACCTGAGGGGCACACGTCTGTGATCAGAGTGGTTGAAAGTGAGGATGGATTGCAGTGCGAGGAGCTATTGGGGGTGTGTGACTTGCTGCCTCTTTCTGTCTGCCTGTCTTAATCTCTTTTGTTCTCATGGAGAAAATACACTTTAAAAATAATTCTAAAGAAATCAGCAGTTAGTGTAATGGCTATGTCGCTGGACTCCCACATAGTCGACCGCGGTTCGTGTCCTGGACCCGGTGGCTTAAAACTCACGCTGGGCACGTGTGCGTGTGTGCCCAAGATCCCGAGAGGAGAATGGAGGAGAAGGGATTGCGGCATGGCCATCCCCCCTGGGGGGGTGATTTCTCGCTTTCTGTCTCTGTCTCTCTCTCTCTGTCTGGCAAGTGCACACGCCCTATAGCAAAAACCTCTCAAAAAAAAATAAAAGAAATGACTCTGGTTAAAAAAAAAAATTTCTAAACACAAAGTTACCCTCTGGTATATTTCTGGTATACAGTACTGTATTGTTACCTATGTTACCTATAGTCACATTAGATCTTCAAAACTTACTGCATAACTAACACTTTGTGTAACTTAACCTTTCTATCTCGTAACCAGCATCTCTCCAGCCCCTGGTAGCAGTCATTCTGCCCTCTGCTTAAATTAATTGGGCTATTTTAGATTCCATGTATAAGAGAGATCATGCCATATTTCTCTTTCTGTGTGTGATTTATACTGATTCTGGGATTGAAATTTTTTGGTGTCTTCGTTTCAGGTCTTCCAAGTTGCATATGTCATCATTAAAGCTGCCAATGCACCCCGACCTGGAAACTGGATTTTGGAGCGTTCTCTGGATGGTACCACATTCAGCCCCTGGCAGTATTATGCAGTTAGTGACACAGAGTGTTTGACGCGGTATAATATAACTCCAAGACGTGGGCCGCCCACCTACAGGGCGGATGATGAAGTGATCTGCACCTCATACTATTCTAGACTGGTTCCACTTGAGCATGGAGAGGTACTGTACCAATGCAATGATAAGTTTCTTCACCAGAGCCCTCCTCAGTGTTAAGATAGTCAAATTAAGAGCCAACATTAAATACTCAAAATTCAGTTCTTTCAATATAAAGACCCTTAATATAACTATTCAGAACAGTCTTGAATATGTCCATTATGATTCATTTCAGTATGGATATATCGTATCATATTGATTTATTCCCTTTAAAGAGAACCCTCAATCTTGAGGGGCCTCAAAATGATGATTTAATAACTCTACCAGATCCTCCTTCGGTGCAACTTTCCCATAAGAGGGCAACGACATTTGCTAAAATATTCAAGACAGAGATAAAATGCCTCTAGAAGATACTAGAGGTCTTAAAACAGTTCATGGGAAATGTGTATTATGAAAACACTATGTATGGACTTCAAAAACTTGTTTACACTGATGTAAACCCATACTTTAATGCCATCTTTTTATGTGTTTTTTGAAGTCCTTTCATGTGCCTCCCAATTTTCTCCTTGAAGTTCTCCTTGTCTTTGGAGGGCATTGAGGACCACAAGATGTTCACAAAGTCTTACAGCTCAGCTCTGACTTCACTAAAGTCAGAGTGTAATGAAAAACAATCCATTTTTTAGTAGCACTGGCTTGATGAGATAAAACTACAAAGCGCTCTTCACAGCAGGAACACTGAAGCAAGCCCTACATTGTTTCAAGGGTAGAAATTAATAAAGAGTGGGTATAATTAAGATGTTTGGCACATTTTCCTTGCTCTCTATTCATGACATGTAGAATTTGCTTCAGAACAGTGGTAGGCTAATGACAGATGATAAATATCTTTACCACAATGGCAAATGTCATCCTGTTAAAAGTTTCCAGTGGTTCTAAGACACTGGAATAGATAGCATCAATGTATTGAAAATATAGTGAGATTATGCTAATTAATTGGTAATTAACCAATATTGGATTTTTACAAGATCCTAGTATTTTTTAAAATAGTATTTTTGTCAAATTTTGTCCAGAAGGTAAACAACCAGAACTACATGAAGAGTCTTCAAAAAGCATATTAAGAAAAAAGCTATGCATGGATTTAAAAAATTGTTTAAATTTAAATTGTGTACCCAAATATATTCATACTTTAATGCCATATTTTCAGGGTCTTTTTAAAATTCCTTCATATTTTTGCATGCTGAAAACTGATATTTGTTATTTTGATGTCTTCATCTTCAGATTCATACATCACTAATCAATGGCAGACCAAGTGCAGATGATCTTTCCCCCAAGTTGTTGGAATTTACCTCTGCAAGATACATCCGCCTTCGCTTACAGCGCATTAGGACACTCAATGCAGATCTCATGACTCTTAGTCGAAGAGACCCTAAGGACCTTGATCCTATTGTTACAAGACGAGTGAGTATATGACAGTGCTCTTGATCAGTGTAAAATTTTAATTTTAAATAAAGGCAGTAGTCTTTTCTTTTCTTTTCTTTTTTTCTGATTGTTGTTTTCCTCTTAGGTTGACCTTTATTTCTTCCCAACTGTTATATCCTTATTTTATTAAAGACCACTAGGTATGATTTGTTACAGAGCCACCTTTAAGCTAGGTAACATCATTGTCATCATGTCCTCAGGCCTTCTATCTCTGCCCATCCCCAGAGTGCCATAATGTTGTGAGTATAAGGGCCTACATTCTGGTCTGATTCCACATCCGATTTTTATCAAGTGATTTTTTTTGGTTGCTTTTAATATCAAATTTTATACTTTAAGAAATAATTTACATCCAGGAACATGTATTGATTTTATATGTTTAATTAAGTATACAGGGTTTTTGTCAGAATATTGTCATATGCCTTGATAACTCAGGAGGATAATTATTAGGTAATAGGATATGTAAAATTTTTTAAGACACTGCTTCTCTTTTATCAAAAGTAATTTCACTGTTTTACCATCAAACCAGTAGCATGTGAGAGATCTGCTTGTATCATATTTTTTCAAATACTTAGGGTTGTTAGCCATTGTTCTAATGTATGTGTTTTGGCATCTCCTTGTGGTATTACTTGTATTTCTTGAGTGACTTATGTCGAACATGTGGTTGTTAATATCTTATCCCATTATTTGTCGATTTTTAAATTGGTCTATCTTTTCATTTGTTAGTTCTAAAAGATCCTTATATTTTTTGTACAAGTTCTTCACCAAATGGGAAAAATCTTTTCTCTGTCTTGAATTTTCTTATTCATGTTCTTAACTATGACTTTTGAAGAGATTTTCTTTTAGATTAAATCCAATTTATCATTTTTTCTTTGATGATTATGTTTTCTGTGTCCTTTCAGAACAAATATTTGCGTATCCCATTATCCTGTGTTTTCTGCTAGTGGCTTAGTAGTTTTAGCCTTTGTATCTTAATTCATCTCAAATTAATTGTTTGGTGTGAGGTAGGAATTAAACTTTCTTTTCCCCCATAGGCATATATAGTTGTTAAAAATACTTTCCTATCTTCCATTAAATTCAAAACTATTTGGCCATATTATTGTGGCTCTATTTCTGTACTCTTTAGTATTCTATTGATCTATTTGTCTATCTATATGCCAAGAACTTACTTACCATACCTTGATTGTAAGTCCTGAGGTAACATTATGCTCTAGCTTAGCTCTTTTTCAAGACTGTCTCTGCTCTTCTAGATTTACTATATTTCCTTATAAATTTTAGAATAAGTTTATTCATCTTTACCCAAAAATAGTCAAAACCTGCTAAGGTTTTCAGTGGGATTCCATTAATTCTTTAGATCAATTTGGAAAGTATTTTGAAAGATATTTTAACAATATTGAATCATCAATCCACAAACATACTATCTCTGTCCACTTATTTAGGTTGCTATTCCTCTTGGCGATGTTTTACTGTTTATTTGTAAAGCTCTTGTTCAGTAATGCAGGAAAAAGAAATCAAAGGGATACATCGTGCACAGTTAGATTAAACCATTGTTCTTTGTAGGTAACAGGTACTGTGCACATAGAAAAGCCTATTAAACAACTGCTGGAAATAAGTGAATTCAGCAGTGTTACTATGGATAAAATCAAGCAAAAACAAATTGCATGAAAAATAAAATCTAAAAAGGTGTTTTGTAACACTAGTGTGCAAAAATATAAAGAAGTAGTAAGAGGAGATCCTAAGAGGAAAGTACTTTATTCTGTTAATGAGGTGATTTACCTTCTTTTATTTGTATGTGTTAGATTAACTTTGCACTCTTGAAGAAGTTCTACTTGGTTATGATATAGTATCCTCTTTATATGGTGCTGTATTTAATCTGCCCTTTTTGGGGGGAAGAAGGGGGAGAAAGAAAGTAAGGGGGCTATTTTTGACAGAAGCTCAGTGTGCTGCCAGTCCTCTGCCTCAGTTAGCTAGGACCACAGGAGCATGCCCCCACACCTAGCCTGCAAACACTGAGCTGGGAACAAAAGCCAGACTTTCCACTGTAACTGGGCATAAGTTGGGAAGTTCTTTGAGACTTTTTTGGTTTTGTCAAAGAGCTAATTTGAGAATTATTTCATTGGGTTGTTGAAAAAGTCATGATGCCATTTTTGCATAGAAAAACATGTCATGACTTTTCCAAAGATGACCAATAATTGATTGCAAAGATACTTTGTGCATGAAACATAATTTACATATATATGTGTGTGTGTGTGCATATATATATATAATTATTTTTTTGATTATCAATAACAACTCTTAAACCACCAGAGACCTTAACCCACTTAACCAACTTAAACACCATATGTGGGCTGCCAGGAATTTCTAGTCACTAAAATAAAAAAGGTGTTAACATTGTTTGTAACTTTCTTTCTTTCTGTAGTATTACTACTCAATAAAAGACATTTCTGTTGGTGGGATGTGTATTTGCTATGGACATGCTAGTAGCTGCCCATTGGATGAAACTACAAAGGTTGGTTCTAGGATTTTGCATTTTACTGAAACTTCAGAATGGAAACTGTAGCTAGAATGTACACATTACTTGTTTTAATAAAAGGCAAATGTTTAGATATAAAATTATGCTGCAAAAATATATGTTTAATTGGTTTTACTTTTTAAATATCTTTATTTTACTTTGTTTGGAGGATATATTTCTAATTAAGTCCTTACTATGATTTTGAATTTGGAAAAAAGATCCATAACATAAAATGTATCATTCTAAACAATTTGCAGTGTCCAATACTGTGACTGTATGGATTTTGAAACTCTTCTTTCTCAAAAGATAGTCAAGAAAAAAACTTATGAAACTATAATGTTAACTTTTTTAAAAGGGGGTTCACTGTATCCCATTTTCTCTCCTTCCATTCTCGCGTTACTAAATCAAAATAAAAGAAAGGGTATCTGTTTTAGCATATTACTAGGTAAATAACATGACATCTACTTTTGGAACATTTCTTGGGCCGGCTAGGTAGCGTAGTGGTAAAGGTGGCTGGATCCCATATAACTGACTGTGCTTAGAGTCCCAACCTAGTGGCTTGAGAAACACCCCGGGTGCATGTGTGCTTGCCCAAAACCTTGAAAGGAGAATGGAGGAGGAGGGATTGTGGTATGGCCATCCCGAGGAGGAGTGCTTTCTCTTTCTCTCTCTCCGTCTCTCTCCAGCACACATGTCTTATAGTAAAAACAAAAACAAAACAAATAACACTCACTTCTTATTTACCCCTTGAGTAGGATTTTTTCAAATTTAATTTATTTTTATTTCTATCGTGAGAGTGAAAGTCAGAGAAAGAAGTAAGAGAGAGAACCTTCAACAGTGTCATATGCTCTGGCCCCACACTCCAGCAATTATGGGCCCACTTGCCCAACGTTTATGGGTCAACAAGAGAACCAAACCCATGGTCTTCCACGTGGATCCAACATCACTTGGGCAGTATGTTCATGCTGCACCACCAGCCCAGCTCATGGATTGTTCTATTTTTCATGCTGAAAATATATATAGATGAACATCAAGAAAATTATCATAGGAGCTTCCAACTCCTTAACATCAATGTATTTTTTTTAGAAATGTTTTTGTTGTTAACTCATATTTTAATTTTGCTTTCTTTTCCCTCACTTCTTTTTTTTTTCTTTGGAGAGGTTTTTTGCTATAGGGCGTGTACGCTCGCCAGACAGACAGAAAGAGACAGAAAGACAGAAAGCGAGAAATCACCCCCCAGGGGGATGGCCACGCCACAATCCCTTCTCCTCCGTTCTCCTCTCGGGATATTGGGCATGCACGCACACGCTCCCGGTGTGAGTTTTAAGCCACCGGGTTTGGGACGTGAACCGCGGTCAACTACATGAGAGTCCAGCGACATAGCCATTACGCTAACTGCTGGTCCCCATCACTTCTTTTTGTAACCAGGTTGTATGTATATATTTTTCTCTAAAATATAGATGCCATTTCATTTTGTTCGCTATGTCATGTATGTTTGATTATGAAGTCTTGCCACATGTTTGACTATGTAGATCCTTTTTATAATAAAATTAAGAAAAATAAGCAAGTAAATTTTCCAATCATATTTTGCATTCTTATTGTTCAGAAACTACAGTGTCAATGTGAACATAATACCTGTGGTGAGAATTGTGACAGGTGCTGTCCTGGGTACCACCAGCAGCCATGGAGACCTGGAACCGTTTCATCTGGAAACACCTGTGAAGGTAAATGCTTTAAAAATGTGGAGAATGTGGTTGTTTTCCTCTTAATATGGTTAGGTTTATGGTGGCTTTAGAGATTTTATAATTGGTATGTAATTGCCTTCTCAGAAATTCAAATAGTTTCCAAAGCTGTAAATTATCTTAATAAAGTTTAAGCTATTGAGGATTAAACGTGTCTCCATATTAGCAACTTGAAATGCCACTTTTATCAACATTTACACAGTGTTCCATTATATGGATGTGCTATAATTTATTTAAACAGCTACCTATCGAGAGGTATTTTGGTTGTTCCCAGCCTGCTAATGCAAACACTGGTGCAGTGATTAGCCCTATACATGTCATTCACAAGTGTACAAGTGCTTGTGCAAAAGATGATCCTAGAGATGGATTACTGGGTCAAATGGGTATGCACACGTATTATTATATTATGTTTTGCTTTTTAATTTTTTTTGCCAGAGGCTGTGCGCAGTCACTGAAGAGAGACAGAGAAAGAGGAAAAGTAAGAAAGCCCTCCCATGGGGCACGGTTGTATTGCTGGCGCTTTTCCTCCATTTCTCCCTCTTTTCAGTATTTTGGACACATACGTCTATGCACCCAGTGTGATTTTCAAGCTGCCCTGTCTAGGACTCTATAATTGTGCATGTGGGATCCACCATTTTAACAACTAGGATCAGAATATATTATTTTTATCTTCATTTTTAAATTTTTACTAGAGGGTGTATGCACTTGCTAGGGTGAGACAGAGAGAGAGAGGGAAAGTGAGAAAGCAGCCCCCATGGGGTATGATCATACCGCGTTCCCTTCTCCATTTCTCCTATTAAGATATTGGGCATGCACGCACATGCACCTGTATGTTTTTCAAGCCACCGGGTCTAGAACTCGAACTGCATAGTTAGCCATTTAGAATTCAGCTATCTCAACCACCACACCACTGGTTGGTTCATATGCATTATTTTAATAGCACTACCCATTGTCCTACGTAATATGAAAGATCTTTAAGATGTCCATTCACGAACTTCTTATGTATTATGAAAAAATTATGCTTGCAGATTTTTGCATTCTAATAAACTTGTACGGTAATTCCATGTTTCTACAAACTTTTTGACGTCCTCTGGTATTATCTATATCCTATTTAAGTTTCTAGAATTTTCATTCAATTTGGAGTCATAGGAACACTTAGAGAAATAAGGGTTTTCTTTAGATAGGACGAGATGTGTACACTAATTGAGATGCTAAAATATTTTCCTAGAATGTAATTGTCACAATAAAGCCACGGACTGTTATTATGATGAAAATGTTGCGAATCAGAAGAGAAGTTTGGATACTGCTGGACAGTTCAGAGGAGGAGGGGTTTGCATAAATTGCTTGCAGAACACCATGGGAATCAATTGTGAAACTTGTATCGATGGGTACTACAGACCACACAAAGTAAGAATATTTCTTGGCCATAACAGCTTGTCTTCCTGAGGTTCAAAAGAGACTTTGCCATGTGTCGGCTTCTATGTTGGAGACTCATGTTCTGTCATAACATTTTATTTATATTTCTGTTATGCCAGTTATGTTCTTCAAATATCTATTTCCTACTCTAACCTATTTTCTTGCTCAAGGTAGAATGTCTGTTCATTGTTTAACTTGAACTCGGGGGCTCTTTGTTGTCAATCACAGATAATGCTAGCTATAGATGTGAAGATTCAGTCAGTAACTAAAGAAGCTGTTTCTTGCCCATAGAAGGTGTGCTGTCAGCTCTCAGTTGACTTAAGATGTGCTTGTTAACGTAGGTATTTGTGGTGGTCTGGTCATACCCAATGCTCGGTATGTGGCTCTGAGAGAGAGCAGGGAGAGCAAGCCCAGGTAGCAGTGGTAATAGGCAAGGATGACAGTTTGCTAATGAAACAACCTGCTGTTACCAACAAAAAAATGTTTGGGGTTTCCTGGATCAAGATCACCTTATATTTCTGAGACCTAAACCCTTTGGGACACCTTGAACAAGAAGCTGATACTTTGTCATTAGTATTTTTGTTGATATCATTACTCATATTTCTGTTATTTCTATTAAGATAATCCAGGACAACCTCTGTGTTTCAGGTTTCTCCTTATGAGGATAAGCCTTGCCGTCCCTGCAACTGTGACCCTGTGGGGTCTCTCAGTTCTGTCTGTATTAAGGATGATCTTCATTCTGACTTACACAATGGTAAGTGCTCAGTTCACTTTTCTGTTTGTAATTGAGTTTTTAAAGTTTATTTATTTTTCCATAAGTAAGTAAGAGAGAGAGAGAGACAGAGACCCAGAGAAACCATGCCTCAACAGGGTCTCATGCTGTGACCTGTCCCCAGTTTCAGTCCGTCTCTGATCATGGGCATGTGTATGCCCTTGTGTGTTTGGGGAGGTCTGTTGATTTGAACCTGGAGCCTTTCCATGTGGATCAGCTTTGCTGAGTATTGTGATACAACAGTATAACACTACTCCCTTGTTTTTCTTTTGTGGAAGATTTTTTCTTTTTTCTTTTTCTTTTCTTTTTTGGTTTTTTTTTTTTTTTTTTTTTTTTTGAGAGATTTTTGCTATAAGGTGTGTGCACTTACCAGAGAGACAGAAAGTGAGAAATCACCCCCATCGGGATGATTGCAGTGATGGCCATATTGCAATCCCTTCTCCTCTTGGGGTTTTGGGCATGCACATAAACATGCCAGGCTTGCGATTCAAGCCACTGGGTCTGGGACTCAAACCGCATTCAGCGCTGTGGGAGTCTAGTGACGTAAACATTATGCCACCTGCTGGTCCCTGGCCTGTGCTTTGGTGGAAGATTTATTTATACATGGTGGAACTACTAATGTGTAGCAATTTGGTGAGATGAGATTTTTGTTCACTAGATATTTACCAAGCACGAGCCAGGAAGTTCTCCACACCTAGGAATATATTCTTGAACAGGTTGGTCAAGATTCCTGCTCACAGGTAGACAGTAAACAGTACAGGGGAATTCAATGCCAGGTGAGGATAGTGCCGTGGGCATGAAGCAAAATAAAGACTGGTGATTGGAGGGAGATGGGCTATGGGGTGACAATGCTGGAGTGAAATGGCATTTGAGCAGGTAATTGAGCATTTGATGGAGGCAGAAATAAGGTTCAATTTAAAGCAGTGTGTGGAACATAGTAAATAGCAATTGCTCTATTTACCTCGTAGAAGACACTCGAAGGGCTTTTGCATACATCATCTCACGAAGCAAGCAAATCCTCCAGTTAACTTGGTAAATGTCAGTGTTCTTTCTGTTTCAAAAACCCACAAATGGACTTGCAAATACCAGTCTCCTGAATAGCTTGCATCTGTTCAAAGACATCTGTGACCCCATCAAATTCTCAGCCACTGACAGTGGATATCAACTGGATATTGACCCAAAGGGATGAATGTGCAGCTATGGGAATGTGAAGGGAAAACATGACATGATTTATATGTGCTACCCATGACGGGGCAATGATGATGGTGATGGTAGCAATTACCCTGCCTGGGTTCATTTAAAAATGTGTCATTTAAGGTTTTCAACCCAAGTGGGTAGAAATTCTTTAACCCCTTTTATAGGCAAGGAAACTGCAGTACAGGGCAGTTAAGAAACTCGGTCAAGGTCAGATGACTAAAAAGTTTCAGTGGCTTTAAAAGTAAAGATGGTGCTGGGTCAACCTGGATGTACAGTGGTTAAGTGCTGTGCACGGAGAGCTGGATCCCATATGGCCAACCATAGCTTAACCCTGGCCTCAGCTGCTTGTGACAGCTGAGTATGAAAGGCATGTGTGCATGCATACTCTGAATCCTGATGGGATGGAGAAGTGGAAGAAAGAGGACTGTGGCCAGACCACATCTCACTGGACAGTGCTTCCTCTCGCTTTCTCTCTGGTGCATGCATGCTTTCTCTGGCAATAAAAGGGAAAATAAACAAGTGAAAATAAAGGATTTTTTTTAAGGCAAAGATAGTACTTGCTGCCCACTAGCTCTTCCCTCTGTGCTTCTTATAAAAACAGTTTTCTGAGGCCAGCAGTTGATGTAGTGGTTAAGGCACTGGACTCCCATGTGGTTGACTACAGTTGGAGTCCTGGACCCAGCAGCTTAAAATTCATGCCTGGTACATGTGCAGGTGTGCCCAAAATCCCAAGAGGAGAAGGGAGGAGAAGGGATTGTGGGGTGACCATTCCCTCTGGAGGTGATTTCTTGCTTTCTGTCTCTCTAGTGAGTGCAGGTGCCCGATAGCAAAAATCTCTTTCCCCCGAAACAAGAGAAAAAAAAAAACAACAATTTTCTAGTTTACTACCATGTAAAGTCTACAAGTTAATTATAGTCCTTACATTTTTAATAATTGAGTTACATAATCATATAATTAAACGATATAATTTTTATACTTAGATTATAATTATATTTTGATGTTTTCTTCTGTATTCATGGATGCAACCATCAATCAACAATGTCTTCTAATAGGAAGACATTTTCATCAACCCTTAAAGGAATCCTTTACCTATTAGTAGTCCCTCCCCATTTGCCTCTATATCTTCCCCCTTCAGCCCTATAACACTAGGAATTCAATCATCTTTTTCTCTATAGGATTGCTAATCTGAACATTTTATATAAGTGGATAGAATACAAGGAACTTCAAAAAGATCATGGAAAATGGAATTAAAGTACAAATTTAGTTTGGTTCAAAAAAGTTTTGAAATTCATGCATAGTTTTTTTTTTAAGCATTTTTACTGTAGGACACGTGTGCTCTTATGATCATCAGAGAGTGAGAGACAAAGAGACAGTGAGAGAGAAAGTAAGAAATCAGTCCCCTAAGAGGGATGACCACACTACAATCCCTTCTCCTCCATTCTCTTCCTGAGATTTTGGGCATGTGCACACACACTCCTAGCATGATTTTCAAGCCACTGGAGCTGGGACTTGAACTGTGATCAGCTACGAGGGAGTACACAACACCTTAACCACTATACCACCTGCTGGCCCCTGCATAGTTTTTGTTTGTTTGTTTGTTTGTTTGTTTTTAATATGCATTTTCCATGATGTTTTCAAGACTGTGGAGTTCCTGCGACTGACTGTTTTCATTCAGTACTATGTTTTTTAGAGGTCATCTATGTTGTAGCATGTTATCAGTATTTCATTCCTTATTATTGCTGAATAATATTTCATAGTGTGTAGATACCATGTTTTATCAGCTGCTGGACATGAGAGTTTTTCTACTATCTAGTTATTATCAGTCATGCTACTGTGAACATGAGCAAGTTCTTCTGAGGCTCTATGTTTGCAGTTTCCTTGAGAACAGAATTGTTGGGTCACATGCTAACTCGATACTTACACCATGACTTTGAAATAATGCCGAACTATTTTATAAAGTTGCTGCGCTATCTTACATTCCCACCAGCCCCTGTGGATCTCATCTTTGTTTTCTTTCTTTAAGTCAGAAGGTGGAAACTATGACCCATAGGCCAAATCTCACTCCCTGTTTCTGTGGAACACGGCCATCTGCCATGTGTTGCCTGTGACTGTGTTCAAGCAATCATGGCGGCTGAGTTGAGCAGTTGAAAAACAGAGACTGTATGACCAAAAAGCCCAAATATGCAGGCTGGCTTATTAAAGGGGAAATTCTGTCAATCACTGCATGTTGCCATTATGTTTTCTCCAGGGAAGTGGCCAGGTCAATGTCCGTGTAAGGAAGGGTATGCAGGAGAAAGATGTGATCGCTGCCAACTTGGCCATAAGGGTTACCCAAACTGTGTCCGCTGTGACTGCAGTCTGGCTGGCAGTGTGAACAACGACCCGTGCACAGAGCCGTGTCTTTGCAAGGTGAGTGTGGAGGTCCGAGAGGCCCCTGAGTTTCTTTGAGAGTCTCTGAAAAAGGAATGCATCCTATTGGCTCAGATGGCGAGTTCTTTTAGTTATGTCTTCCACAAGAAGGAGAGCTAGAGAGAGACAGAGAGATAGATATCCCCAACACTCTTCACACTGCAGTCCACCGTTAGTCTCAACCAGGCTGGATCACAGGCACGCTCATGCTTATTTGGTGTGTGACAGAGATCCCAGGATATGAACTCAGACCCTTTCCCATGTGAATCTAGTTGCATTACCACTGAGCCACTGCCTACCCCCTCAGATGATCAATTGTTCTTTTGTTTGTTTGTTTGTTTTTTAAGAGGTTTTTGATATAGGACGCATGTGCTCGCCAGAGAGAGAGAAAATGAGAAATCACCCCCCGTGGGGAATGGCCGTGCTGCAATTCCTTCTCCTCCATTCTCCTCTCTGGATCTTGGGCACACACACACATGCACCTGGCATGAGTTTAAGTCACCGGGTCTGGGATTCGAACTGTGGTCGACTACATGGGAGTTCAGCGACATAGCCGTTAGGCTAACTGCTGGTCCCAGATGATCGATCTTTGAGCAAGGCAGTAAGATTAAAGCAGAATGCTTGCTTCCTTATTCCCATTCTCAAGAACCATAGCAAGTTGCACACCTAGCTGGCCATATTATATGTTCTGAGACTTAGATGGGCACCTAGTTTCCTGGTTTGGTGCCTTTGAGCAATGGCTGTGTATCCCAAAGATATTTCTATGATGTCTTAAGTGAAACCAAACACTGCACACTATTTCTTAGGCTTTGCTTAATTCTCCTATGACATTCTTTTCCAGCTGGGTGTTTGGAGGAAAACCAAGTAAATACTAAATTTCTAAGAACACTAATTAAAGATGGATATGTTATTTTGGATTTATTTTTAAAAGGAATTGAAGAATAATAAGAAATGCATTAATATGGTACCAATGAATGTTTAATTTATCCATCTGACGTTAATAACAGTTTCCCTTTAATTCATAGGCTTTCCCTTAGAACCTTATGTGCGTATCCCCATATTAGCAATCTCAGGCGTATGTCATATATGACCAAAAATCCTTCCTGTTTATGAATAGGACAGTGACGTAGCCCTCATCAGATTTCACAGTGCTTCTATCAGCAACATAAAAGATTTAAAACCAAACCAAACAAGCCACTTAAATATAGTCGCCCAGCTTTAAGACCCTTATCTTGTTCTTGACTACAAGATCCAAAGTTATTTATTTCAAACTACCTCTTCTGGAAATATTGATTTGATGAAGCTTCACATTTATTTTAAGGTGTTGATTTATTTATTTACCTGGTTCTGTGGATTGCTGAACACCTTGCTTGTTAATGTTGCTTTATTTTATCTACACCCGTTGGTTTCAAAGCTAATCTTTTACTCTCCCTTGCAGAAAAATGTTGAGGGAAAGAACTGTGATCGTTGCAAGCCAGGATCCTATAACTTGAAGGAAAGCAACCCGCAGGGCTGCTCTGAGTGCTTCTGCTTCGGTGTTTCTGATGTCTGCGACAGCCTTTCTTGGCCGGTTGGTCAGGTGAGAGGCACGAGCAGGGATTTAAGAAGCAGGTGGTCTCACATGAGCTCGGTGAAGCAGTGAGGCTGACTTTCCCTGGGGTACTGGCTCTTCTCTTTGAAACAACACTGGCATGGGTCAAGGCAGCCACTACTGAAATTGTCCCTAAACTTTCTTGATAAGTCAAGTTTTTATTTCCACATACCTTTCTCTGTGGAAACAGTAGGATGATATGGTATTGTAGAATGCATTGTGTTTAAATGTAGTCCGTGGGGAAATGCATGGTGTGAGGAGGGCAGATCTCACTCCACCTGCTCCACTGGTCTCATGCCAAGAAGCACATCAGGACATGGGGTCATAAGAATGGCCCAACTAGAAGAAGCTGGGCAGGAGCTCTCTAGTGGTAAGAGTGGATACCACAGTAAGCAGCACAGGGCTTATGAGGGCAGATACGTTGTTTTGGTAATGGGGAGTTCTGGAAGGATGAGTTTTAGAGAGATGCCAAAGATAACCAGGGAAGGAGGCAGTGTGTGAGGGCTGGAGGTTAGAGAAGAACTGCCCACATGGGACATATCCACTGGTGATTGCTGTGCCACCTTATTGGGTAGCACTTGTCTTCTCTATGTAGGTGACAGATTTTGAGCATATGATCTGAAGGTCACTTTTTTTTTTCTTTTTAAGATTACTTATTTATTTCTTGAGAGAAAGAGAGAGAGAACACCCCCAACAGAGTTTTTGTGTTGTGATCCACTCCCAGCCTCAGCCAGCCAGAGTCATGGCGTGTATGTGTTCAGTGTGTGCAGGGAGACGTTGGGACACAAACCAGGACCTTCTCGGTTGGTCCAACATGGTGGAGCTTTGTATTACAGCTGTGCCACCATCTGGCCCTGGAAGTTATTTTTCCACACTTTTCAGTATTTGGGTAAAAATCAGGGCAAGAAAGGGAAGTCAGTTAGCAAAGACTTTGTATTCAATACAGTTATTAAGTTCTTTGCTATTTTTATATCTAAATATGCATCCATGGCCTTATGGTTTTGCTTATATATTTGCTTATAATTGATCTGAATGTGGGGGAATGTTTAACTTGTTCTCAAATTTCCAGGTGTTTTGACAAGCAAAAAGGTCACAGATCATGCATTTTGATGGCGACAACTGTGTGAACTCCACCCATATGGAAGCTTTCTGGCTCTATCTCTTCATTGTGAAAATATTGGCACAGGACTGGATTACATCTAAAGTTATTTCTATTGCATATTCTAATTTGTATTGCATTTTCTTTTTAAGGTGAATGACATGTCTGGGTGGATGGTCACCGACCTGATCAGTCCGAGTAAGATTCAGTCTCAGCAGGATGTGCTGGGTGGGCACCGTCAGGTCAGCATCAACAACACAGTGGTCCAGCATAGGCTGGCCTCCACATATTACTGGTCAGCCCCCGAGGCCTACCTCAGAAATAAGGTACGTGTGTTGCTGGATGTAACACTATACTGGCCGAAGATATCAGAGAACAGTATGAAAGAAATTCTGTTCACATTTGAAGTAGTCTTGTTTTTGTTAGGAATTTCTGCTATAGGGTGTGTGTGCTTGCTGGAGAAACAGAGAGAGAGAAAATGAGAAATCGCCTCCTGGAGAGAGCCGTCCCTCAATCCCTTCTCCTCCATTCTCCTCTCAGGATTTTGGGCACACATTCACATGCACCTGGCATGAGGTTTAAGTCACTGGATCCAGGACTCAAACTGTAGTCGACTACATGGGAGTCCAACAGCACAACCATTATACCATCTACAGGTTTCCCTATTTGAAGTAATCTTATAGGTCGCTTAGTGTTTGACAGCTCCCAGCTGCCTTAACTACCATGCCACAGGCTCCTCTGGCTTTTTATTTATTTATTTTAAGAGAGTTTTTTTTTTTTTTTTTTTTTTTTTGCTATAGGGTACATGTGCTTACTATAGAGACAGAGAGAAACAGAGAGACAGAAAGCGAGAAATCACCACCACCATCCCCAGGGGGTTGGCCATGCTGCAATCCCTTCTCCTCCAGTCTCCTCCTGGGATTTTGGGCATGCACACACATATGCCTGGCATAAGTTTTAGGATGCCGAGACCAGGACTCGAACCACGGTCAACTATGTGGGAGTCCAGTGACGTAACCTTTATGCCATCTGCTGGTCCTGGGGGTATTCACTTTTGAGCATGATTTTTTTTTTTCTAACAAATTATAATCCTAGAACATGTACTCCATTTATAATGTGATCTTATCATCAAAGATCAATGACCTTTTTTCTCTTGGGCTCATCTCCAATTTTGTGTAAAGTTTGATTTTGAACATTATTTGGCTGTAAGATACACATCAGAAAGAAAAATCTCTATTTTAATATTAAAAGATATCTGATCAGGGAAAAATACCTTTAGTCCTTCCTTTATTTAGCAGATCAAACATGTTACTTATTGTCCTCCTGCAAGTAGGCAGTGAAATTGAAGTGTTGAGATTATAGTCATAGGCGAAACTCTCTGCCTCCTAAAATATTTAAGTGAAATAAATGTTTGTTGTATGATTAACAAAAGTTTACAGTCATTTACCATGGGGTTCTCTAAGAAGGAGTGCCTTTTTCTTCTATGCATTTAAAGATGGCCTGCATTTTGATAACATCCAACTAAATAAATTATTCACATAATGTGCTTCTTTTTCACTGCCTTTAATGTGGATTTCCTTATATATTGTGGGCACTGGGCTAGCTTACAGTCCAGCTATTTCCAGAAGGATCCTAATGATCCATTTGTTCAAACTCAGGGCTCTCGTTAGTCTCCCTTTGGAGGAACTAATGAACACTCTCATTTTAACATTTCAGCTGACTGCATTTGGCGGCTTCCTGAAATACACGGTGTCTTACGACATTCCCGTGGAGACTGTGGGCAATGATCTCGTGTCTCACGCTGACGTCATCATTAAGGTAACTGTTTTGGCATGGCTTTGCAATACAGTTTAGGGCTTAGTGAGGTGATCATTTTATAACTAAACGCATCTAGATGAGGACATTCCAGCCAGGAGATTGTGGCCAGGTGGCCATTCAGCAGTGTTTGGCCTTGGGTGAACACCTCTGAGATGATAGGTGTGAAAATCTGACTTCGGACCCATTTCTAGTGGTTCCTCAGGACAATTCACATTGTTCTTCTCTTCATCCCTAAGATTTGCCTGTATTTTCATTTTAAAAAGGGAGCCCATGATCCAGATGATGGCATGACATTTGCACACCTGGGTCCCCAGTTTGCACCCAAGACCTCCTTGAACACACCAGGTACAGGCGTGCCTGTGACCTGAACTGGCTGAGGCTGGGAAGAGAGTGCAGCATGGGACCCTGTTGAGGGTGCCTGTCTCTTTCTCTTTCTCATAGACCAAACAAACAAAGTTTAAAAGTAAAATAAAAAGGAGATGAGTTTTTGCTCTGACCTTGGAACTATTGCTTAGCCCTGTAAGTCCCCTTTTCCCTCCTGCTCCGTTGCCTCTCTGAATGAACTGTGTAGACTTTGCTTGCCAATTTGGGCGTAAGAGCTGCGTTGTCGTTTTGTCTTCAACCTCTTTCCCCCTCTCTGTATCCTCACTCCCCACACAAAGACCCAGCTCAGCCTCACCCAGAAGGATTCCCAATGTGGTGATGTCCCAGGGTTTGTGGCATGTTTGGGCAGAAACCACTGTGGGTTCTTGTCTCTAGCGTGCTATGGCCTTGGGTGATCTATATCTCCATCTCCAGCCAAACAACTGGAAACTCTGTAAGGCAAATCACTTTATTAACAGTAATTTTGTGAAAATTTGGAGGTATATTTATATACTTTTTCTACTTCTATTTTTCTAAGTTTATTTTTTTTTCTTTCTTGAAAGAGAGAGGCACCCCAACAAGGTCTTCAAGCCATCATCTACCTCCAGCTTCTGTCATCCTGGATTATAGGCACTCACATATTTAGGGAGGTCCCACAATGGGAACCCAGGACTTTCTCTATGAGGGAACAGTTGCATTACCACTGTGTTAATACCTGACTATCTACTATCTTTTAGTTAAAAAATTTGACAGACAGAGGGACCAGCAGTTAGTGGAATGGCTATGTCACTAGACTCCCATGTAGTCGACTGTGGTTTGAGTCCCGGACTCGGTGGCTTGAACTCACACCGGGCGCATGTGCGTACATGCCCAAGATCACAAAAGGAGAATGGAGGAGAAGGGATTGCGATGTGGCCATCCCCCCAGGGGATGACTTCTCGCTTTCTGTCTCTCTGCCTCTCTCTCTTTTTCTGGCGAGCGCATGCGCCCTATAGCAAAAATCTCTCAAAAAAATAATTTTGACAGACAGAAAAATGTAAAATTCTCTGCTGAAAAAAATATGTATTTTGTATACATCATGATAGGGGGTTTAGGTAAAATGTGAAATTAATTTTTAAAATATATGAATAGGCACAATTATGAAGCAGATGAACTGATCAATGGAGATACAGACTAAAAAATATAAAGTACAAAAACATGAGTGATGTCAAATGGGCCTTTTTGATAAAAAACTGTAGGACTTCATTTCTTTTCTGAGCTCCAAGGAAAGTGCACAGTCTTAATTTATAATTGGACGTCCCTTACAAGAAATGCATAGAAATGCCTTTTCTCTGATAATGCTGGACTCCAAGTTATACACACCACTGTATGTTCATTGTAAAAACCTAAGCACAAATGGAAAACCTAGGTGCTGAATGCAAAATTTTATTTTATCTTGTTATTAAATTGAAGTAAAAATACATTTCCTCTTGTTTTTCAACATTAGGGAAATGGACTTACATTAAGCACACAGGTTGAGGGCCTGTCGTTGCGACCCTATGAAAAGTACATTAATGTGGTTAGACTTGTGCCTGAAAACTTTCGAGATTTCAATAACAGAAAGGAGATCGATCGTGACCAGCTGATGACCGTCCTTGCCAATGTGAGTCATCTGTTGATCAGAGCCAACTACAATTCTGCAAAAATGGCTCTTTATAGGTATGTATTGAGAAGGGAGAAAAAACTTATGGGGGGGATCTTTAATCTATCTTTATGCATTATTATATATTTTAAAACTTTATTTTCTTATTCCTTCCATGAGCAAGAGAGACAGAAACTCACACACACACAGCACCCTAACTGGCCATCGATGCCAGATGCCATGATCCACGCACTGCCTCAGCCAGCCCATCGTGGGAGCATGCATATCTGGTGTGTTCTGGGAGGTCTCCAGACATGAACCCAGAACCTTTGCATGTGGGTTGATTTAACTAAGCATCAAATTTTACTTCTGCAGCACAATCCAGTGCTATCATTTTTTAAAATTGAATATATTTTAATTTAGAAACATAACTCATGGACTAGTTGTCTTTAAAAATATGACATTTGTTAGTATACCTTATTGAAGAATAAGAATACTATTCAGGACAAATACTATTCAATACTATTCAGGACAAATACTGTCTAGTAAGAGACAGACTTGTTGTTAGGATCAGAAACTGTCAAGGGATGTTTCTGAGACAAACCTGATGAGTTTACAGTCCTCTGGACCACATTGCATCTGTTCTCACTTTCCTGATGTGAATGGTCTTAGGTTTGAACATGGTCCGTTCAAGCTTACGTGTCCATCCTGGATCATTTTACTACTTGGAGAAGGTCTTCCTGGCAAGTATGGCCATAAACACTGGGTGCAACTAACACAAAGGTTTATGGCACATTTAAGGATGATCTCTGTATTGGTAATAAGATGATTGGAGAGATTAATTTTTCTGAAGTGCTTAACTCCAAATGAGTGACATCAGACCCTTCCCACGGCTTTCTGTTCACACTTGATGTTGAAAGCATTTCCAGGAAATGATGAAGGCTTCTTGAGAGTGTCTTGTAAGAATCTTCAGTTACTTACAAAAATGGCATCACCATTTTGCTTGAGTTAATCTTGAGGAACCCATCTTCATGAGAGGTCATTGGCGAGTATGGAAATCACATATTGGCCCCTGTCTATTTGTAGGTTGGATTCTGTCTCTCTGGACACAGCTAGTCCCAATGCGGTAGACCTGGCAGTTGCCCCTGATGTGGAGCACTGTGAATGCCCACAAGGTTACACAGGGACCTCCTGTGAGGTAACACTTCTCTTTTCTTCCTACCTTCTTCCTTTCATTTTTTCCTAAGGGAAAACAGTGAACTGAAGGTGCTATAATGCACAGGTGCGTTGTAACTTTAGAAATGTGTGTTTGACCCAAAGTCTTTTGGGCTAGAGTTCTATTGGAAATCAGGCACATGGAAAGGAATCAGATTGCTCTGCCCAGGTTGGACTGGAACCTGGAAATACTGTCCTAGTGCTGCCTTCCTGCCTTAGTCACCAGGCAACTGGCAATGCCCTTGGCATATTTGTATTTCAAAGAAGATTGGATTCAATCACAATTGAACATTTACAAATCACCTGTACAAAACCAGGCTAGCTTTACACAAGTCAAACCCATCTTAAGAACTTCTATGGCCTCTGGTGAGTCCCGCCTCACAAGTAAAATCCATGAAAATGTACTTGGACTCGTCAATAAAAGTAATCTATTGCTTAAAATTTTTTGAAATGATTTATTATAGGCAAGTATCGATAATGACTCTTTCCTATTGAGAACTTCCTACATATTTGGCGCTATTCTAAGCTCTTACCGTGTATTACGTCTAATACTGACAACGGTATCTGGTAGGGGCATTGAAAGAGGGGGTTAGATTTTTTTAAATTTTTATAAGAATTTTTAAAATGTATTTGTATTAACATATGATAATTGTGCATAGTTGTGAAGATACATTGTGACTTTCAGAATGTGAATACAGTGTGTAATGATTAAATCAGAGTAGTTAGTATAGACATCGCCTCATTGAGCAGGCACCTGCCCGGAGGTCTGCATGGTGATTAGAGGGCTGCTGAGCACTCCAACCGCTGCCTGATTCTCTAAGTTGGCTTCTGAGTAAGAGCTGAATTAAAGAGCAAGTTCTGTTTAATGAAAATACTTGGAATGTGGATTAAGCTTCTTGTGTTTCTTGAGCCATTATCCCACCCACATCAGCTCTATTTCCCTCCCAAACCCACCCCACTTGGAGTGCTCCAGCAGTGGCTACTCACTACTGCCCCCTCCAGGTCTGTCTGTCTAGGCCAGCTTCCACTTCTGCAAAGTCCTGCCCCAGGGTCGACTGTCCTAGTCCACAGGTGTTCCACATTCAGCGTAGTGAGTGGCATCCCTGAATGCTTATTACCTGTCCACATTAAGCCCACAGAAACCATACCTGTCATAGTTGCTTAATTCACTGATGCCAGTTTACATAACCTACACTAGAACACTATGTTTGATGCCAATCTTTAATGTATTTTAAGCAAAAGGGAAAAAAAAATTAAGTCCCAAGGAAAAAAAATCCTCTTGGTTGAAGTAATGGTTATAAGACCAAGTGTTACATAATTTCTAAATTAAGAGTATTGCAAAGGAATACTGCTAAGGTGTATGCTATCTCATTACATAACCACCAAGTTTTTGTGTGCATTTCTATCTTTAAAAATAAGAAAGTAATTAGATTATGGTGATTGTTGCATGGCTCAAAAAACTGAATTGTACACTGAAGGTGGGTGAATTTTATAGCATGACATGTAAATAATACCTTGAGAAAGATGTCTGGAAAAGAGAAAAAACAAGTAATATGTACCTTTCTCTATTCATGGAAACGTGAGCAGTTTTTCTGACATATTGGAAAGAAGATGTTTGCATAATGTACAAAGTTGCATTCTCAAGCACTGGTCACCTGATTTCTTTTGCAGTCCTGCCTCTCTGGCTATTACCGCGTGGATGGCATACTCTTTGGAGGAATTTGTCAACCGTGTGAATGCCACGGCCATGCAACGGAGTGTGACATTCACGGTGTTTGCTTTGTGAGTTTCCTGCTGTTTTTTTAACCATGAGTGCCCCCCCCCCCAGGGCCATGCCTCAATGGGGAGTGCTTTATCCTCTCTCTCTCTTTCTCCCTCTCTCTTTGGAGAGCACAGGTGCCCTCTAGCAATAAAACAACAACAAACAAACACAATGAAAAGTAGTTATTTTCTTTATCAAATTACAAAGCAATGTAAAGATAGAAAATATTGTCCACTGATTAAATACAAAGAATCAGATCTTTTCAATGAAAGTGCTAGTATTTTTAACATTTTGGTGCAAAGTATACCAAAAGAGGAATAATGAAACTTAGAGTAATCATGCTCATTTGTACACTATATACCTTATAGTCAGTTTCTATAAACCCTCCAGAAGGTACCCTCTTTCATGCGATATGAGTTGAAACAGGGCTTAACAAATATGCAGTTAATCTTGAGAAGGAACTTGGGGGCAGGTACAGGGTGAGACTTGTTTTTTCACTTCAGTCAGGAATTCTTTTATGTCCGAATGCGTTGAAGCCAGGTCACATTCTGGGTTCTATGCATTGAAGCCAGGTCACACTCTGGGTTCTAAGGCTTTACTCCTCCTGCGTGGACCAAATGCATATGCCTGCCAGCTGTGCTCCGTCCACCTGGCAGGGGAACGTTCCTGCTCTTTCTGAAAAGGATTGATGGAGTCCCAGAGCTAGGGAAAATTAATGATCAGGCCCCTGGGGAAGATCTGATGCCCTCGTGCCCTGGATTGCTTATTCTCTCTAGACCTAATTGTCCTTTATTCTGTAAGGAGAGCTTCATTTTGTCCTTGACTCAGTTCTTTGTTCTTTAAATAAAGCTTTTGTAGGAGCTGCATGAAGTTGTGGTCTGTAGACAGCCCCTCTAGGATTTTAGGTGCACAGGGCTTGGTGAGGTCATTACTGTTTTCACTTCTCTGTTTTTGCCATTAGGTTTGCAAGCCCAACCTTTCAGAGGTCTCTTCTGGCATTTAGGGGGGTGGTCAGGAGCCATGGCTGTGCTGGCTGTGACTTCAGTTACAGCTCAGCTGGAAGGATAGATTCCTCATAGTTCTATAAGTACAATGCTATGACTTCAGTTACAGCTCAGCTGGAAGGGTAGAGTCCTCATAGTTCTATAAGTACATTATTTACAAATATCTCTACTTGTTTAAAGTGAACATAATAAATAGCCACTGTCCTTAAAACTCTAATTGCAATAAATAGTAATATTTTCTATAATTTTAAACATATTTTGTGAGAAATGCTTTTGGGCTTATGGAAGTTACAAATGTAGTAGACAGTTCAAAGATCACCCTCACCCAGCATCCTCTAATGCTAAAATCTTGCATAACCCAAGTATAGTCATCAAAACGGAGGAATTAACATCATCACATTATGAGTAACTAAACCACTGACTTCATTCCAGCAGCCTTCATGTTTCCATTCATGTCTGCTTCTTTCCTTTTTCTTTCTTTTTTTTTCTTTTCTTTTTTCTTTATTTTTATTTTTTTATTTTTTGAGAGGTTTTTGCTATAGGGCGCGTGCACTCGCCTGAAAGACAGAGAGAGACAGAGAGACAGAAAGTGAGAAATCACCCCCCAGGGGGATGGCCACACCGCAATCCCTTCTCCTCCATTCTCACCTCTCAGGATCTTGGGCACGCATGCACACGTGCCCAGCGTGAGTTTAAGCCACTGGGTCTAGGACTCGAATCACGGTTGACTACATGGGAGTCCAGCGACATAGCCATTACCCCAATTGCCAGTCCCATGTCTGCTTCTTTTCTGATATCAAGCCCAGGACCCCACGCTGTATGTGGTTCGTCTTGCCTCCTTGTGTCCTCTATCCCCCAACAGTTCCTCAGTGACCCTTTGTCTTCCATGACTATGGCGTGTTTGGAAGAGTGCTGAATGTTCTGTGGGATGTCCCTCAGTCAGGGCTCACCAGATGTTTTCCTATGCTTGGAAGAAGACAGGGAAGCAATGTGCCTTCTCGGTGCAACGTGCCAGGGCTACATGATGTGGCCATGTCTTCTCCCTGGGGTTGTTCACCTGGATCACTCAGTAACATGATGTCTGCCAGGCTTTACCACTGTAAAATTACTTTGTTCCCCTTTTCAAACAATTATATTTTTAGGGGGAGGTGTGAACAAATAAAGGCATAGATGGAAATTTCAGAAAATATAAAAACTGGGTTGTGCCAGTTATGTGTTTAACATTTTTCTCATCTATTTTCAAAAGCAAATTTGCATTCTTTTTGTAGCTGTTCATAGTCCTTGGCCTTGTATAAGGGGGTCTTCAAAAAGTTCAGGGAAACCATGGGGATTTCAAAATTTTTGTACCAAAGTAAAGGACCAAAGTCCTTTTTCCACAGACTCTTTGTGGTACCCTTATACCTAGTTATCCAGCTCCTAGGAGTTAACTCCTTGTTCACAGTTTATCAAAGAGAAGGTTGCAGTTGTTCTCAGTGTCCTTATTTTCCCTGAGCTTTTGTTGCTTTTTGTTCCAAGGAGAAACAGATTTCTTCTTGTGGTTTGGCGTCAGCTAGAAAAGAAAAGGGCAAAACACCAGTTGTGTATGTCTTGGGCCTTCGTGTCTTTCTTTTTCCAATTAAAAGAAAATGTTTTCCTCCCTGAGGAGATGAATATTCTCATCGCTTCACGTCCAATACCACTGACAGGGGCAGTCACTTAAAAGGATACTGGCACACAGCTGAGAAAATGGAAAAATGGCCCCTTAGTAGGTTTTTAAACAGAATTACACAATAGCTTCCCCAAAGAGAAAGGCGGCCCAATCTGGCTCTTTGATCAAAAAAAAAAGTCTCATGGGCGTGTAAGTGAACATAGTTAAATGTATTTTAAAAGAAATTAAAGTTAATTTGCATAGTATGTTTAGCTCAACTATGTAGCCATTTACCAAGGCCAGTTGCATTGTGAATTCATTCGGGTTGACTATCAAAACCAAGATCAATGGAGGAGAGAAAAAAGGTCTAAGATGGTGCTCTCCAAGCAGTCCTCTGAGGACCAGCAAGGTGGGCATTGCCTGGGAACTCGTTAGAAATGGAGACCCGCAGGCCCCTTCTCTGACCTCCTGAATCAAAATCTGGTTAGCCATATATGGTTTGTATCCCCATTTGAACTTAGAAGCTCTGGTTTAGGATAACTTTAACTAAAACGGTAGAAACCCTAGTATAAAATGGATGTAGTACAAATGAATCCAATTCCAAAAGTTTGAAATCCAAAATACTCCAAATTCTGAAACTCTGAGAACCAACATGCCACAAGTGGGAAATTGCATCATAAGATGGGTCGTAATCTAAACACTGCATTACAAAATACCATATGAAGTTACTTTCAGGTAATGTGTAAAGGTGTATATGAAACATAAATGGATTTTGTATTAAGACATGGGTCCTATCCCCAAGATGTTGCTTAGGCGGATGCAAATATTCCAAAGTCTAAAAAAAAATAAATCTAAAATCTGAAACCCTTCTGGTTCCAAGCATTTCTGACAAGGAGGTCCTCAACCTGTAATTTCAAACTATTTTTTAAAATAATTTTGCTATAGAGTACATGTGCCCAACAAAAAGAGACAGAGACACAAAAAGAGAAAAAAGGAAAGTGAAAAAGCACCCCCAAAGGGGGATAGCCATGCCTCAATCTCTTCTCCTTTATTCTCCTCCAAAATGAGAATTTTGCCCATGCACACACACCTGCACAGTGTGTTTTTCAAGTCACCAGATCTGAGACTTGAACTGCAAAGTTGGCTATGTGAGATCCAGATGTTTTAATCTCCACGCCACTGACTGACCCCCAAACTAAACTTTATGTGGGACAATTTTCATCAACCTCAGGAATTATAGAAACCTATGTAGTTTAGAAACTGAAAATACTATTTAAATGGCTAGATGAAAGTGATTAATAGATATATATATATGTAAATCAGGGACCAGCAGGTAGTATAATGGTTACATCGCTGGACTCCCACATAGTCGAGTTCAAGTCCTGGGCCTGGCAGCTTAAAAATCAAGCTGGGCATGTGTGCGTGTGTGCTCAAAATCCTGAGAGGCATATGGAAGAGAAGGGATTGCAGGGTGGCCATCCCGCCTGGGGGGGCGGTGTCTCACTTTCTATCTGTCTGTCTCTCTGGTGAGTAGATGCACCCTATAGCAAAAATCTCTCTAAAAGACAAACAAACAAACAAAACGAACAAAACAAAACAAAAGTATGTAGACTGAGTGGATCTAAAAGAAGGGGTAAAGGGGAAATGACTAAGGTAGACACCATGAAAAGAGGATACTCAGGGTAGGAGCAAGGGGGTGAGTGCAGGCAGTGATGGGTGGAGTGACAGGAAAAAAACCGTGGGTGGCTTTCAGTGTGGAGTGGAACCTAGAGACACTGAGTCAGGGGGGAAAGCAACCTGAGCAAGTATGTGCAAAATAGACCTACATCCCCTGGAGTGTTGCCGTGCACTCGGTCCTGGGTGCTCCCCACTTCCTCTGCTCTCTTCCTCATTCAGCATAGTATGCACTATGTGAAATGTTTGCAGTCTTGCAAGACTTCCTATTTTGTTTATAAATTTGTATTTTATTTGCACCCATAGTAGTATTCAGAATAAAGAAATAAAATGATTATGCCAGCTGCAACCAGCGAGTGGCATAGTGGTTAAGGTGCTGGACTCCCACATGGCTGAATGGGGTTTAAGTCTCAGATCCAAAAGCTTGAAACTCCTACTTGCAGCACATACGTGCATGCCCCAAATCCCAGGAGAATGGGGGAGAAGGGGTTGCAGTATGGTCATTCCTCTAGGGGGTGATTTCTCACTTTCTCTGTCTTTCCAGTGACCCCTCACATCCCATAGCAAAAATCACTCACAGAGGAAAAAAAAAAAAAAAGACCATCCCAGATTTATATTATTGTGTTGTGGTATGTCTTTTTGCTTTCTGGCACTTATCTAATATATGCTTTGGGCATGCGTAGAACTACATTATTATAGTGTGGTGTTGCACAGTATGTATTGATAAATACATAGACATTTTTTGCTAGATGACCCTGTAGTAGAAATGGAACTTGGTCATTAAGTGTATGTTTTTCTAATTACTGATTATGATCACTTTCTTTCTTCTTCTCAAGTCTAGCGGTTTTTAATTACTTATTTAAACAAACCAAACCGATGGTGTGGTGGTTAAGGTACTGGGCTCCCAAAGGGCTGACCATAGTTTGAGGCCTGGACCCAGCGACTTGAAAACCATGCCAAGTAGTGTGTGTGCATGCCCAAAATCCTGAGAGGAGACTGGAGGAGAAGGAGTTGTGGTGGGACAACCCCCAACCTGGGGGGTGATTTCTTACTTTCCTTTTCCCTGTCTCTTTCCAGAGAGTGCATGAGCCCTATGGCAGAAACCTAAACAAACAACAACAACAACAAAAAAGACACCTTTATTTGGAAATTATCTTAAATTTACCCAAAAGTCATAAGAAATAAAAATAGCATTTAGGGGGACCAGCAGTTGGCATTAATAGCTATGTTGCTGGACTCCTATGTAGTCGACTGCAGTTCGAGTCCTGGACCCGGTGGCTTAAACTCACGCTGGGCATGTGTGCATGCATGCCCAAGATCCCAAGAGGAAAAGAAAGGAGAAGGGATTGTGGTGTGGCCATCCCCCGTGGGGGATGATTTCTTACATTCTGTCTCTCTGTCTTTCTGGCAAGTACACACGCCCTATAGCAAAAACCTCTCAAAAAAAAAAAAACAAATAGCAGCCTGATGGTGCTGTCAGTAGCAACTGAACTTCGGAGCTGGAAGTCACTTGGCTGACCACTGTCCCAGTCTCTGGGTTCAGCCTCTAAGAGTGCCCTGAGGCACTTTCATATGTGCCGCAAATCCTGATGAGCTGGAGGGCTGGGGAAAGGGAACTGCAGCATGATAGGCCCTGTAGAGGGTACTTCCTAATTCTTTCTCTCTCTCTCTCTTTTTTTTTTATTTCTCATACTTTCATGCATGCAGCATCCATCATGGATGAAATAAATAAAACTGAAAATAGTACCTTAGAACAGTATCATTTACCCAGATTCCCCACTGTTGACTTTTCTCTCATTTGCTTTATTAGACTTGTTCTCTACCTTTCTAATTGTATCATCTTTTTACAAGCTATTAGTGGATATATTATATATATAGTCTGGTTACTTATTCCTAAATATTTCAGTGTACATATCTTTGGAATAAGGAATTTCTCTAACATAACTACAGTACAGTCATCAATGTAAGTAAATTTAACATGCATATATATATTCTACTTTTTCTAGTCTACCCTCCACTTTTTAGGTTTGTCAATTGATGCAGTTCTGTGCTGTGTGGCATTGTTTCCCTCCAGTGGAGTCCCCCATTTAGGCTAAAAAAAAATTGTATTGTTGTGTCTTTTTACTCTAATGCCAAAGATTTCCATAGCCTTTCTTTGTCTTTGATGACATAAGCAACTTGGAGAATCTAGTCATCTTAAAAAAAAAAAGTATATGTTCCTTATTTTGAGGTTCTTGTTGTTTTGTCATGGGTGGATTCAGTTTATGCATCTCTTGCTAGAATTCTTCTTTCTGATGTGTCTTTCTTAGAGCACCACACGTGTGTCCAGCTGCCTCTCACTGGTGGTGTTAATTCTGGTTACACAGGCAAAGTGCTGGTCAATTTCTACACTATATAGTCTCCGTTCTTTTCCTCTGACAGTTAATAAGCAGTCTGAGGAAGACTTTAAGAACAGACGAATATCTCATTCTTCATCAGTATTTCCCTGTAGTTTTAGCCGTTTTTCCAAACCAGTATCATGTTTGGAAAAGGATGAGCCATCCAGGCTTATCAGTGGGCATGCAGTATCCTACCATCCATCAGTAACAGCCCTCCTTTACCTCGAGGGTTTTTTTTTTGTTTGATTGTTTGTTTTTACCTACAGGGTATCTCTCTGGGCTCATGGATTTCCCACATGCCCAGATGTAGCAGTAGGAACCTATGTAGAAGTGTTTGACTATATGGCGCAATGAATATTGCTGCGTTGCTGAGTTTCTGGATTTTGTTACTTTCCTTTAAAAAACATGGAAATTGATTTTGGCAGGCAGTTAAATTATTACCAAATAAGCTTGATTGCTTCAAGGCTTGTTTTTAAGCTTTATTTTGATATAGTTTTTACTCTATGGCAGGTTTAGCTCTGCCATATTAAGTAATTTTCTGGAGTCTCTGAGTACCCTAGGTATTTCTCAGTTCTCATACTGGTCAGAATTCTAATGTCTCTCAGTGGCATGTGAGTTCTAAAATGTTCAGGTTATATCTCATCTGTATTTCTTTGTCTGGCCACATGGAGTTTCACTCTATACAAGAACGGCTTAGTAACAAGAAATGGAGAATTGTTTATTGATGATAACACATAGGGTAATATCCTTGATTGAGACAATATACAGTGTACTCTGGATGGAAAATCTCATTTTGTATGCTGTAATGATGTACAGTGAATGAATGTAAATAAATAAATTTACAATGGAAAAGAATAGCTTAGTAGTCAGTAGAAGTTGGGAAGGATCCCATGTGCGTATTTCTTGAGTTCTTATTCTGTGACGCTCCAGCACTCTGCCCCAGACCCTAACCTGGGCCTGTCTTCCCAAACTGACCTCTGTCTCCGCAATTCAGCCAGACCACTATGTTCCACCAGGGCGGCCCCTGCCTGATAAATGTCTCCAACAGAAAGATAATCCTAGGACTCTCCTCTTTACTTTCCTTCCCTGGGAAATCACAGACCTGCATTAGCTGCTGTCCGATGGCTGAAGGCAGGTGTTGTTATACTTTATTTTGTTACACTGTTTTCTCTTTTCTTTTCTTCCCTTTTTCCTTTCTTTCTTTTCTTTTTTTTTTTTTTTTTTTTTTTTTTTTTTTTTTTTTTTTTTTTTTTTAGTTGCCAGAGGGTATGTACACTCACCAGAGAGAGCAGGTGAGCAGGTAGAGAGTGAGGGAGGAAGAAAGCACTCTCTAAGTGGTTTTCCCCTCTCCTGTTTCTCCATCCTTTTGGGATTTGGGGCACACATGCATATGTGCCCAATGTATTTTTTAACCTATTTGGTCTGGGATTTGAACCACAGTCAATTCTGTCAGCTTCAGCTCCCTTAAGCAGTAGGCTGCAGGTCTGGTTCATTTGTTTCAGTTTTCTGGTTGTTTCCTACAGGTGGGCAAGCTTAGTACCAGTTACTCAGTTAGAGTGAAAGTTCTTAGGTTTCTCAGTTTTACAAACTACAGTTCTCAAATCTGGAACAGGCAATTCTTCCCTGTGTAATTTAGAGTTTAGCAACTTGTTTTAGCATTTTATTTGTTTGTTTTGTTTTCCTTTTTTTACACTTGGACTTTAAATTGTTTGTAAATGAGCCTGAAAATCCTTTAAGGAAATCTGAGCTAATTCTTCTTTTCTTGACTGTGCCCTAGGGGTGTGCACACAACACCACAGGAGACCATTGTGAGCAGTGCTTGCCTGGCTTCTACGGGGTGCCTTCCCGAGGGACACCTGGGGACTGCCAGCCTTGCGCCTGCCCTCTTGCTGTAGCCTCCAACAAGTAAGTCTCACCACACTGTGGTGGGCCCTGCCTGATGTGGCCAGGATTCCCACCGAAATGTAGCCTAACATCATCAGAGCATGTCGAAGACTGTGAACTTTGCTTAGGATTAATGATGAAGAGGGTGGATTATCTTCTTAAAACAAAGGATTTCTGCAGTTAATTATGCAAGAAAAAGTGTAGGATCGCAAGGACACATGCCAACTTTCTTCCTCTTGGTCTATGTTGGTCATTGGTTCTTTCACAAGTATGTGTTGTGCACCCCTCACTTCAGAGCTAGAAGGTAGAGGGGATACAGAGACAAATAAAGCCTTGTGCCTAGGCTCGAGGGGATTTTTATTTTGTATTTAAATTTATTCATTTATTTTGTTTATTTATTTATTTTATGAAATAGGGGGAAGAGAGAGACAAAAACAGAGACAGGCCTCTCTAACAGGGTGTTCACACTGTGATCCACCTATCTCATTGTTCCATATCATAGGCATGTATGTGGGCCTGGTATGTACAGAGAGGTCCTAGGACATGAACCCAGGACCTTCCTATGTGGATTCAATTGTGTCACCACTGCCACCACCTGGCTCCAAGGGAGTTTCAGATCTAATGACCGAAATACATGGCTATAAGGCCGAGAATCGCTGGATCTGCTGTCAAGTGTCTCTGTGTGACTATCACAGCAAGTGCCATGAGAGGCAAGCTGTCCATCCTAGCTGCTGGCCCAGGTCTCACAGGATGCTCATGGCTATCATGGAAGCCTGTCCCCCTGACAGGAACAGAGAGAAAGCTATGCTGAACTCACCTGGGTAAGCCCAGGAATGGTTCTCGGATGAGGTTCTGACCTCAGACTTGAGGCCTAAGGGGAACTTTGACAGACAGCATGGAAGGGCATTCTTGGATGCCAAGGCATGGCAGCTGACATGAGCACTTCCTGTCTGAGGAATTGCTGATGGACCTGGAGCAGGAAGCTGGAGGGTGGTGGAGGAGACGTAAGACCTGTATGTCACACTGAGGCAGTGTGTCCTGTAGCCAGTGGTTCGAAAGCCTTTCTCTCTCATTGTTTTCACCATAAGAACTCTTCCTCCTACCACCCCAAAAAATTCCACACAAGGATTTTTTATTAGAAGCTGTAGTATATTAAAAGGATACAGTCAAGGCTACTAGTGATAAATTCATGGGGCCTCTCACCATCCCAGACAGGCTTTCCCAAGACTCAGGATAGGGTTTGAGGGGACCTCAGTCAGCTGTGGGGGTGCTTGAGAAGGTGCAGGAACCTCCTGTCAGTGCCGTGTCTATGTCAGGTTGCTCTCGCCCCAGCCTCACAGAGACACTTGACAAATGGATCCGGGCCATTCTCAGCCGTATAGTCATGTATTGTGGTCATTAGATCTGAAACTCTCTTGGGGCCAAGTGGTGGCGCAGTGGTGGCACAACTGGACCTACACAGGAAGGTCCTGGATGAGCATCCTGGAACCTCCCTATACATGCCATACTCACATGCAGGCCAGCTGAGACAGGTGCATCACAGTGTGAAGACCCTCGCTCTAAGGTGGGAAGACCAATGCCAGGAACCAAGGAGAGGAACCCACTCCCCCAGAGCATCAAGCAGCCTGGAGGAGATGACAGCTGAGTTGAGCACTGGGTTAAGCCTTGTCAACCCAGGGAGGAGCAGTGGGGAAATGGGGAGGTGGGGGAGGAAATACACTGTGGGCCGAGGGACAAGAGGAGTCAGGAGCACCTGATGGCCAGGAACAAGGAATGGATCTGGATGGGACTCACAGGGTGGGCTGGGTGGCCAGAGGCCTTGGTTCCAGGCTGAGAGGTGAAAACCTATTGAAAGCTTGTAAAGATAGGATTGGCAGAAATTAAGCATTTCGATGGCCGGCCCATACATTGTAGTTAAGTGTTGTGCAATGAGAGCTGTACCCCACGTGGCTGACCATGGTTCTGGTGGCTTCACGGTTCTGACTTGCCAAGCACATGCTCAACTTCCTCATGGGATGAAAAAATGGAGGAAAAGGATTGTGGTGTAACCACACTCTATTGGCGAGTGCTTTCTATCTGTGTCTGTCTCTCTGGCAAGTACATGTACTCTCTGGCAATTTAAAAATAATAATAATAAAGTGACAAAAATGAATATATGAATTTTAACAACTTATTATTTGTTTAACACTTCTGCACCATCCATTGGGAAATTGCATTTGCTTCTTCTGTTTTGACAGCTTCAGCCCCACCTGTCACCTTGATGATGAAGGCGAAGTGGTCTGTGACCAGTGTGCTCAGGGATACTCGGGGACTTGGTGTGAGAGGTATTCTGTGTTGCTCTACTGGTTTAAAAAGCTGGGTTAACATTTATAAAATTCAGTATAAATGCTGTGAGTTATCTTTAAATGTGTAGTTAAGTGTGGTTTGGGAGTTTAAATGCATAGTTATTATTTTATGTATTATCTTATGGAATCATAAAGACACACCAGAATACCAGTTAAAAAAATATTGTCGAAGCTTGCTGGGAATTTGTATAGAACAGTATTCCATGTCCTAGAACTGATCTGAGTTCTTATCAAGAACAATAGAGAACAGGGGGGAGTCAGATTTACAGCCCACCCATTTGAATATTCCATTCCTCTGCACTATTCCGTAGGTCATATGTGGTTTGATTTAATAGTTGTCCTCTGGTGCCTGCAAGCCAGTGGTGTCTTTTCCCACGTGTAAATCTTTGTGCACGACTCAGGCTAAGCCTGCAGGAGAGGTGCAGGACTTCCTGGTGGCCAGGAGGGGGTTGAGGTTGGCCCTGGAGATGGGGACAGATTTCTATGTCTTTATTCTCATTTTGGACCCTTTCCCCTTCCTGGTGGCCAGGAGGGGGTTGAGGTTGGCCCTGGAGATGGGGACAGATCTAATGTATTTATTCTCATTTTGGACCCTTTCCCTATTTGTCACAATGGGTGAAGGAGACCCGTGAATGCCTGGGTGTAGAGTTGTATCCCTTTCACAGTAAATCTCAGAGAAAAGAGTCAGTCTGATTTATTGGCCACTCAGGGAGACCCCGGATAGGGGGATAATGTCTTGAGTAATTGCATTTATTGAATCCCACTTTCCATCTTTGATATAGATGTGCAGATGGTTACTATGGAAACCCAGCCGTGCCCGGGGAATCCTGTGTTCCCTGTGACTGCAGCGGCAATGTGGACCCCTCAGAGCCTGGGCACTGTGACTCAGTGACTGGGGAGTGCCTGAAGTGCATAGGGAACACAGACGGTGCCCACTGTGAGAGATGCGCAGATGGGTTCTACGGGGACGCCGTGACAGCCAAAAATTGCCGTGGTGAGTGCGAATGCAAGCGCGAGGATGGGAGGCAAACCCCTTGTTTATTGCTGTGGAAGTGTCTGTCTATCCACGCACATGCACCTGAGGCTCCGCTGATTAGGTAACCTTGTCTGGAGTGATTACTTGCCTGGTGCCGGGCCTTCAACCGACCTAACATAGAACCAAGGCTTAGTTCGTCCCGCTTTGGTCTGCATTTCCTTGGTTCGTTACTGCTTATGAAGCAGTGGCCTGGAAAGTAGGCATCCCTCCATTCGAGGAGAAAGTGCGACTGTAGAAAATCTCAGCTCTGCTCCCAGGGACTGGGAGGAAGGGAGAGCGATGCCCAAAGCCTGGCCATTTGCAAGGAAGTGCTGCAGGGTCGTATGAGGAGATGGGATGTAAGTGTCAGCAGGGAAATGGCAGGACTCAAACCCCAGGAGCTGCATGGTGTTGGCATGGCTTAGCAGTTTGTTCCTGGAGTACTGACTGCTCTGCTTAGTTCCACTTGGAACCTTGAAGTTGCAGATCATGTAAAACTCACTCGCTGAGAAAAGTAGAATTTCATATCCCTGAGATAACTTACCTTAGCCTGACACAGCCCTCAGACTTTTTGCAGGGGAGAGGAACATAGTATCAAGAGAACAAATGACTAAAAATGGCAATTATAAATTAATTCAATAAATTTATACAACTGCTGAAGTTCTGTTATGACGTTACAACATAGAGACACAAGAGGGCGCAAGAGATGCATGAAACAATTTTGTAGGCACACAGAAGTTAAAAAACGTTTTATGGCCCTGGGCCTCAGCCTCATCTTCAGCATCCTGCCACCTGGATTGGTTATAAGAGCAGGATAACTGTGATAACTGGGACTTGCATAAAAGTTTACAAAACATTCACAATTCTTATGTCTTTTCTTTTTATCTTTAACTGTGAGCCTTGGTGATTCATTCCGATGTTAATTCATTGTTTGTTTGTTTGGTTGGTTTTTTTTTTTGGCGAGGTTTTTGCTATAGGGCACGTGCACTCGCTAGACAGACAGAGAGAGCCAGAGAGACAGAAAGCGAGAAATCACCCCACAGGGGAGATGGCCACACTGCAATCACTTTTCCTCCATTCTCCTCTCGGGATCATGGGCACGCACGCACACGCGCCCAGCGTGAGTTTAAGCCACCGGGTTCGGGACTCAAACCGCGGTGGACTATGTGGGAGTCCAGCGACATAGCCATTATGCTAACTGCTGGTCCCAAATCATTGTTGTTTTAAGCATGTTTTTCCCAGACACTATACTGAATACTGTGATAGGTTTAGTCCAGATCTATTGGAGGAAAAGCACATGTGTGGATCCCAGGCTTTGGAATATGACTAATGTGAATTTGATTCCAGGGCTGATCATTAACTAGCTGTGTAACATTGGGTAAATGTATTTACCTTTCTGAGTCACTATTTTCTTCATACATAAAATGGGCATAATTAGATGTGTGTACTGAGGCCTTTCTGAGAAGCTAATAGATAACAAATGTGAAGTTCCGGACAATAAACAGGTGGTAGCTATTATAACTATTAGTAATAACGGAGTAATTTTCTTCTTCTCTAACAAGTGCTGTACAGTAGAAATAGAATGCAAAGCACACATATAGCTGTTCTGTGTTATGTTAAATGGTCTAGTAGCCACATTTTGAAAAGCGAAAACAGCCAAGTGAAATACACTTTAATATGGTTTATTTAAACTGATGTACTCAAACATTATCATTTCATTTTATACTCAAGTTTTAAAAGTGTTAATGAAATATTTACTTTTTTTAATGTGGAGTCTCTAAAATTCAATGTATGTTTATAGTTCAGCTCAATTAGGATGCTAGATCTTTTTAAAGAGGTTTTTGCTGTAGGGCACATGAGCTCCCTGGAGAGAGAAAGAGATTAAGACAGTGAGAGGAAAAGTGAGAAATCACCCCTTGGGGGATAGCCACTCCTCAATCCCTTCTCCTCCATTCTCCTCCCGGGATCTTGGGCACACATACACATGTGCCCAGCATGAGCTTTAAGTCACCAGGTCTGGGACACAAACCACAATCGGCCGTGTGGGAGTCCAGGGACACAACTGCCACACTATCTGCCAGTCCCAGGATGCTAAATTTTTATCAGAAATACTTAATCTGTGTTTAGAGTAGTATTAACAAAATTTGCAGTAGAAAAAGTTGTTCAAACACATTGGTAGAAACTGAAAGATTAGAGGATATAAAGGCATTGAAACAGCTACAGACACGAGGCAGTGTGGGAGGAGGGTGGAAGGAGGGTGGGAGAGGCAGAGAGTGTAGGGAGGGAAATTAGGGAGAAAAATAGAAAGACAAGACATTTGTGGGACACAGAAATGCTTTATCACCTGTGATGATGACATATATAGCATCCTCGACTGGGCTGGAGTGAAGTATATTTCAAATTGGGTAAATTTGCTTTGCAAGCTAAGTGATGCATAGCAATTTAATGGATAAAGAAAATAGAGAAAAAATGCAACTGAAAAAAAAAGTTTTCCATCATGGGCCAGCCCAATAGTTTCATGATTAAGGAAGTCAGATCCCAAATGGCCAACCATGGTTCAAATCCTGGCCCTGGTGTCTTGAAAAGCACACTGGGTACATGTGTGTGCATGCCAAGATACCATCAGGATGGAGAAGTGGGGGAGAAGGGATTGTGGCATGACCATGCTCCATTGGGGTTTTCTTTCTCTCTCTCTCTCTCTTTGGCAAAATCACACACCCTCTAGCAATTAAAAAAATTTTTTTTCATCACATAGCAAAAACCATCTCCCTTTAATATTGGTGCCCACGTTGACAAAAGTGCTTCATTGTTTAAATTTAAGTTTAATTAGAGATTCGGTTCATCAGTTGCAGCAGCTGCATCTCAAGCGTTCCACAGCCGAGGGTGGTGAAAGTCCACTGTACAGGGCAGCAAAGGTCAGCGTCATGAATGAATTCTGGGGTGTGCATGAAGCACTGTGGGGCCATGGAGGAAGAGCAGGTCCTTTGGCCAGATTAGACCAGGTCAGAGATACCCAAATGGCCCTGCCCGAGGCGGAGGCTGGAGAGAGTATAACAAGGACATAAAAGACAGAGACAGGGAAAAGCAAGAGTCTTGAGATAACAGGTGGAAAGCAGCCATTTCTGAAGGGTCTCCTGTGCAGTGCTGAAGTGCTAAGGATAGTCTATATCCATCCTCTCCTCGGACTCATTGGACAACGCTTCCAGACACTGAACAGGGCCAGCCTATTCAGGTCAGCCTGTTTGATGCGTTACTCCTCTTCCGTCCTTGAGGGTGGATTGGCTGAGGGGGTTTGGGGATAACAAGACCAGGAAGGAATCTTGCCAGCAAGAATTAATAATGGCTTCACATGGAGCCTTTGCCATAGGGAGAAAAGAAAAGGTATGAAATAGAAGGTCTTAGCAATGAGCCTGAAGGCAGAGGAGGAAAACAGGTAGGTTTGGGTCTGGGAAGGGCTAGTGGTGGGGCTGACACTGTGCAAGCTCTCTCTAGTTTCTGAGCATTTATCTTTTTTATTGTTATCTCATCTCTTCCCCCTTCCCTAACTTTAATGAGACAAATTCCTACTGTTTTTGGATATTTCACTAGAAATACTTTCATTTCAATACTTAGAGTTCCTCTCATATGCTTCCCAAAGATCCTCTCACTCTAGTTTAATAATAATTTTATCAAGTAAAGCCACATGAAAATGCCAGTATTCACTATTACTGACCTTTTTTTTTTTAAAAAAAAAAAGCGATTTTATTTGTTTTCACCCAGTACATATCTGTTTACTCCCTTCTATCTGAGACGCAAAGCTTGGTTAGAGAACAAGCCATCTTCTCTCTCTATTGCTCATGGCGAACCTTGGGCAAGAGCTCATGTATATGTAAAGCTGTGACTTGGAGGAGGGCAGCGTGGCTGGGGTCCTACAGGGAAGCAGTAGGTAGCAGGAAGGATGACAAGTTCCACTGCTCACACGTGGAAGTCCCAGAGTCACTGAGAAGGCCATCAGATGTCCAGGAGCGTGAACAGTATTGAAGAAATGAACACCAGAGGGAGGCCGAGAGTCAGGCTGTGGGGTAGAGTCTACATAGTGAGTTGTAATGCCATTGTCAGGGCAGAATCTGGCCTTGAAGGAACTAAGGGTTGTGGGAAACCTTACCCAGCTCTAATATTAAAGGAAACTTACATGAAATCAGTTAGGCAGGTATACTTTTACATTGTGAGGTTCTTAAGAGAATTGTAATGTATGTAAAGTACCTGGCTAGTCAGCAATTGACAATTATTTTACTTTTTTTCTCCTTCATTGCCAGAGAGGTGAGTCTGTTCACCAGAGACAGAGAGAGTGAGGGAGAGAAAGAGACAGAGAGAGAGAGAAATAGCACCCTGCAATGGGGTATGGTCATGTTACAATCCCTTCTTCATTTCCCCATCCTATCAGGATTTGGGGCATACATACGCATGTGCCCTGCATGTTTTTCAAACTATTGGAAATGGGATTTGAATCATGATCTGCCAAGTGCAATCAGGACCCTGATCACTGCACATAACTACTGCTCTACAAAGCCAGCCCAGCAATGATTTTAAATCAGTATTATTTATAACACATATAATGTCATATTATTTGGATTATGTTACATTAAATATGCATATTAAATGTTATAGTAGGCAAGGGGCCAGGAGGACACAGCACAATGGTTAAATTGGATGTGCATGCCAAGAGAAAGACAATGGAGAATGTTGGAGAGATGGGACCTCAGATGGAGAGTTAAGGGGCAGGGTTGGTGTCTGGTGTTTGAGTCAGTTCACAGACATGAGCAGAGAAGATAGTAGGAGAATGTACACAGTAGCCAGAGTAAGTCCCTGAAGGGCAGCCCTGGGTGGGGCTCCCTGTGAAGCTAAACACACTCAGGGAGAAAGGCAGGCCAAAAGAGGCCTGGGTACCTGGGCAAAGTTGGCTTTCATCAGTTAAGGAGGCAAGACTAAGTTTCAGAGATCCTTTCTTCTGACCACCAACCTTCCAGTTTTCAGCGTCTGCCCTTCCTGCTGCAGTTTGCGACTACATAATTTGTGCTTGGACTTCCCATTATTTGCAAAGTTTTTTCTTTTCTTTTCCTACATTGTTATGTCATACAATAAACACTGAACATATTGTGAGTCCAAACATTCATAAATAGTGTTCAGAATAGTTCGTCAATGAACTATTTTCACCGACGTGCATATTGACACCTGTTCCATAAATGCTAACGAAGCAATTTTGGACTCATTAAAGTACACCACTTTGAAAAGTTGGGGGCTTTGTTGCCTTAAACATCTGTGTTGTAATTGAAACTGTCTGGCCCAAAACTACAAATGATTTATGGCTTAGAGTAAGAAAATGTTTTTTATTAAATTATGAAATACATTAATACATACTTATCTAGATTGTGTTATAACTGAGCTTTAAACAAACATATATTAATAGAATGAGACTGAATTGTAAAATTGATTGTAAAATCTCCATTGCATGTTCTTAATGGGAATTTGTTGCTCATTTGAATGTTTTCAAGAAATTTGTGAAATCGATCAAGTTAATTTGCTGATGATTATCTTAATAGCTTCATTATTTTTTATGTGATGATTCCTTCTACCATGCTTATTTTCATGTACTCTTCAGAAAATGCTAAATTTTAAAGTTTATTACACAGTAATAGGCATTATTTTAGTATTATGATTTGAAACATTGAATGTTTAAATTTTTTCCTCTGAGGATTAAAGAATTTTACTATGACCAAACCCAGAAATGACCATATACATGTCTTTGTGTGTGTGTGTGTGTGTGTGTGTGTGTGTGTGTGTGTTAGCCTGTCAGTGCCATGAACAAGGTTCCCTGTCTGCCGTGTGTCATCATGAGACTGGACTCTGTGACTGTAGACCGCATGTGACTGGACAGCAGTGTGACCAGTGCTTGGTAAGAAGCTTTTCCATCATTGTGTACATAAAAGTGCTTGTTAGTGATGTTTATAATTGACACCTTAACTATGATTCGAAGGAAAGTGGGTTGACGACAATCAGAAAGAACTAACTTTCTAGTCATGGCTGGTGAATGCTTCCCCATCTAGACAGTGTGCAGTCCCTGTGCAAGAGGGTGTGTTTGTGCCACAAATACTTTCTGACTCTGCAGTAGAAAATGTGAGTTTATTTTGGTGCACAAAAAAGATGTTAAAATACATAGTTTTTTCATAATATAAATTTTGCATGAACTTTAAAAATGTTTTCTTTATTTTTTTCGTGAGAAAGAAAGAGACTGAGAGACAGGCTTCCCAAAAGGGTCCCCATGCCGTGATTCCCCCACCTTCTCAACCAGCCTGTATCACATGCACATTGTGCTCAGGGAAGTCTCAGATGCCAACCCAGGCCTTTCCCCATGTAGGTCCAGTTGCATTACCACTGTGCCATCATCCTGCCCTTGACGAGTTTTACGAAGATGCCCTTGTATGAAACACTTTATGTAGGATTTGCAAACATTCTACTATGTGTTAATATGCTTCTTAAACTCATGCTGGCTTCCATGATTCCTCTTCTGTTGTGCAATAGCATGGCTATTACGGGTTGGACAGAGGCCTCGGCTGCCTGCCCTGTAACTGCAACACGGCGGGCTCCATGTCGGATGACTGCACGGATGAAGGCCAATGTCGCTGTGTACCAGGTGTAGCTGGGAAAAGATGTGACAGGTGTTCACATGGCTTCTACGGGTACAAGGATGGTGGCTGTACACGTAAGCTTCTGAACTCCTTGTTTGAGACTTTATAGTCACTCCCAGACTTTTCTTCAGCCCTCCCCTGACTTCTGACCAACTTCTGTTAAATTCCTATTTTCCTGTCTTTTTCATATGTAAGATTTTGTATGTTTTTTTCTGTTTCCTGATCTCTTTCAGAGTACAAACAAGCTTAATTTTTGGTCCTGGCTTTGCTGCTTATTAGTTTTGTGAGTTTAGATCAATTACTTAACTTCACTCAGCCTCAGTTTCTTCATCTGGAAAACTGAGAAGCTAAATAGAATCTACATCAAAGAACTGTTGTGAGGGTTGTATGTAAAGTCCTTAACAGGGCATTTAGTATACAGTAAATACTCAATAACTATTAGTTCTATCTGGAACCAGCAGATGGCATAATGGTTACATCACTGAACTCCAACATAGTCGACTGCAGTTAGAGTCCCAGACCCGGTGGCCTAAACTCACGCAAGGTGTGTGTGCGTGCATGCCCAAGATCCCAAGAGGAGAATGGAGGAGAAGGAATTGAGGCATGACCATCCCACCTGGGGGTGATTTCTTGCATTCTATCTCTCTGGTGAGCACATGTGCCCTACAGCTAAAATCTCTTGGACCAGCAGTTGGCGTAATGGCTATGTTAGCTGGAGTCCCATGTAGTCGACCACAGTTTGAGTCCCAGACCCAGTGGCTTAAACTCATTATGGGCACAGGTGCATGCATGCCCAAGATCCTGAGAAGAGAATGGAGGAGAAGGGATTGTGGCTTGGCCATCCCCCCTAGGGGGTGATTTCTCACTTTCTGTCTCTTTGTCTCTCTCTGTCTTTCTGGCGAGCACATGCGTCCTATAGCAAAAACCTCTCCAAAAAATCTCTCTCTCTCTCTTATATATATACATAAGCTCTATCTGTTCCTCTCACCCATCAAAGTCCTTTCCGTTCTTTTCTCTAGTTCTCCAATTAGCCCTCTTCACCAGCCTCTCCTGGCATGGAGGAACAAACTCCATGAGACACAGAAGGGTCTTGGGAGATACAAGGTTTTAGGAAGTGGGAGAATGGCTTAGATTATTCACTGACTAGAAGTAACTTGTAACATCAGCTCTTACTCTTCTATTCCAGTGGTCCTCCAGATCCACAGCAAAACCCTTTGTTTTTGTTTCAGCCTGTGACTGCCCTCATACTCAGAACACTTGTGATCCAGAGTCGGGAGAATGCACCTGCCCTCCTCATACACAGGGTCCGAAGTGCGAAGAGTGTGAGGAAGAGCACTGGGGCCACCACCTGGAGCTGGGCTGCCAGGTGTGCACTGTCATCTACGCACGTTCAGATCTGCGAGTTACTTCACTGCAGCAACTTCCATTCCCATTCTTTGATGTAGTCAGTTGACCTTAACCTGAACAGCTTTGCGGTTTATATCTAAAACTCATTGCAGATTACAGGAATCCAAGCAGAGGAAGCAGCACTTGTTGTTTTGGAGAGATTTTTGCTATAGGGCGTGTGCGCTCACCAGAAAGACAGAGAAAGACAGAGAGAGACAGAGAGACAGAAAGCGAGAAATCACCCCCCAGGGAGGATGGCCATGCCATGATCCCTTCCTCTCCATTTTCCATTTTCCTCCTGGGATCCTGAGCACGCACGCACAAGCACCCGGCCTGAGTTTAAGCCACCGGGTTCGGGACTCAAACCACGGTCAACTACATGGGAGTCCAGCAACATAGCCATTACGCTAACTGCTGGTCCCGAAGCAGCACTCTTAACACACCTTTTCTAGGTTTTCTTCAAGAACCTAGTGGTGGAATTGATGGTTATAAGACCCAAGTTATTTTTAGTGCCTTTTAAATGTATTCTGCAATGTTTGAGGGGACTTCAAAAAGTGTGTTAGAAAGATGGACTTAAAGTATGAGTTTGTTGGTGCAGAAAAGTTTGAGATCTGTGCATAGTTTTTTCATAACACACATTTTCCATGAACTTCCTAAAGAGCTCCTCGTACATCATTTTACCATAAAAAGTTAGAAATCACTTTGTTTCACGGGGCGGTGGGGAGTTATGCCCAGTCTGAAAGCCACAGTTTTCCATGGAGCTTTCTTTTGCTAAACCAAGCTATGATTTGTGTTGTGAAAATGCTTGATTTCTAGAATAATTTGGCTAGATTATTTTGGCCTATTCAATTTAACTGGGGCTTATAGTTTGACCTGATGTGTGTCGCTAAAATGTACAGTTGTCTCCCGCTTTTTAATCCCTCTCTCCTGTTGATATGTGGCAAAGAGAATATATTGGGTCATCAGGAAAGTCATGACACATTTTTGTATAGAAAAATACGTCATGAATTTTCCAACCACCTAATACATATCAATAATGTACAAGAGATTTATACATTTCTAAAAGTTTCCCACATTGAGTGTTTTCCTATAATTCAAATTAGGGGAATAAAGGGACTTCAAAAAGATCATGGAAAAATAGAATTAAAGTATGAGCTTATTTTGGTGCAAAAAATGTTTGAAGTCCATGCATGGTTTTTTTTTTTTTTTCATAATATGCATTGTCCATGAATTTCTGAAGACCCTCTCCCTATGCCCGTATCTTTATGAGAGCATAAAAGCTGCTTTTACATTTAATGTTCTTTCTGTCAGGCCTGCAATTGTAGCCGTGTGGGATCGGTCAGTCCTCAATGCCATGTGCTCACCGGGGATTGCCATTGCAAGTCTGAATTTGGTGGACGGAGATGCGATCAGTGCTCCCTGGGTCACAGAGACTTTCCAGACTGTGTCCCCTGTGACTGTGACCTGAGGGGGACTTTGGCAGACACCTGCGACCTGGATCGAGGTCTCTGCGAGTGTGCAGAGGAAACTGGAACTTGCTCTTGCAAGGTGCGTGCTGTCAACCCTCCACTTTCTCCTCATCGTTATGGCTCTTAGGGTTTGACTTTGTTTTTCATTTACTTAAAGTTTATTTCTTTCTTCTATGAGCAAAAGGGCTGAAAGAGACAGACAGCCATCCTCAAGAGGGTCTTCCCACTTTAATCCACACCAAGGCGGAGCCAGCCCCAGATCGTGGGCATGTGTATGTCTAGTGTGTTCCCGGGGCTCTCCAGATATGAACCCAGCACCTCCCCTGAAGGCCAGCCCTGCAGAGCATTGCATGTTACCACTGCACCATCATTCAGCTTTCACCTGTTAAAATAAGCAGCGAGGTTCCAGATGCACTTTTCGTCATGAGCTCACACTCCTTCTATATCTCAGTTTGAAGTCCTTGCAGGCTGTTCTAGAGTGAGGGGTGATTCTTAAAGTGGAATTTTTGCTGTGTAATTACATGCGTCACGTGGGGAAACTGATGTGAAAATTGCATGGAGTTTTCTATCATGTGTTCCAGTTAGCTGATTAGCCAATCTGTCATGAATATTCAGGTAAAATAGATAACATAGTGCTTCAAGATTTGCGATCTCATAGCTGTGAGGCAATTACACTCCTGCGTGTGCTGGCCATGCCCGAGGAAATTCACGTTTATTTTTCTCCCTGGAGGAAAGCTTTCAATGACATTGGCAACCTTACATATTTTCATTAATTTTCCTAATTTGTGTTGTTATTAGGAGGTGACTGTCACCTTCTCTGGCCCTTTTCCCATGGGTGGCAATTGAGGGGCAGAGGGTAATGAGCTGACTAGCATCTGGAGATACTGAAGGGAGGTTCACATAGATATTTTGACCTGGGAGTAACGAAGACACCAGCCTCCTTAATTTTGGCTTACCATATTTCATTGTAACAATATTTTAATTAATAATGTTATTAACATAAACATTGTTACAGTATGATTTTTCAGTACCTGCATACAGTGTGGGATGATTACATCAGGAGTTATGGCAACAGTGTTCATTACAGACCATCGGAACAGCAAGTACCTGCCGTAATGATCACCTGGGGACCAGTAGTTCTCCACACTGGCTGTTCGTTAGAATCACCTGGGAGCTCAAGAGGTGGATTCCAGGGCCATCCCAGGAGATTATTATCAGGAAATCTGTACTTTCCGAAAGCTTCCAAGATGATTCTGATAATCAGCCATGTTTGGGAACCACTGAGTCTTTGAAAGAGCTCAGAGAAGATAGGGAAGATACCCGAGAAGATAGCTAGCGCTCCAACGTTGATGGATCCAAAGTGATTTTAGAGTTGTGTTTTGTCTTGATTTGCTCAGAAATTGCAATTTTTTTTTCCAGGCAAAAGTGAGTCTCTTATTTGTTCTCCTTTAGGAAAATGTCTTTGGCCTTCAGTGCAGTGAATGTCGAGCCGGCACCTTCGCACTCCAGGCAGACAACCCTCTGGGGTGCAGCCCCTGCTTCTGCTTTGGGCTGTCGGGCATCTGCTCAGAGCTGGAGGGCTACGTGAGGATCCCAGTAAGTTACCACATAGTGAATAGGCTCTGCTTTAACCACTTTCCCTTGGGAGTCAGGTGCGGGTAGGAGAGCCAGTCAAGTACTCACACTAAATTTTGTTCTTTTTTTCTTTGAGAGGTTTTTGCCTTAGGGTGCTTGTATTCTCCAGAGAGAGAGAGAGAGAGAGGGAAAGTGAGAAATCACCCCCCAGGGGGATGGTCACACGACAATCCCTTTTCCATTTTCTCCTTGGGATCTTGCTCCCACATGCGCACACACACCCAATGTGAGTTTCAAGCCACCAGGTCCAGGACTCATACTGTAGTCAGCCATGTGGGAGTCCAGCGATGTAAGCACTGTGCCATTTGCCGGTCCCAATTTTGCTCTTTTTTAAAAAGTTTATTTATTTATTTCATGAGAGACAAACAGAGAGACAGAGACCCCCAACAGAGTCCTCACTCTGCAGTCCACCTCCAGCCTCAGCCAGCCAGAATCTCAGGGTACACAAGAAGACCTCAGGACATGAACCTAGGGCCTTCCCAAGTGAGTCGAGCATTGCAGAGTATTGTGTTACTGCAACACCATTGGCTGGACTCAATTTTTGCTCTTATGGCACCAGATAGTCTAGAAAGCTAATGTGAGTTAATGTATGAGAGGACTTCAAAGTTCATGGAAAATAGATTTAAAGTATAGGGTTGTTTTAATGACAAAAAATATTTGAAATTCATGCATGCTTTTTCATAATATGATTTCCCATGAGTCTTTTAAAGCCCCCTTATGTGAATCAGAGCTCCATATTTTAAAGCATGCAATAAATGTTAATTTTTGTTAATATTCAACAGTTAATTATATCCTCTTTTAAAATACTTCTCATTTTTTCTCATTTCCCATGTAGCAGAGTTTCAAAAATTATTTGTTGATTTGATTAAATTGTTTTTAATTATAGTTTTTTTTTTAAAATGTTGCCAGAGGATGTGTGCACTCACCGGAGAGAGAGAGAGAATCAGAAAGCTCCCTCCCCCCCGCTCCCCTCCGCCTTGGGGAACAGTCATGTGACAATCTCTTCTCCTTTTCTCCCTCTTTTCAGGATTTTGGGCATGCTTGTTTCTCAAGATGCAGGGCCAGGGACTTGAACCGTGTTTCCAGCCATGTGGGATCCAGCCATCCCTATCATCTTGCCACCCAACTGGCCCAACTGTAATTTCTAATTGGCATATGATAGTTGAACATGATCATGGACTATAGTGTGGTATTTCAGTATATGTATACATGTGTCATGATCAGATCAGGGGTTCTGATGTCCAAGGAAATAAATAGAGCTTAACTAAAAACATTCAGTGTTGCCCCTTCTCTAGTATATCAAAAGCTTTAACTGGAGAAAAGCTAAAACTGCAACATCTTAACAGTCTCTTTCACTCAATTAACATAGTGTCAAGGTAGCAATAATGGGATCCTAAATGCAGTAGCAGTTTAAAGCACTTCCAGTCCATTTGCATGCAGATGTCTAGTTTAAAGGCAGTCTTTCCTATTTCTGCTTATAATGGAGCACTTTCATCTGTGAAAGGATGGTGCCATCTGATGGGTCAAACAAGGGTGCTTAATTCATATTCTGAAATGCATCTGTCTTCCTTTCAATGACTAGGTGACGCTGGATTCAGACCAGCCTCTCCTGCGAGTGGTTTCCCAGAGTAACCTGAGAGGCACGGCCGAGGGGGTGTATTACCAGGCCCCCGATGTCTTGCTAGATGCTGTGACTGTCCGGCAGCATGTTAAGGCAGAGCCGTTTTACTGGCGGCTGCCGAAGATTTTCCAGGGAGACCAGGTGAGGCACACACCCAGCCTAGAGCTGAGTTTTGCTTCCTGGAGGATACAGATATCATTTCAAACTATTATGGTCTGTGCTGGCCTGTGTTTGGAAGAAGTAGCTGTAAAATTTCCTCTTCTTAGTGGGGATTGAAGAGTTCAGTGTAAAAATCCCCTCAGACATATGGACCATTAACATTTTTTATTGGTTTTGAGTCTTTTGAAATTTGAATCATATGAATTTTCTCTTTCCCAATGAAGTCATTCAACAAATGTATGTTTACTAATATCAGCTCAATACAAACCCAGGTGCTATAGCCCAGGAAGTTCTTAAGAAATGATCACTCAGGTTTTTTTTTTTGGGGGGGGGGGAAACTTACTATAAAAAATCCATAAAATGTATTGTTTGGGTTTCTGTCTATATAAACACCTGAGTCTGTGTGTGAATACACCCTGATCTTTAAAATTTGCAAATATACATCCAGTACTTCTATAGATGTAAATAATTTTTTTCAAGAATATTTTTAAGTTTATTTCTTGAGAGAGAATAAGGGGCACCTTGTCAGGGTTGGTCATGCTCCAGTCTTCCCCTAGACCTTGAGCTAGTCAACATCTTGGATGTCCATGCATAGCATGTTTGAGATCCACTCGGGACCCAAACCCACAGTCAGCTCTGCGGCTTTCAGCTCTGCAGATCAGTACACTACCACCCGCACTACCAAAATGGGGACACCTACCAATACTTTTTAATTCAAAGAAACTCCAAAAATTAGAATCGTCACCACATTGCTTTGTTAATTTGGCTCTTGCCTCTGTTGGTGTCATTGAGAAGAACTATAGCTTGGGCCAAGTTAATAATCCATCCATAAGTAGTAGAAAGAAGCACATTCCAGACTACTTATTTCATCCACGTGATGTGTTTTTAAGAGCAAAATTTCTTTCAAATGGTAGCAGGTTGGCAATAACATTTTCTAAGCCGAGACTGTGCCAGAGAAGTAAGAAACCTTTCTTGTTTGATAGCTCATGGCCTACGGTGGCAAACTAAAGTACACCATCGCCTTCTATTCCTCTGATGGCGTCGGCACCTACAATTTTGAGCCCCAAGTTCTCATCAAAGGAGGTCGGATCAGAAAGCAGGTCATTTACATGGATGCACCAGCCCCAGAGAATGGAGTGAGACAGGAACAAGAAGTGGCAATGAAAGAGGTGATGATGCGATCTTTTCACGTATGTCCTGAACGTTACCAACAGTGCGGTAAAAACTCGAAGAAACTCATAATAGGGTGACTAGAAGACTGGCATCAAATTCCACGGGGTTTAGTGAAATTTCTAAAACCTATTTTATCTTCTTAAGAAATGTTTATTAGGATTATGTTAATTTAGTGGCAATGTCATCTTAAATCTGTATCTTGCTACACAGGCCTCAACCTTCTATTGGGTCCTTGGAAGAGTCATGATGCATTTTTTGCGTAGAAAAACATGGAAAGTACACTGTGACCTTTCTGATGACCCAACAGATATTATGGCACAGAAGTCTTCGAGCTTGTTCAAATTTGGGTAGTGTCTATTTGTTTATGAAGCAGATGTTGACTGAGCATTCATGTTGCTGGCATTGCCCGAGTGATGTGTATCTATTGATTCATGAGGCTGGCTCTGTGCCTGTTCCCTAGAGGTTGTAGGAGATCTTCATCAATTAAATTTAGTGGCATGCATAGAACAGGGCTGGCATCGGGAGAAACATATGCGATAAATATGTTCATTGTAAGTTCATATTGCCTGTGAGCATTTGTCCTCTCACTTAATTGAATATGATTCTCATCCACAGAATTTTTGGAAATATTTTAATTCTGTTTCTGAAAAACCTGTCACACGCTCGGATTTTATGTCCGTTCTTAGCAATATTGAGTACATCCTCATCAAGGCATCATACGGTCAAGGGTTACAGCAAAGCAGGTACTTGAAAGTTTCTAGAATCTTTGGTATATTTTTGTTTGAAACCAACTGAAGGGGTTTGATTCACTTTACTCCCATTATGTACTATCATTATTAATATGAGAAAGCTTCCAAAACTATGGGAAGTGGATATTATGTAAAAACTGCATGAATTTCAAATTTTTTTTGCACCAAAATGAACTTATAACTAATTTGGTTTTTCCACAAACTTCTTGAAACCCCTCCATACATAATATCAGTTTCTTATCAAAACATTGTTAAATATTAATGTCATTATAGAATGTGTGAATATTCACATAAATTATTCTAGTGTGGATATAAAATATAAATGCATAATGATGGACTCTTTTTTTTAGAGGTTCTTGCCATAGGGAGTGGACACTCACCAGAGAGAGACACAGTGAAAGGGAAAGTGAGAAATCATTCCCCGGGGTGATGGCCACACTGCAATCTCTTCTACTCCATTCTCCTCCCAGGATCTTGGGCATGCACGCAAAGGAGCCCAGCGTTAATTTCAAGCCACTAGGTCCAGGACTTGAACCATGTTCGGCCATGTGGGAGTCAGCAACATAATCATTCCACTATCTGCTTGCCCTGTATTGATGGGCTCTTAGAGGAAAAAAAAAAAAAAAAAGCCATTTTCTGGCCACGTAAACCACACTTCCCATTTCTTTATACTGATGAGTAAAGAATGCTGTCCCCTATTCATTTAATATGTTACCCCATGAGAAAGGTAGTAAATCTTGGCCACACCAGTACTTCAAGTGGGCTTTCAAGTGCACTTCCTGTAACATTATCTTTAAACTCAAAATGTCCTTGGAGGGGGAACAGTAGATGGCATAATGCTTATATTGCTGGACTCCATGTAGTCGACCGCAGTTTGAGTCCCAGACCCAGCAGCTTAAAACTCATACTGGGCATGTGTGCATGTGGTTCCAAAATCCTGAGAGGAGAATGAAGAAGAGGGGATTGTGGCATGGCCATCCCCTCTGGCAGGTAATTTCTCGCTTTCTATCTCTCTCTTTCCCCGGGCGAGCTCATGTGCCCTATAGCAAAATTCTCTTTCTCTCAATAAATAAATATAGTCTTTGGAGGATCTTCATTGTAAAATGACAATACTAATGTACTTTAATGTATTTTGTTTATAATCATGAGTACCAACCCACTACACATGTTGAGAGGAAAGCTCTGGTTTTGTAAATAAGCAAATGTTATGTGCAAGGTTTCTAGAAAGGTTTTTCAATGTTAGTATTTCCTCTCTCACTTCTTAACATAATGGTTGCGCAGAATCTCAGGTATTTCACTGGAGGTTGGCAGGAAGGCTGAAGCATTGCACCCAAAGAGAGAGGTGGCATCCCTTTTAGAGAACTGTCTCTGTCCTCCTGGTACGGCTGGATTCTCATGTCAGGTAGGGTGATTCCAGCTAAAATCTGTTTCCTTGTTTTGAGTTGAAATGTGTTCATCGCGGCTACTCTAAATGTTGAACAGAATGCTTGTATATATCTTATTTTACTATTTTTTCCTCTGGTTTTAAATTCTAAAAAATTCATTTTTGGTAAAATATGCATGACATCAAATTTACCAGCTTGACTATTCGTAGGTGTACAGTAGCTCAGTAGAACAGTCCCTCCTTACCTAAAGTTTTGCTTTCTGCGTTTCAGTTACCTGCAGTCAACCATGGTCCGAATAGTGATGAGTCCAGTGCAGTAAGATATTTTCAGGGACAACGACACATTTGCATAATTTTTAGTACAGTATATTGTTAGAATTGTTCTCTTTTATTATTAGTTATTGTTAAACTCTTATTGTCCTAATTTATAAGTTGAAGTTTATCACAGAAATGTCCATATAGGAAAAAGCAGTATTTATAGAGTTTGGTATTATCTGTGGTTTCCATTATGCATGGAGGGTCTTGGAAAGTATCCCCCACAGATAAGTCGAAACTAGTGTGCACTCCCACTGCCGTGGAATCTCCCGAGCTCTTTGCATCTTGCAAAACTGAAACTCTGTACGCATTCAACAATTCCCCTTTCCCTTATTTCTAGCTCCTGAAACTCCATTTTACTTTCTGATATTACAAATTTGACCACTCTAGGTATTTCACATAAGTGGATCATACCTTTTTGTGATCGGCTTATTTTGCCTAAAATAATGTTTTTGAGGTTTATCCATCTATAGCATGTGTTAGAATTTCCTTCCTTTTTAAAGCTAAATAATATCCCCTTGTATGGATATACTACTGGGTTGTCAGAAAAGTCGTGGCATATTTTTTCTAAGCAAAAATGTGTCATGACTTTTCTGATGACCCAATATATATTGTTTATCCATCCATTCTTCTATAGGGACTTGGCTTGTTTCAACATTTTGACTACTGCAAATAGCCACATAGCTGCTATGACCCAGCACAGGGGTGCATGCTGTTACAACACTGTGCTCCATAGGCTGAGACCGCAGGGGAGGCCTGAGTTCAATTCCCGTTCAACCTTAAGTCTAGGTGTGGGCGTATGTGCCTGTAATCCCCACCGACTTGCAGAGACTGAGGCAGGAGAATTTTGACAGTTTGAAACTCCGTTTTAAAAACATGCTGGTCTGAACATGTGTGTATGATACCTCTTCAAGTTCACTTTTTTCGATACATACCCAGGACTGGAATTTCAGGGTCACATTCAGTTTTCCCTTTTCGAGGACATACGATACTGTTTTCACAGCAGCTGCAGCTGCACCATTTTACATTCCCACCTGCAGTGCATGAGGGTTCCAGCTTCTTCACAGCCTCACCAACACGTGCTGTTTTCCAGTTTCTAAATACTAAATGATATCTCACTGTGCTTTTGATCTGCCTTGTCCTAATGATAGTGATGATAGGTCTCTTCATGTACTTATTGGCTATTTGTGTATTTCTGGAGGTAGAGCTATTCAAGTGCTTTGCCTAATTTTTAATCAGATTTTTTTGTTTGTTTGTTTTCCCCTTTTGCATCCCCTCAGGACTGTGCTCCCGGGTTCTACAGAGGGAAACTCCCAGAAGGTGGTGGCAGGGGACCCCGACCTCTGCTTGCCCCTTGTGTGCCCTGTAATTGCAACAACCACAGTGATGCTTGTGACCCCGAAACTGGGAAGTGCCTGGTATGCTTGCTTGTGTGGGTGCTGGCCTGAAGATTAGAGTTAGCATAGAAATGGGTATTTACACTTCAGGTCTACAGTCATACAGTTCCTTGCTGTAGCAGTAAGTTAAAGTTTAGCTAAATACTATAAAATATAAATATATTTCCTTCAGAAGAGCTTGGTCTAACATAGCCAGTGGAAATTATTATAAATTTTACTTCATTGGTGAGTTTGTTCATGGGCACCCCTTTGGGAGTTAGCTACATGCACCTTGTTTTCACTTGCAGTTCTGGTGACTAAAGTAAAAAAGAGATGAGAACTTTATTTGATAGAGTTCAAAGACTCACTTGAAGTTTTTATAATAAGTTAATGCCAAATATTGAAATTTTATTTCTATGTGTAAAATAGGGCCTTCTTTTTATATTAAAAAAAATACGTATCCTTTTGGAAGATGGTAATGTAACACAGAATGTTCACATCTTGGTATGCCTGCCATCTTCCTCTAGACTATGTTAGTCCTGGGGACAAGAGGAGAACTTTGGCCACTGGAGAACACCGCATGATCCAGACAGAATGCTGTGGCACTGAAGACTAACCCTTTTGTTCTTTCTTTCTTTCTTAACCTTGTTTCTTTCATGAGAGTGAGAGGCAGAGAGAAAGAAAGACAGGCATCAACAGGGTCTCAGCCATGATTCCCCCCTGCTTCCCAGCCAACCAGGATCATGGGTGCTTATTTCCAGAACTGAACTGTGACCTATTATATGGGTCCAGCATCCCTGAGCAGTGTATTACCACTGAGTCACCAAGCCCTTAGGACAAACGCTTGTGTCTGTGATTTTTGCCTAAGCTAATAAGCTCTTACTGATAATGTAAACTAATCTGATATTCATCGCCTCCTTCTAAAATCTCATTCCATACAAGAACTCAGTTGAAAATATTGGTTACTTATATAAATTGTGCCAAGACTAACCACTAGGTAAAATAACTCAGTGAAGGAAAACTAACTGCCCTTTAAGAAGGACATCCCTGAAGCCTTAGAGATGCTGAATGGGGAGCAGAACAGAGAATTAGGACAACGGGCTTCTAATGGGCCATCCTGGATCTGCTGCTTCTTTCATTCAGAGGTGTCTTTTGTACTTGGAGTTTAAAGGCAATTTCCCCTGGGAAAATTGCTACACTACAGCAGTGCACAGGTGAATTTAGAAAAAGAAGTACGGCATGGTTTTCCTCAATAAAAAAGATACATGTTAACCTTTGCTGACTCCATCATTATGTGGAGGTTAAGAATTATTCTGGTCATGCGAGGTAAAATGGATTTAATGAAGATGTAAATAGCTGCAACACCATTTTTAAAAATGTGTTCAGTCTAATTAGCTCATGCTCCAGCCAAAGAGTAAAGGCAGACCTAATTGAGAAAATAAGATCTCATTTAAGGATTTAAAGAGAATTGATTTCAGGCAAATAAAGTGAGGTGTAATTAGCTGGGAAGGTCTCTTGGCCAATCATGGAGACAGAGGTCATGGACGTAGTTAAAGGAGTTGATCAGTTCTCTCATGCTTCATCTTTCCTTGTTGCACCTATTTTAGCAAGATTAAATATTCCTAAAACATTATTAAATTATCACCCTGCCTTTCCTGACCCAGATTCACCAAGGAAAGTTATAAGATCAGCAGTTGATCTGTTGATTTGTACCTTACAAATAACAGCCTGCTTAACTCAATCTATTGGAAGACCATGGAAAATTCCCCTTAAAGTGAACTATGGCTCAGAGCTATCAGGCAGGTCCCTACTCTGGGTAAATGATTTGCATGATTTTTCTTGGATGTAACCTAAAATACCTAAGAGACTTTAGCTGGGACTGTTAATGGAATGTTGCAGTATACAACAATGATGGCACGTACTGCCAGAAAAGTAGACAAAGACTAAATTTATTCTGCTCTCCTGCAATCTCATGGTATTAAACAGATCACATTTTTATTCATGCTTTTCCCCCTTTTTATGGTTCTATATTCTGTCCTGAGTGACTTCTTCATTCTTGGTTACCACTTACTGCCAATATCTGTAACCAAAGCCCCATTCTCAACAGAAAATAGCCTGGGCTTAGAATACAGAATTTCAGGGTTGCAATGGTTCTTGCATTCTCGCCAATCTTTTCAGGTTTTAAGTCTGAAGTAGAGCATCCATGCCAAGTGGTTATTCAATGACTATTCGCACACCTTTAACAATGGGGAGCTTACTCCCAAAGCAGGCCAACTCACCTCCGGGCAGCTCTGGTTATTCCTGGAGCTGGTTCCCCTAAATCATGTACTAGCTGGTGCAGTTTTATTCTTTGAAGCCATTGATGCAAACAAACCACTAGTTCAAGTTTATTAATACAAAGTGGTAGTATTTTAACAAATCTCTTCTTGCAAAACTACTTTATTGAATCCCTCATGCACACATCTACAGGCCCTGAATCTTCAGGCCATATTTCCTCAGTTTATGTACCTGAAATTGTATTGAGTAGCTGGGTTTATGTGATGTGGTTGTGAGGTCTGTTCCCCATCCTGAGATGCTTTTATCACCATCTATCTTGACGCATCATGCCCAGAGCCTAATGCCTTCACTCCAGGAAGAGATGGGACATCCCTTTCTAATTCAAACTACCATATCTCCATGACACAGCTGAATAATCTAGCCCTCCTGGTCACTGCTACCTCATTGCACTAACTAGACATAAAGACCTTCCCATTCTTTCCAACAATATAGCATTTGACTCACTTCTTGCTCTTGAACTCAGACCTCACCTTTCCTTCTCAGTTTTCAGCTTTTAGATGCCTTTTGTGATTTAGTATCAGAATTCATTTAATTTTAACGGAATCTCCTAAGCACTCCCTCCATACTTGTTATTGAACAAGTGGGTGTCAAGACATTTTTGGATCTGATTTTGTCATCCAGTGTATAGAATGTTTCTCCTGGCTTCATGTTTGGAATTCTCATAAAAGGGATCCATTAGAAATGTGACCTGTCAGTGGGGTGGGGACACCAAGGACCAGAGCGGTACTCAGGGAGAGTCAGCTAAATGCCTCAGGAGTCCCTCTCTTCCACTATCCACTCTCCACCATCCCCTCTGGGAGAAACACTGATAATTATTGGAAAGTGTTCTCTGTGCATCTCCCCCAGTCATCAGTTCATCCCACAGTTTAGTTCTTATTAATAGGCCCCTATTTCTCTGCTACTCTTTTTCTTAAGTTGTCACATAATAATTATGCATATTTACGGGGTACAGTTTGATGTTTGGACACTTAAGTACACTATGTAATGATCAAATCAGGGTAGTTAGCATATACATCACTTCATGCATTTATCTTTTCTTTATAGGGAGAATGTTCAAAATTCTCTCTTCTACCTATTTCAGAATATTATTGTTAACTAGAGTCACCCAACTATGCAATAGAATGCCAGGACTTACTCCTGTTAACTAATTGTACCTTTGTTAACATAGCCCAACCTCTCCCTGTCCCCACTCCGACACCTCCTCTCCACTCTCTGGTAGCCTCTGTTCTCTGAGGTCACCTTTTTTAGATTCCACATGAGTGAGATCATGTGGTGTTTGTCTTTCTGTGCCTGGCTTATTCCACTTAACATAGTGATCTCTAGGTCCATCCATGGCTTTTCTTTCTTTTTTTTTATTTTTAAGAATTATTTTATTTAACTTTTATTTATCTATTTCTTTATTTTAATTTGACCAAAGAGGGACAGAGTGAGAGAGCAAGAGAGAAAGAGAAAGTGAGAAAGAAGCTGCCAGGTCAGGACTCGAACCGCAGTCAGCCATGTGGGAGTCCACCGTGTCATCTGATGGCGCCCATCCACGGATTTTCACATGAGAAGATTTTAATCTTTCTTATGGCTGAATGATATTCTTTTCTATAAATACACTTCATTTTCTTTATCCGTTGATCTGTGGACATACATTTAGGTCGAGTCCATATCTTGGTTACTGTGACTAGTACTACAGTGAACACTGGGAGTACAGGCATTTCTTCAACATACTGATTTCATTTCTTTTGACTATATACCCAGTGATGGATTGCTGGACCGTAAAGTTCTTTTTTGTTGTTGTTGTTAGACTGTATAGGCACTCACCAGAAGAGAAATGGAGAGAGGAAGAGGGAGAACCCCCCGCAGGGGGCATGGTCATGCATTTCTGTACCCTGTCAGGATTTGGAGCATGCATGTGCATGTATCTGGTGTGTTTTTCAAGCAGCCAGGGTCAGCATTTGAACAACATTGTTAGCCATGTGGGATTGGTTTCCTTAACCACCAGGCCATGGGGTGGCCCAGTACTATTTTTTGGTTTTGTTTTTAAGATTTTTGCTATAGGATGGATGTGTTCACTGGAGAGAGAGACAGAGAGAAGAAAAGTAAGAAATCACCCTTCCTGGGGGGTGGCCACACTGCAATTCCTCCTCTTACATTTTCCTCTCAGGGTTTTGGGCATGCACACACACATGGGCCATATGATTTCCAAGCCACCAGATCTGGGACTTGAACTGTAGTTGGTCAGCACCCCAATCACCATGCCACACTGATCCTTATTTTTAATTTTTATTTTTTTTTAGAAACCTCTATAGTGTTTTCCTTAGTGAATCGACTAATTTTTATTCCTTTCCATTCTTTGGAGCACCTGGTCTCAAATCCTCTAAAATCTTGAAAAGCAATAAACCCATGATCCAGTGTATGTTAGGAGGAGGAAGAGTTTTTTATACAAGAGTTCATGTCAGCAATGGAAAAACCGTAGTATTTGCTTCAATCCTCTCATCATCTAATATTTTACTTGCCAGTTTTATTCTATATTGTTGCAACCCATATTTAGCATATTTACTTTTTAAGTGAGAGGTTGCAATTTTTTTTTTCTAAAGAGAGGCAGGTGTTAGGGGCCAAGTGGATCCTAGTAAAATCTACTTTTATTGGGTGAAATAGGAACACCATTTTAAAGTAAAATTACTGGAATATTTTTAAATTTAAAAATGGCTTGAAAAATAGTCTTAAAATATAAATTGGTTTTATAAGAATGCATACCGATTTCATCATTTCTCACTGCCAAGGATAAAAGAGTGAGTTTTAGAGTTTGCTCAGGGGCTCCTCAGGGTGACTGGTATTTCCGTCCCAGCTATATCACACATGGACTCCTGTGCACAGGAGCCGGGTAAATAGTGATGAATTAAGCAAAGCAGATTTTAAATTGGAATCAGATGGCACCAATTGCTTGCTCTTTTAGCTTAGAAAAATTGTGCACTCTTTTTTAAATAGGAAGACCACAAGTCCCAATAATGAGGTAAAATTTGGTTATTGCAAAAATCTATTATCTATTGGTATTGTATGACTATGAATTTTTTTCCTCATTGTCTAATCCCTAAATCATTTATCCATCCACCTTGGCTGTTTCAATTCCCTTCCGATAATTGCTGAACCCCGACTGTGTGTAAAACCAGTGTTTCACATAGTTTTTTGGGTCACTGTATAATTTAGATCTGTATTTTAAGGTTCCCCAAACTGGTTTTTTGTAGGAATCCTGTGTCTATTTTCCTTAAGAAGAATGTATTAGTAATTTCTAGGCTGTCTTAGATAAATGTAGTCTTATGATGAATGAAGGCCAGAGAGCAGGAAATGTTTCCAGAATTTTTAAAATATGAAGAAGAATATTCCTCCTTCCTTAAGAATTAAAAAAAAAGTCAGCTGCTATGAAAGGTGGGAGTGCTTAGTTGTGACCAGATAAGGATAATTTCTAACAATTGCCCATCAATTTCTTCTCCTTTCGAAACATGGGGATTCAGAACTGCAATGATAATACAGCTGGTGACCACTGCGATGTGTGTGCTCCCGGCTACTATGGGAAGGTGACCGGCTCGGCCAACGACTGCTCTCTGTGCACCTGTCCTCACAGCTACCCTAACAGGTAGGCCCGCACAGGTGCAGCCCGGCATGCTAGCTTCATGGGAGATGGGGCTGCGTCCACGCCCAGCCTCATTTTCTGGAGTGTCTGTGTGGCCTTTATTAGTGTTTTCCGTGTGTTAGAAAGCTAATTGTAAGAAGCAGTGTTTAATCTCATGAGCATTTGATGAGAATTTTCTCAAAAGCAAAGCACTCTTGTTGGTATTAGATGTTAGAATGGAACCAAATAAAGAAAGGGCTTTTAAGGTTTTTTTTTTTTCTTTTTAAGATAAATTTGAAGACCCTGCTTATGTATTCAATCTGTATAGAGATGAGTTTTTATTAATTTTATGAATAGTAATAAAATGATCCAATTCCTGTTTGACTCAAAGGAATAGGGTTAGAATTCATATATTCAGGTGCCTTTTTAAGTGCTGAAATGCTGCAAAGTGATAAAATTAGGAATAGTTTCTACCTAGTACTCATGATGTTTATGTAGAATTATCTGAATGAAAAAACAAACAAACAATCCCCAGACAGTTGAAGTGGGCATTGGGATATCAATGGATTCTCTTTGATATAAATAAAAATTATAATTCATACATAGCATTTTATTATTACTTAGAATATTTGGCAAGACATTGAACATATCAAGGTAAAATGCCAACTTTTAGTATACTAAAATCAAATTTTCTTTTTAATTTTTGTTTCACTGTCTTTTTTTTTTTTGAGAGTTTTTTTTTTTTTTTTTTTGCTGTAGGCATGTGTGCTCACCAGTAAGACAGAGACAGAGATACAGAAAGTGAGAAATTCCCCCCCAGGGGATGGGCACACCACAATCCCTTTTCCTTCATTCTCCTCTTGGGATCTTGGGCATGCATGCACGCATGCCCAGCGTTAAGTTTAAGCGACCAGGTCGGGGACTTGAACCGAAGTTGACTACATGGGAGTTCAGCGACATAGCCATTACACCAACTGCTGGTCACTGACTGTTCTATTTTTCATTGTCTCCAAGCAAAGCAATGTCCATGGCAAATGCAAAAAAGAAAAAAGAGGCTCTGTGTGTACACTCCTTTGTCAACTATCAAGCACCCTCAAATTTGTTGTTACTCTTACTTATTTTTTGTATCCAATCTGTATATAAATTTTTAATATATCAATTCCATTTCTGTAGTCTCTGTTATAGAAATACTTGCATATTTGTGTGAAGACTGATGTGTTTTAGCATTACTCGTATTCAGGAGTAATTAGGGGAAAACCACAATAGCTACTACAGGTAGCTGGCGATTGGTTATAGATATGTGGCACCTTTCTGGAATCAAATATTGTACAAACACTGAGCAAAGAATCAAGCATGTCTGCAGGAACAGAATTGGAGAAATGATCAATCGAAGTATGCGACTGAATGTATAGTGATGCCATTCTGGAGTAAAATGTGTCCCTCTCTATCTATCTATATGTCTATATCGTATCTATGTTTATACCTATAGCTCTGTTGCTGTATGTGCCCAGAGAAATATTTAGAAGGATATTTCGTCTTCCTACTTTGTACCTTTCTGCAAATTTGAAGATTTTACTTCTTCAATTATAACGGATATAACTATGTCCGAAGCTCACATTAATAAATTAATGATTGCACTATTAGAAGAGATGAAGAGGATGTGAACATTCATGTGTGCTCAGAATATGAGAGATTAAAACACGTGTTTGTTCTTTTTCGAAATATTTTGCATTTCCACTGAAATCCATCCTTTACTATTACGGATGTGAAAACAAAAACAAAAAACAACTCAAAAGTGGCATGGAGCTCTTGGAGACTCATGCTGGAAATTTCATCTTAGGAGTCAAAAAGGAACCAGACTTTTCCCTAGTGGGCTTCTTGATTTTTCCGAAGTGTGCAGGTACCCAGCCTTGACTCTAGATGGCGCCTTGGTTATTTAAAACGTGGAAGCGGAGGATGCTGGAAAGAAAGACATCAGCCCAAAGCTGAAACACTTGAAAGCGACCAACATCTGAGATTACTAAACTTTGAGTGGCTCTGTCACCTTGCTTCTAATAACCTACCATATGACTCCCTTCCCACCTGTAGGTCATTTATTTCCAGATTCCACCCGAAGTCATAGCTGTTCTTTCCCCTTCCTGTCCTCTCCTTTCATGTCAAATCAAATTCTGTTCCTCCTTCTCCGTGGGCCTCTTCTCCCTGCTGTGTTTCATGCTTGCTCATAGTCATTTCAACCCTCCTACTACCTTATCACCCTGTAAGCCAAGGAACTCTTCACTCACCAGAGCTTTTTTACATGGGTGGCTCTTTTATTGGGTGACTACCTAGTTATGATCCACTTGGCACTCAGTGATCATCACTAGATGGAGGTCTTCTGAGTACAGGATATGCACACAGATATGCACACACACGAGCTGATAACGTGTTTCCTACTTTTTATTTAGTAGTGTATAAATCCAGACAGTGCGTCTAATCACCCAGCATAATCACATAGTTTGAGAACAGTCCAGTGTACCCTAGGAGTGATGAAGAAATACCTTAAAGATTCAAAGTTACAGATCTAAAAAAATTTTTTTAATTGTTTTCTTCCAGTTTCAGCCCCACATGTGTCCTGGAAGGTGATCATGATTTCCGTTGTGATGCCTGTTTGCTGGGCTATGAAGGTCAATATTGTGAAAGGTGCGTTGCTGAGCTACCCTCTGGAGACTGCTGGGTACATCTGCCCCTTTCATAACATGTTGGATACATTTACTGAAGTAATTTGGGAGTCACTCTGGGACCTCATTCCTGTTACAGAACAGTCCCCTGAGATGAAGGGACCCGTGTATTGTGTGCTGTGCTTTTCACATGGCAGAAATGAGCGTGCTTTATGGACATACTCATTGGTATTTGCTGTATGGTCTATACTTGCATCTCTTTCATTTTGCAGGTGCTCTTCCGGCTATCATGGGAACCCTCAAACACTGGGTGGCAGTTGTCAGAAGTGTGACTGCAGCCCACATGGCTCTGTTCACAACAACTGTGACCGCGTATCTGGGCAGTGTGTCTGCAGGCCAGGAGCCACTGGGCTCCGATGTGAGGAATGTGAACCGAGGCACATCCTGGTGGAAAGTGATTGTGTTTGTGGGTATCTCTCATCTCATTAGAGATGATTTTTCTTCTTAAATGTTTTCTTTTCTGAGGAAATAACTGGTTAGGGCACCCTGTTGTGTCAGCAGTTTTTTTTCAGCAGGAAGTGAAACATCCTGTTTTATTATATTATTTGAGGTAAGTCTAGGTTGCCTTTGCATCCAGTGAACTCGACCCTTGTGCATTTGTAAGCAGTGGCAGGAGGTTTAAGAATACCAACATTTTCTTTTCTGGCACTCAGAGCAGCACAATAATTTCGACTGCAGAGCTTAGCTGCACTAATAATTGCTTTAGTGGATCCCAGGGTCTGTCAACTCATGAGAGGAAAAACATCAGTGACACTGTCATTTGTGTTACCCAGATTTCATTATAGCTTCAGCTCTTGCAAATCCTGGATGTTTCATTTGTTTGTTTGTTTATTTTTCTGGTTCTGATTTATTTCATGGGCAAGTGTATCTCATAGTCATCTGTTGGGTGTGTGTGCTTAGTGGAGAGAGAAAGAGAGAGAGAGAGAGAGAGGAGAAAGAAAGAGAAGCAGTGAGAAAGCACCCTCAACAGTGAACGGTCACCCAGCCATCTCTCCTCTTTCTCCTCCTTTCAGGATTTTGGACACATGCACAGACCCAGCATGCTTCTGAAGGTGCTGGATCTGGGACTCAAATTGTATAGTCATCCATGTGGGATCTATCTGCCTTAACTACCAAGCCACAGGCTGGCCAATAATCTTTTCATCATATACACGACATTTTTGTGAACATTTTACAAGGTCGTGCAACCTCATGGGAAAATGGGCAGACCAGTTTGCATTCCCTGTACCTCTCTTTGTTCTTTCTTTCCCTCTCAGCTTGCAATGATGAGTGCGTAGGTGTGTTGCTGAATGACTTGGATTATGTTGGCGATGCCCTTGTGTCTATGAATGTCACCGGTGTTATCCCCATCCCATATGGAATTTTATCCAACCTGGAAAATACAACTGATTATCTCCGGGTAGGTACTAGAATACAGCGATGGATAGAAACATGTATCAGCGAGAGGTGAGGTCGGTGGGGTTGACTGGAGGCATCTGTCTGTCCCCTGCCCTCGCATCCAGGAGAGGAGCCTCACTTCCACTGACTCCCACAGGGAGGTTTTTAGCTGTTCTTTAAGCGTGACTGGTGGCAGGGGACTCAACATCTCAAGTAATAACTTCACGGCAGGACAACGCTGTTGTTTAGGAGTACCATAACTTTTTCCCCTGTGATCTTCAGTTTGCCTTTTGGAATAAGGTGAAGCCCACACACTCCTTTTTTTTTCTTAGAGATTTTTGCTATAGAGCACATGTGCTCGCCAGAGAGACAGACAGAAAGTGAGAAATCACCCTCTCTCCCCTGGGGGATGGCCATGCTGCAATCCCTTCTCCTCCATTCTTCTCTCAGGATCTTGAGGACAAATGCACACACACTTGGTGTGAGTTTCAAGCCATCGGGTCTGGGATTCAAACTGTGGTCAACTATGTGGGAGTCCAGCGACATAACCATTACACTATCTGCTGGTCCCCGACACCCTCCTTTTTTAAGTCAGAGCTTTGGGTATTTGAGAATGACTGTCCTAATACAAACTCAGAAAATAAACTTGGATAGTATCGTCTAGCATTGGCATATGCTAAGGATGACCATTTTCTGTTGCATGTATTTGTAATTGGAGTTGCAGAGCACAAAATTCCTCCTCCCTGGAAGGCGCTATTAAAAAATCTCTGGGGGGTAAATTCTAGTTTTATGTTTTGTCACAGAGTCTGGATCAAAAAAGAGTGGAAAGTTCAGAAGCTGACCTACTAGACAGCATCCTGTGTTAGCACTTTTAATTGGAAAAATGTGTGCTTTTTAGATTTTGCTTTATATTTGTACTCATACCTTATAATTTGCAATAACTTAGTCACTGTGTAACACAGCCATAAAAAGAATGGTCATTCCTAAATTCCTTTTCTTAGGCTCAAGATTCTCTTAGATTTAATATTTCCTTAGGGGTGTATGTTGGGTGGGACTGGTTCATTGCCTCATTCTTATTTCAGTGGTCTTTTCTCTAATATAGCAGTGAAGAAAGGTTAGGGAACTGTAAAAGACATTTTTCTTGAAATGGCAAAAGCCATTAAAAAAAATCTGAAAAAAAAGAAATACTTCAATTTATTTTTCAATCACTGTATACACAATCAGAAAATACTGTTTTCTGCCAGTTTGGGCCTCAGGATACAATTATATTTTAAGTTTCTCAAGTAAGATAAATACTTGACATAAAGTTGAACTGATTTGGGAACCAGGAGATGGTGTAATGATAACATCTCTGGACTCCCACATAGTCAACCATAGTTCAAGTACTGGACCAGGCTTAAAATTACACCAGGTGTGTCTGGGTGTGTGCCCCAAATCTCGAGAGGAGAATGGAGGAAAAGGGATTGCAGCATGGCCATCCTCCCCAGCGGAGGTGGTTTCTCGCTTTTTGTCTCTCTGTCTATCCTATAAGCACACACACCTTATAGTAAAACAATTCTCTAAAAAAAGAAAAAGTCTAAATAATTTTGAAAGATTTCTTCTCATTTAAACCAGTTTTAAATTTCATTAATTAACTTCTATGTTTATATAAAGTATTCAGTGGAGGTTAGGAGTGTGAGCTTTGACCTGTTCACTGTTCTCGTTACTTACCAATACAGCAATCTTGGGCAAGTTACTTAACCCCCTGACTCTAAATAGCAATACAGGTGGCCTTCATGGAAAAGGTATATATAAAACATATATATATATATTGTTTTTGAGAGTTTTTTTTTCGAGAGGTTTTTCTATCTCTGGCGAAAGACAAAGAGAGACAGAGATAGAAAGCGAGAAATCACCCCCCCACCACCAGGGGTGTGGCCATGCCACAATCCCCTCTCCTCCATTCTCCTCTCTGGATCTTGGGCACGCACGCACACTTGCCTGGTGTGAGTTTAAGCCACCCACCGGGTCAGGGACTCTAATCGCAGTCGACTACGTAGGAGTCCAGCGACATAGCCATTATGCTAACTGCTGGTCCCAGAAAAGGTATATTGTTAAAAACAAACAAACAAAAAAACAAAAAAACTGTGCATGAATTTTTAAACAATTTTTTGTATCAAAATAAGCTTGTAGTTTAATTTTATTTTCCATTAACTTGTAAAAATCTCCTTATATAGAATTATAAAGTTTACATAAAATTATACGAGTAAGGAAATTGAAAAGGTGCAGACATAAACTAAGCACTTAATTGTTGGTAACTGTAAACATTTTTTATTAAATACTTTTGTGTTTTAACCTAGTAAGTAGTTTTGAAGATATTGGCAACTTTAATTAAAATCTGACATTGAAATAAAGTTAGACTACAGCAGTATCAGAGTCTGCTTACCACACAGATTGTAAATTTGTAACTATGTAGGAAATATAATGCAGATGATGGCAGTATGGAATCATATAGTGATGGTCAAGACTTGAGTAACATGATTTTTCAAATGATCACTTCAAAAAAGGAAGAACTTCTGGGACCAGCAGTTAGCGTTAATGGCTATGTCACTGGACTCCCACGTAGTCGACTGCTGTTCGTGTCTTGGACCCGGTGGCTTAAAACTCACGCTGGGCGCATGTGTGTGCGTGCCCAAAATCCCGAGAGGAGGATGGAGGAGAAGGGATTGCGACATGGCAATCCCCGCTGAGGGGGGCTGGGGGATTTTTCGCTTTCTGTCTCTCTGTCTCTGTCTGTCTGGCGAGCGCACACGCCCTATAGTGAAAACCTCTCCAAACAAAAAAAAAAAAAAGGAAGAACTTCTGTGAATGAAAAAGAAAATAACAAGCGATTCTTTGTTAGGAACCACAATACTTTACTCTGAGGCATTGTCATTTGTTTCCTTCATTCTTCTTAGGAAGCTTTATTACAAGAAAACTCTCAAAAGGAAATGGCAAAAATGCACTGGGAAGGCGTTGTAGAACAAACAGACAACCTGCAAAAAGAGGTAAATTCTTCCCTAAAGAACCAGCTTATCGCTCAGCCACTCTCTCATGCTGGTGAGAGAGCACCTTGATGTTCTCTGGAACGTTCTGTTTATATCAGCCTGTTCCTACTAGGAGCTATGCTCCAGATATGTATCATCAGACTGGTTTTAATCCTGCCGTTTTCCGTCGTTTGCTGGGGAAAGACTCCTCACTTAATCTGTGTTATCACCTCTGCTGAGGAGAACTGGGCAGTCCCTTTGCTGTGTGACTTCCTTCTCCCCTGAACCAAAGGGGTGGGGGCAGGATTAAAGGATTGCTGAGGCTCTCTTCCTTCTCCTGAACTCATTCTCTAATTGAGCAGATGGCAAGCACCAGGCTCCCCTCAGAGGCATCCACAGGACACCAGTAATGCTCTCAGGGCTGGCCAGGCTGAGGAAGCATTGCACAGACCTCAGTATGTAGTGTCTGTGCAGCATTTGAGCCTTATTCTGGGGCGACTCTGATTTGTAGACCTAAAATGGCAACTGAGCTTGTTTTATGTTGGCAGGGAATTATTTATTCTGTTAAGCCTTGGCCAGAGGTATAATTTTTAGTGACTCAAAAAGAATCTTCTAATTTGCAGATAGTGAGGGAAGACTGTTGTCAAATTCGCCATTTTTCACTTATTAATCTTATATGTGCATACATATGTGCATGTATGTGTATATATGTATGTAACATGACAGCCTGTCTACTTATACCTATGTGTATCTAGTCTCTGTCTCTTGACATACACAATCATGCACCCCCAAAAAAGCATTAGCTTGGATCCTGTTAATTTAGAATTAATGATGATTTGGAAAGAGTTTAAGGGTTTAAGTTTGGGCTTTAAGTACCTCAGCGAGCAAGCATTTGGCAGGAAGTGATAAGCTGAACTGATTAAAGTAAATTCTCCCTACCTATTAAAGAAGATTTTCTTTGGTCTTGACTAGAAAATACTTTTAGATTCAGGCTGAGTTCTTGGAAATTACAAACAGCCATTCCTTTCACAAATTAAAAAATTCCTGATAAAAAATAACAGTTGAAGGCAGCTATATCTCAACCTCTGGGCTGCCTGCTTCATGGACATCACACCTAATTTAATCCACATAACAGCCCCATGTGGGTAGTGTCATTATTACCTGGATGTTATAGACGGAGCTTAGTGATGCCTAGGGCTATGGCCTGGTAGAATCAGGTCTAAAACCCAGTTTGCCTGATTGCATGTTCTTAACTGATTGAGACTAGGTTCTCATAGTCCATACATTGAGCTGTCAGAAAAGTCATGACACATTTTTGCATAGAAAAACAGAAAAAAGTACATGATATACAGCAAACTTTTATCTTCTATGCTTCATATACTTGAGTCTTGAAGTGCATAGGGGACCTTCACAATATGCACATAATATATGGTTTAATAGGTAGATTAACTATTCTTCCTTCTCTCCTTCCTTCCATCCTTTCCTCCTTTTTTCCTTCTTTCCTCCCCTCCCCAGAGGGTGTGAAAAGAGAAAGAGAGAGAGAACCCTGCTCTAATGGGCTTGGTCATACCACAATCCCCTTTCCTCTGATTCTCCATCTCATGAGGATTTGGGGGCACACACACACACATGCCTGTGTGATTTTCAAATTGCCAGGGTTGGGATTCAAACTGCAGTCTGCCATGCAGGATCCAGCTTCCTAAGTGAAACACTTAATTGTTGCACTAAGGGCCAGCCCCACTTAGTCAGCTTCTAATCCCAAAATCCTAATCTTAGTTTGCATTATCATGTACATTTTTACCTTACATTCTGGCAATGTGTTTTCTTGCTTAAAAGAGGTAACAACCAACTAGCATATCAAAACTCAAATGTTGTTTAATGTCGAACTGACCTGAGATCTTATGTTTCTGTCAGCTCACTAGAATGGTAACGAGGAGCCAGCAGGTGAAGAGGGAAACTGAGAGGATCCTCAGTGAGAGCCAGGACCTGGCAACTTCCATTGAGTGGCTTCAGATGAACATCAGAGGTATTGTGGGCGGTGTCTAGTTTTGGGGGTGTTATTTTTATTTGATAGAGTCACATTTGCTTTATAAAACATACAAATAGATATATGTCTCTTGCATTGGACTTCCTAGAGCCAAAGAACTAAAATATTCCATAGTTGGGGGATTCTGAAATATCCAGGACATAGTTTTTCACTGAAAATTTTATCTTTTATAAAATGGATGTTTACTGGCCAACAGATAGCATGGAGGATAAGGCACTAGGTTCCCACATGGCTGATGGTGGTTCAAATCACAGACTCAGAAGCTTGAAAATCAGCCAGGCACATGTATGGGCATGCCCAAAATTCTGAAAGGAGAATGAAGGAGAAGGGATTGCAGAATCGCCCTCGCCCCTAGAGGTTGATTTCTCACTTTCCCTCTCTCTGTCTTTCCCTGGCAAGTACATGCCCTATAGCAAACACTAAAACTAACTTAATAAATGGATGTTTCCTTTTTCATCTTCTCTATTATGCCTAACACATTCTCATTCTCAAACCCCATTACAGTGAAGTTGATATGATACTTTCCCATTTCTTTGGCTGGAAAAGGAGCTGACAGGATTAGGGATTTCAATTTAATACCTAAGTATATTGACCATAGCAGAATAAGTAGTCACCTCCCAGTTGGATCTGGTCTGGTTTTGAACATTCCAGTTTTAGATTTCTGGCTACCAGAAATAAATTCTTGCTTTTCTTTTGGATTATAGTAAGAGGCTTAGAAAGTACAAGATCCGATGCAAATTATATTTAATAAGGTAAAAGGTAAGGAAATTATTAGAATAAATAATGTTTAATAGAAATGGTAGTATCAAGTATTGGTGGTTTATTCATGGAGTAAATAGTTATTGAGGAGCTTTTATATGCAAATGTCTTTAGCAAGTACGAGGAATGCTGAGGTCAACATGATGGACATAATCCCTGCCTTTATGGAGATTATAGGTACCTGGGACGTTGTATGTTAAATGAACTGGCAATCTTAAGTTTATAAATGTTTTGTTAGGGGATGTCCAAAGTACATGGGATACAGGGATGGCCTGGCCCAGTCTAGCATGGACGTCCAACTCAGTTTAAATGAACCCTAGTGAAGAGCTTTCTCTGTTTTTACATTTAGTCCTGTTCACTTTGGGAGACATATTAAATGATCAATGAATTTTCTCCATAGAAATGCTTGAAAAGGCAACAACTTTAAATCAGACGTTGGACAAAGATTTCCAGTTCCCCAATTCTACTCTTCAGAATATCTGGCAGAATATTACAGCTTTGCTGGAAAACATACAGAAAAGACATTTCATGCAGTTGCACCAAAATGCTGCCCTTGAACTCAAGTAAGTTCTTAAGTACCGTTCTCAACAGTGTCAAGTAGAGATAGAAACAGACATTGAGGGAGAAGGAGGCATAATGGAAAGAAAGTGCTTACTGGGGCTAGAATGCCCTAACAGAAGGGAGGGAGTCTCCTCCAAATACAGGAAAGTGTAATCAGTGCAGCCTATCTTTATACAACTATGCAATAGATTCTGTTTCTCTCTGTGACTCTAGACCACCATTTCCACCTAGCACACGCAAAACTGACTCATGGTACCAAATTTATTGAAGATGAAGTATAAGGCAATAAACTCTCATAGAAAATACTGTTAGTGGCTACCCAGGCTGAAATCTTTCAGACAAATAGACTTTATTCCTCGATAATTTAGCTCAGTTATATAAATCTTCACTGAAAAAAAACAATGTAAGATGACATAGAGGTCACCAAAAATTGTTATATACAGTCACAAGAAGCTTGGAACTTCCTTTCAGGCTTTTTTCTTAACATTTTCCTATAAGCTATCTTTCTGCCAGGTTGTGATAAATGTCTTTGGTACTGTTTTAAATGGTCATATAATATTCCATCAAAACTTTATTCTCGGGAACCAGCAGTTAGCGTAATGGCTATGTCGCTGGACTCCCACATAGTCGACTGCGGTTCGCGTCCCGGACCCAGTGGCTTAAAACTCACGCCGGGTGCGTGTGTGTGCGTGCCCAAGATCCCGAGAGGAGAATGGAGGAGAAGGGAATGTGGCGTGACCATCCCCCCTGAGGGGTGATTTCTCGCTTTCTGTCTCTCTGTCTGGCGAGCGCACGTGCCCTATAGCAAAAAAAAAGAGAGAGAGAAGTGCTCAGAGAGGTGGAAGACCATGTCTGCTTAAGAGAAAGGGAAGTTTGAAGATACGGCAAAAGTGGACAAGGCCCATTATGAAAGAGAAATAAAAAAAACTCATACCCTCCTAAAAGGGAAACAAAATAGACATTCAAGGATCCCAATGCACCAAGAGGCCTTCTTCTAAAAAAAAAGAAAAAAAAAAAAACCAAAAACCAAAAAACTTTATTCTCTGTATTTAAATTATTTAGATGTTTTTTGCTATTTTATTTATTTATTTTTTTAAAGGAAGATTTTTGCTATAGGGCACATATGCTCACTCGAGAGACAGAGAGACAGGAAGCAAGAAATCACCCCTCCCTCCCGTGAGGATGATCATGCTGCAATCCCTTTTCCTCCATTCTTCACTCAGGATTTTGGGCATGCATGCACTGACGCCCAGCATGAGTTTTAAGCCACTGGGTCTGGACTTGAACCATGGTTAACATTATGTGGGAGTTCACTGACATAACCATCAGGTCATGTGCTGGTCCTTTTTTTTTTTTTTGCTATTTTAAATTGTATTGTGAATATCTTATGTAAATTTTTAAAAATTTATTTACATATTTCTATAAATGTTAATATTTAAAATTTATGTATTTATACTGTAGGTATTTCTTTTTTCTGCATATCAGATTAGTATCTTATCAAGTTAGATATGAAGAAATGGAATCATACAGTGAAATAATTTGAGGATTCTGACATGGATCTCTAAATTATTTTCTAAAAGATGTGTTTAAAACAACAGAGAGTTGGATTAACATCTTTTTTTGTCATTGAGCATTTTTGACATGGTCATTGAGTTGTTAGATGAAAAACTAAAGGAGGAGCTTACAGTTGGGTAGAGTTTAGAAAGAGGACTAACTTCTTTTATTTATTTATTTTATGAGCAAGCAAGAGAGACAGGTACCCCCAACAGAGTCTTAATATACCATCTAATCCTAGCTTCAGCCAGCCCCACAAGATGGCACACACATGTCCAGTGTGCTCGGAGGTCTCCACCTGCAAACCGGGAACCTCCCCATATGGGTCAGCTTCTCAGAACATCATGTTTTATGCTGCACCACCATCCAGCCCCAGAACTAGTGATGGTATTACCAGAATAGGACTTGGAAAGGACTTGGTGAGAACTATGAATTACTAATAAACACCACAGGGAGACCAGAGAAGGGTGTAGTCCCAGGAGATGGAGAAAGAGCCGTGATCTATGGAGCATCTTCTCTGTGCCAGGAAGAGGCTGGCATTCCACATTTCATATTTCATCATCACAGCCACCCTTTGTTTGTGATAGGGGAGAATGCAGTTAGGGAAACTGAGGTCCAAAGAACCCAGTAGTTTACCCAGTGTTAAACCTCCAAGACAATACGAAACCTGAATCTCACTGACTCTAACCCTTTTTATTTACCAACCAGAAAAGAAGGAAGTACTATTTGAGACCCAGTTCATACAAGATGAGTTGGTGGAATTCAGAAGGTCAGAGACACAGAGAACCTTCCAGGAACAGGGAAATGTGGTTGGCATCTAGCATAGGTATGGGGGCATGGTGGAAGGAACACCGGGGGAAAGGAACTCAACCGAAGTTGGCACAGAGTTTGAAAGGCCACAGGGAGTTTCAGGGGAAAGCCATGTTTATGACATAAGCACTGCAGCCCATGTCTGCAAACTGAGGCCTCAACTGTGCTCTTCTCAGGCACTTCCAGGCACGAATTCCCAGGACCCATCTGTTCTTGAGACAGTCACCCCAAGTTTGACTCATCTTTCAACCTTGCTTGGCTCCCTGCACCTCCCAGAGAACACGTAAAACCTCCTACACTTGATCCCAGCCTGCTTCAACTCACCATCCCCACTCCTCTGACCCAACTTAGCCTGGGCTCTTGTATTCTCTGGCTCCTCCTGAACTTCCTGTCCCCATACATGGTTAGTCCTCCTCATTTGTCTATCCTCCCCTGGCCACACATCTGGGTTGAGGGGGAGCTTGTTTAGGAGGGAGATTCTCAGACCTACCCTGGAGACCTTGGCAGCATCCTATGGGACTGTTCCCCTCCACCATCAATTCACTCATTCTTTCAACGTTATGGATTGAGCTTCAGATAGAGGCATTGTGCTTGGGGGCACTTAAGGGCACAGGATAGGGAGAATAAATAATCTTGCAGTGTTCCTTCCTCTCAAACACATATTCAGAGACTGGGCTTTCTCTAGTTGTTCTAGGAGCTTATAGCTGGCAGAATGGCTCCATCATTCTCCTTTGTATCCCCAGTTCCTAGCATCAGGGGCCTCTACGGCCCTTTTCTCTGCCTCTGCAGTGCTATTTACCTGTTTGGAAGAAAGTCATTAATAGGGTCACTGCTCTCTCTCTAATTTGTAGTGAAATTATCACTAAAGAGACCTTTTAGTTTTACAAAATTGAGTTCAAAATGGATTCTCAGGTCTCCACTTTCTAATTTTCTATAGATAGACCCTGTATTTATGCTATCTAAATTATGTGGATTATTTGATGAATTATCATCTCTGTAATTATAATTCTTAGCAAATTTGTAGTTTGTGCTCAAGTAGGATGATCTTATAGGTCATAAGATTCGCACACAAACCAGTTGTTTTTCATGTTGTCAGTAATCCCAACACCACCACCACATTGGCAGTTTCGTGAGGACTCTCGGGATCTGGGACATAGAAGAGATATTCCAAAAGTTCACAGAAAATGTGTATTCTGGAAAAACTATACCTGGATTTCAAAAATTGTGTGCACCAAAATAGACTCATACTAATGTTTTTCCAAGAACTTTTGAAATTCCCTTGTACTTGTGCTTACAGCCAAGGTTGAATATGGAGGTGTATTAAGGGTGCTTAGCTGGATCAGGGAAGAGGACATAGCAGAGTCTGGGGAATCCATGTAGGCTACTCCCCATGAGGGGCCACACTCTTTCCACAATAAAGACATTGCAGTACCATGAGTATTTCTGCTCCTGGGAGCCCATTAGAGATTCCACATCCAAGATTGTTACTGGGAGCTGGTAACAGCAGCACCCTCTGCCTACCACATTCCAAAATTCCAGATTCCTACAAGGAAAGCAGGTGTCCAGCATAAACTGCATTATTTGATACACACAGTGGCTTTAATAAGCCACTTCTTAGTTAGGGAACAGTAGGAACACTTCTAGCCATGCTGGAAGACCTCTGTAAGGATAAGGACTCCAGCCTGCTGTGTTAACTTTGCTGTGTGCTGCGGGTTATCATTTGTAGTTGGGTTTTCCAACTGTTTGCCAGGCTGGTGTGCCCAGAGCTATTAAAAAGTATTTTGTTAAAGAAATGTGTTTTATGACCACATTAGTTTGGGAAATGCTAAGGAGAGACAAATTTTTTCCTGCAGGTCTTTTCCAAATGTTCAGTATGCTGTCATGCTTTGGGATTCTCTGAAGGGGAGGAGGGGATACAGCTAAACTTCTTTCTCCATAGAACCTTTTCTTATGGAATTTGCTTAACAGTTCATGGGGCATCCTGTTGTGGAGTTTATTCTATTCATTAAATCAACTTTGCATGAAAAAGCTAATAAAGAATGCTAAAAATTTTGTTAGTTTTCTTCAAATCATTGAAGACTATACAATTTCATGGGATTATAGTTTGGATAGTAAAGTCATTTCATAGATGAGAACCTCTAGACTTAAAATACCTCTCTAGAGAGGTATTATATTTAACGATAAAGAGAAATAACTTCATGATCAGACATTAGAAATATGTTAGATTTACTTGCATGTTTTTCAAGTACTCTGTTTTAGCTCTTCTTGCCTATTTAATAACATAGCATCTTTATTATAATTAAAATCCATAAGTATGTTAAAAATTTAGCATATTAGATGATGTCAGAGTTCAAGTATATATATCTTTGAAAAGGGTTTTTTTTTTGTTGTTGTTGTTGTTTGTTATTATGTCTTAGATATCTGTGAAAGCCTAGGGTGTTTTACAAGGCATTTTCATGGAAGTTTTTAAAGTTCTCTTAACAAATGAGGCACAGAGTTAATGGGATATATTCAATCACTTAAAGGATTTGAAGTGTAAAATTATCTTTTTTTAAGAATTATTTTATTTAACTGTATTTATTTACTTACTTATTTTTTTTAAAAACTTTGACCTGAGGAGGACAGAGTGAGGGAACGAGAGAGAGAGGGAAAGTGAGAAAGCAAGCCGCCAGGTCCAGGACTTGAACTGTAGTCGGACGTATGAGAGTCCAGTGCCCTTAACAACCACACTATCTGCTGGCCCCTGAAGTGTGACATTTTCTATGCAACTTTAAATTCACATTTATTTAAATAAGTAAATTGATAGTCTATTTATAAAGAAATAGAAAAAAATCATTTGATTTTCTAAAACTTGTATTTATGATGGTACAAATGATATCTTTTTGAAAATTTGATTTAGAAAGGTTTTATAAAATCTATTCCTCTGACTCACATCCAGAGACCTCACTAAATATGTTAGGCACATGTGTGGCTATGATTTGGGGCTGGGTGGATCTCAGTGTGGGGAACCAAATGGGGGTATCTGTCTCTCTTTTTTCTCTTACTTTGTCTCTGTCTCTTATTCATATAAGAAAGAAATTAATGAGATTAATAAAAACTATTTCTGGGGCTAATAGGTGGCATAGTGGTTAAGGAACTAGATTCCCACATGGCTGACAATTTAAACCCCAGATCTGGCGGCTTGAAAATCACACTGGGAGTATATGCATGTGTGCCCCAAATCCCGAAAGGAGAATAGGGGAGAAGGGCATGAATATATAAATATAATCATGCAAATTATTGCATTCTTTCAATTCCATCTCACATTATAAAGAAAGATGTGAAAGTACCATCCTAGTTTTCTGAATCCAGATTCACTGAGATGTTTTCTTTTCATTTCATTACTAAAAGGTATTAGGAAGTTTCTGAATAATTTGTTGGGGATTAAGTATAAATCTGCCGTACCATAGCCAGCAGCTGGCATAGTGGTTGAGATGCTGGACTCCCACATAGTCAACCACAGTTCGAGTCTTGGATTCAGTAACTTGAAACTCACACTGGGTACATGTGTGAGCATGCCCAAATCCCAAGAGGAGAATGCAGGAGAAGTGATTGCAGCATAGCCATCCCCCTGGGAGTGGTTTCTCACGTTCTCTCTGTCCCTCTGGTGAGCGCATGTACCCTATAGCAAAAATCTCTTTAAAAAAAAAATAAATAAATAAACCTACCATACCTGTAGCTATCTTACAAAAATTGTTTCCATTCTTAAAAAAGTATGTGTATTGCTTATGCAATAAATCCTTTCACTATCATTTCAGAGTTATGAGAACTTACTCTGTGAACCATTTATACTTATCAGGGCTGCTGAAGACCTATTGTCACAAATTCAGAAAAATTACCAGAAGCCACAGGAAAGATTAGAGAAATTAAAAGAAGCAACAGATGTCCTCCTTTCAAAGCACAGCAGAGAACTTCGGGCAGCAGAAGATCTTGTGAGAGAAGCAGAGACGAAGATACAGGAAATCAATCGCCTGCTGCCCATTGTCAACTCTAGCCTGAGAGAATTCAATGTGAGTCTAAGTTAGCTGTCACCTTCTCCATTTCAACCAGTAACCAAACTCTAATGTGAACAGTATCATTTTGAGCTTCCTAAAAGGAAGCGCTGAGGATTAACTTTAGCATATAGTTTTAGGCACCAGAGTTTAGAAGGTGACTTGCTTTTCTAAAAGGTGATTTTTGCTATAGGATAAAAAGCTGCATGTCCAAGAAGAACAAAACTTGACCTTGAAACTGATCGCCAATGGAAGAAGATTGATAGATGCTGCCATTGCACTTGAAAATGCTGCCCCAAATGCTCTAACAGTAAGTTACTATTTAGCACACCTAGGAAGGATCTTTTCTAAAGCTTTTAATAAAATATAATTCTTGGGGACTAGGTAGGGCAGCAGTAATACAACCAGTAAAGCACCTGCATGGGAAAGATCCTAGGTTTGCATCCCAAGACCTCTCTGTGCATACCAGATGCACGAGCTCATGCTTGTGACCAGGGCTGGCTGAGACTGGGACTGGGTTATGATGTGAAGACCTTGTTGAGGGTGCCTGTCTCTTCTCTGTGTCAGTCTTTCTGTCTCTCTCTCATGGAAGAAATAAATGAACTTATAAAAAAAAGAGTTTTCATACATCTCATCTACATGTACTCATATACATTATTAAATAGATGTGCATATATGTATAACATTCATTTTTCCATGTAGCAGTTGGAGCATCAGTGGGATGAGCTACTTTTATGGACTGCCAAAATTAGGCACCATGTAGATGATCTGGTCATGCAGATGTCCAAAAGGAATGCAGTTGACCTTGTCTACAGAGCCGAGGATCATGCAGCTGAGCTCCAAAGATTAGCACGTGTGCTGGACAGGTAAGACAACACCCTTCAGGTTGTGATTCATTGATCAGAGAAAATAAGAATGGATATTTTGATTGAAGTGTTGAATTCCTCTTCTTACTCTGTGTAAAGATGAAGACTCCCGTTTTATTTACATGACAAATCAGATTTCCTTGCATGTCTGCTAAAGTAGTTTCCCTTTGCCATAAATGAATGGTGAACGAATGCAGTCTGAATTGAACAGGAATGAAAACAGGGACTAGCAGATGGCATAATGGTTATGTCACTGGACTCCGACAGGCTGAGCACGGTTTGAGTCCTGGACCCAGAAGGGTATGTGTGCCCCAAATCCCAAGAGAATGGAGGAGAAGGGATTGAGGCATGGCCTTCTACTTGTGAAAGATGATTTCTCGCTTTCTGTCTCTCTTTCTCTCTCTGTCTCTCTGGTGAACACATGTGCCCTATAGCAAAAATATCTCCCAAGAAAAGGGAATGAAAACAAATGGAAAGGTGTGTTATCTTGTCATAAAGCCTTTGGTAAGCACCTACTGAGTGTTTAGTGCCTTTTGGGGGCTATGTGGGAAAGAATAAGGTTAACTTCTTTACACAGCTTGACTTTTTGAGTTTATGATGTGGGTAGAGAATGTGATATACATTCTTTACTTATAAAAGAGTTGAGAATTACTTTACTTATTCAGTGCACGCACTTTACTTATAGAAGGGTTGAGACTATCTTTTCCAACCCCTGAAAGATATCTTTCACCGCATCTATTTTCTATCATCTGAAGATCTACCATTCATTGCCATACAATTATTTAACTTTTATTTCTGGACATCCTAACAATATGCTCTTAATTTGTTAAAAGTGCCATTAAACTAGAAGCAGAACTCTACTAGTGGTTCCAAACTTGCATGCATGTTCGAATAACCTGGGAGAGCTTCCGAAATTATTGATGTCTTTATTCCCTGGTTCCCCACTCTATAAAGACTGGAATTTAATTTGTCTGAGATGTGGCCTGAGCTTTGTAATTATTTTTTATAAAACAACCCCAGAAATCCTAATGAGTGGCAAATGTGGGAACTAATGTCTTAGGTCTTTCTTATCAGTAATTTACACAGTACTGTGAGTTAACTGGTAAACATATTTCTTTACATTTCTCTATAAATTATGGATGGAAAAAGCCTGAATATACTATGAATATTTGTGTTTTTTTGTATTCCATGAAAGGGGAAAAATAAGTATCTTTCCACTTGAGACATGCTGCCATAAAAGATTAGTTCACACAACAAAAGCAATTAAAATGATATAAGCTAGACTATTGCATAAATTATGCACTAACTTGACTACTGCCACCCACCTGTGCCATATGAATCGTAACACAAAATGGAATTAGATAACCAGCTTCTCTCTTTTCATCATCTTTCATTACTTCCTAAAAGAAAAAAAGATATTCTTGCTCCATATATTGCTAGAACAAAGTCTTTATTCCTGAGTCTGAGAGTGGTAAAAACAATTCTGTATGATACACAGAGTTAAACAACATTGGTATCTTTTATTTATAAATCATTAAGTTTTGCCAATCAAGTCATAACAAGTAAAAACTATTGATATCTGGTCTGGGAATTGCCTGACTCAATAACCTTGGAAAGAAAATGAAGTGAGTTACTCAGCAGGCAAAGATGTATCAATTATCTGATTTCATTTCGAACGTAGAGCTAGATGAAATTGTACCATTACCAGTTGGCAAGTTCTTAAGTGATTTGCCCACTTGTTAGAATGAAGTTCGGCTGATAGAAATATTATCTGATCCTCCACTGTAATCTCTAGTGAATTTCATCAAATCGATGTAGACCATTTGAGGGATAAGGTTCAGCATTCTTAGGTATGCTTAGGACAGCTTTTTGAAAATTAGTAAGTGGATGCCAGAGAGATTATAACCATGGCAAGCAATGCAGTGGCACCCCAGTCATATGCAGGGTTCTCCAGGAGAGATCAGCGGATGTTGAGGGCAGCTGGAGGAAATTGATGAATGGTTGTCCGAAGGAAATCTCAGTAGTCTCTTCTTTTGATGGTGATTAAACACCAATTCTGAGTGACAGTGTGAGTGTGGCTACTGCTTCTCAGAGATTACTGTCAGAGTTAGAGGGTAATCTGTATACTGTAATTTCTTGTTGAGGATACTTACGTTTTAATTTTTATTTTTTTAAGGTTTTTGTCTTAGGGCCCGTGCACTCACTGGTGAGGAGAAAGAGAGAGAGACAGCTAGCAGGAAAGTGAGAAATCACCCCTCAGGGGAAATGGCCACACCAGAATCCCTTCTCCTCCATATTCCCCCTGGAATTTTGGGCATGCATACATAAATGCTCAGTGTTATTTTCAAACCACCAGGTCTGGGACTTGAACCACAGTCTGCTACGCGGGAGTCCAGTGCTTTAACCACCCCTCTCCCCAACCCGCTGGCCTCAATGATACTTTTCTAAGGGGAAAATAACTAGGAGGCTTTCAAGACTACCAGGTGCTAATAATTTTCAAGAGCGAATCTGCAAGTTTGCTTTAGTTTGTCATAACATCTCTAAATATGCTGATTTGATAGTGGCCTTGAAAGCGGCAAACATGTGTCCCTGAATGCCACCAGTGCAGCCCATGTCCATTCCAACATTCAGAACCTGATCGAAGAATCTGAGACACTGGCTAAAGATGCTCACCAGATGGTGACTAAGGTGAGCTTGGTGAGAAATGCCTATGGGATTCAGGTGCATAGCTTCTGCTTCTGGGCACTGTGGGAGATTGTTCCAGAAGATTCTTGGGACAAAGACTCAGTGGCTCAAATTTATGCTTATTCTTAACATTAATATTACTTTCTGGTGGGATCTGCTTATTATTTCTGATTTCATGTAATATGTGTTTAAATTTCTTAAGGAAATAAACTTTTTAAATAAAGACTAGGCACAATTAATAGTATCATGGTGGTGAGGAAAATCTCACAGTTCCTTGTGATAATGACTGTGCCCCTTGACGTCTACTTCAGATATTTTTCTTTATTTTTGGAGAAAAGAAATTTTAATGGCTGATTTTCTTCTTTATTCACTAAAAAGAAAAAAAAAAAAGTCTTTGTGTTTTTTCTTATCAGAAATGTTATTGGATTGTCAGAAAACTCATGACATTTTTTTTCTATGCAAATATGCATCATGACTTTTCTGACAACCCAGTAAATGGTTCCTACCTATTCTCCAGGAGGCGTTCTTATTTTGAACTGACTAAAGGCCATTCTGATAGAGCTGCTTTCTCTATCTCAGGTAGGATTCTGCGTTGTCCTCCTGTAACCATGTTCAAGTTGTTCTGTTTTCTAGTTCTCAGGAGCCCTTGTTTCTAATGGGAAAGCGGCTCTGCAGCAGAGTTACAAATCCCTAAAGGAAGCCAACAACCTCAGCAGAAAGCGCCAAGGTCAGTGTGTAGCTTAGACTGTGTTGATAAACACAGTGAATATGAGCCATTCTCTAAGAATGTTCTTTCCTAGATCAGTTTGAAGCTTAACATTTCTTCCTCACATTACTATCTAATTGCCAATTACCATCATATAATTTTAAATATGATTTTGCTTCATACTTTAATATGCACTTATGTCTGTCTTTAAGTTTTCCTTAACACCAAATCCTCCACCCATTGCTCTAGCATGACACTTTCCTGTTCTCCATGTTGTTTGCTGGGTTATCTTTGATTGCATGTGCTCATTATTATCTCTCATTATGTCAGAATTCCTTGATGACATATATTATGTTTGGTACTACTCTTACCTTTCTCACAGTGCTAGTATCATGTTAGACTCACAGTAGGTTCTTGTTAAACAATTTTTGAATTAAGTCATAATTGACATCAATTTTTTAAGAAAGAAATACCTATGCAGTTTAGTGTATCCAAAGAGTTTTCAAGAAGTAATCGCTTGGAATATGTAAAAGTTGTTCAATAAGTATAACACAAAATGACAGCAGGGATCTGTTGAGGAAGAGAAACAGCACAGATAATATAATTTTTCATAGCATATAGTGTGCTTTTTACCTTAGCATATTCTAATATATGAAAACCATCAAGGCTGTCCTCCAGTCAGTGGACCATACCCAAATCTCACACCCTTTTCAGACCACTTCCAAGTCTAGAACTGGATCCTTCTATTGTTGTCTGAATCAAAGGCATGGGTATATGTGTCAAATTTTTTGTTTTTGTGTGGATGGCACAATTTAGAATTTATGTTATCATCTCGCAGTATAGAAAATGCATAATGATTGATCATAAAGCATTAAACACAAACTAGCACCAATGTTCAGGGACTACGATTTCAGTTTACACAACTAAAAGTATTTTATAGACCATAAAATCATGAGCATGTTGGCAATTAAAATTTCATTAACCATGTGTTCAAAATCTAAATGTAATGATGTATTATGAACAGAAATTTTAAAATTAGAAAGAAGAGAAAGAACATTTCAAAGTAAAAGCTTTGGTCAAACAGCTATGATCAAATTTGAAGGAGGTTGAGTTGAGTCCTATTTGGGTGGTCAGAAGGGACTGAAGGGACCAGGTGGTGGAGCAGCAATAACACAAGGCTGGCACCACATGAAAAATCCAGGGTTTATGGCTCAAAGCTTCCCTGTACATACATGCATGCCTGTGATTGGGACTGGCTAAGGCTAGAGGTGGATCATGGACCCTGTGGGGGAGCTGTATCTCTCAAGAAATCAAATAAAGTAAAACTTGCAGAGAGAGCGTGGAACAGAAAGGGGTAGAAGTTTGGCCATGGAAGTAGGTGGGAGACTGTGAGAAAGATTCCCAGACATGATCCCATGTTTGGAATTTTAACCTAGTTTTAACCTAGAAGAGAAAGATAGCCAAGATTCCAGTGTGGATAAGGAAGTTAATGAACCTGATCAAGACAGTGATTTAGAAGCCGGCAGGTGACGTGGTGGTTAAGGGTGCTGGCCTAGCATGGTGCCGGTCTCAGGCCTGGCAACTTACTTTCTCACTCTCCCTTTCTCTCTCTCTCTCTCTCTCTCTCTCTACCTCTGTCTGGTCAAAATAAAATTAAATAAATAATTATTTAAAAGACAGTGATTTAAATAGTTCTTCAACCTTCAGCTTTAATAAAATTGACATGAAATTTAAGAGGAAATATTAGTGAGAAGGGCAAAGTAAACAAGCTAAAACAGACTCTTAATTTCTAGACTGATCCCAAGTCTTACCCCAAAAAAAAAAAAAAAATCTTTGAATATCGGGGGCATCTGTGGAAAGCAATCTATTCAGTAGATGGTCAGGAGTGATAAGAAAGCTGTCTCCTAGGTAACATTTTAGAAGACTAACCTAAAAGGAAACACTTTCCTCCCTTTAAACAGGGATCACTTTGAAACTGAGTGATGTGAAAAGAGCAGCAAACAGATTTCAAGAGAATGCTGATAAAATTATTAGGCAGACCAACGACTCACTCTTGATCCTTAGAGCAATTCCTGAAGGTAAGTGGAAAGAAATTTCTTGATTTAATGTCTTCTCATTGTAAAAACATTACACAAGAGAATGAGGAAGTCCTGCCTTCAGTCTGATTAAGAGCCCTATCTTGAAAATGAGACCAAGATGGATAAAATTTTTATTTGCTAAAGAATATGATTTGGAAGATCACTGTTTTTTTTTTAATAATTTCAAAAGTATGTGCATTAAAATACTAGAATGACACTCTTAAAAACTAGTCTTGAAGACTTCATGCTACCATCTTAATTGCTTATGTTTAAAATAGGCTTGACACATTGCTTTGATGAAAGAAGGACCATTCAAAGAGGCTAGCAAGTAAGGAAGCTAGAATGTTCTTTGCCTGACTTAAGGAAAAATACCAGTTTCATTATAAATGTGGCAAATTAAGGAATTCTGGCTTGGTAATCTTCCTTCATGAAGCAATAAGGCATTGTAAAATAGACCCATCGATCACTTTCATATTGATGGTTTGGAAATGAAGTATTCATTAAAACTTTGAACAGGATAATTTTTTAAAAGTGGAATACAAATGAATTGTGCCACAGTGCATTTATTTACATTAGCTCAAACTTCTCTGTAGTTCTTTATAAGCATTTTTTGTTAAAGTCTTACAAAATATGCAAATTCACCTTCACTTCTCTGTGCATAGTTCCCTTGTTAGCAGGAAATCTTCCAACAGAAGCTGGGCTTTGTGTGCCTTGAGTTACTTTTTACCTGAATCAGTGGAGCATTTTTTTATTTAGACATTTCTGGGTTTTTTTGTTTGTTTGTTTTGTTTTTTAAAAAAAGGGACAATATTGGGACCAATAGTTGGCGTAATGGCTGTGTTGCTGGACTCCCATGTAGTTGATCGCAGTTTGAGTCCCGGATCTGGTGGCTTAAACGCATGCCGGGTGCATGTGCCTGCGTGCCCAAGATCCGCAGAGGAGAATGGAGGAGAAGGCATTGTGCATGACCATCCTCCTGGGGGGTGATACCTCACTTTCTGTCTCTGTCTTTCTGGTGAACACACATGCCCTACAGTGAAAACTTATATAAAAACAAAACAAAACAAAACAAAACAAAAAACGGGGGAGGGGGGGACAGTATGATATATCTTGACTAAAGACCTAATAACTTTTAATTTGGAAATAAATTCAAATTTACAGGAAAGTTGCAAGAAGAATAAATAGAATACCTGTATACCCTTTATCCAGCTTATTTTGTATTCATGTTTGTCCCACTAAATATAATAAATAAGAGTGTGTTTAAAACAATATTCACCTAAAAAATAACTGAATTCCAGTTTACCTGTTAGTGGTTATTTACTCTTTATTCTGCTATTACTTCTGGTTGTGGATAAATACAACTTCTCCAGCCCAGGACACTGTGATTCCTTTTTTTTTTTTTAAGAGAAATGTTTGCTATAGGCCATGTACACTTGCTGGAGAGACAGTCAGAGAGGCAGAAAGTGAGAAATCACTCCCCAGGGGGAATGACCACACCACAATCCCTTCCTCTCTGTTCTCCTCTCGGGATTTTGGTGATATACACACACACGTCCGGCATGAGTTTTAAGCTTTCTGGGTCTGGAAGTCAAGCCACAGTCAACTACATGGAATGCCAGCAATGTAACCATTATGTCATCTGCTGGTCCCACGATTTTTGATACAGACTGAAATTCCAAAACCTTCTAATCCAGACAGAGAATGATTTAGAGAATATGTTTAATAAAGTTGAGAAGGGAATGATAGAAAAAAGCCCAAATAAGAAAGTTTGGTTTATTAATATGAGACACTAAGCACATTGCAATTAGGCATCACACTTCTAATCTCAATATGAGGGAATTTCAAAAAGGTCATGGAAAAATGAAACTGAAATAGGAATTTATTTTAGTGCAAAAATTCTGAAATCTGTGCATAGTTTTCTTATACATTTTTCATGAACTTTTCAAAGCACCCCCATGTATTAAAATTATATTCCAGCAAACTGTTAGCAAAATTATTTTATTTTGCCATATGAAATGCAGCTTAATATAACTATTAAAAGTAAGAAGCTCTATTTTGTATTCAAAAATCAATAAAATTACAGTAACATGTTTCTGTGTAAAATTACTTTCGTTGTAGCTATAGACTTTTCTCTATGTGTAGTCATCAGAGTGCATTTATTTTAGGTGTGAGCGACATAGGACTCCAAACCAAAGAGCTGGCCACTTCTGCAAATCAGAATGCAGTGAGCACACTGAAGGCCGTCATGGGATTGAGCCAGAAGCTGTTGAATACATCAACTGGCCTGTCCAGAGTCAATGCCACATTGCTAGAGACAAATAAACTTCTCCAGGACTCTACAATGACCAGTATGTCAGTGGTTTTCCTCCAGTTATGGAAGTCTGCATCATGCAGAGTTAAAGCTTGCTAAGTACATGATAGTCCCTCGTTCACTAGTAACATTTTTGAAAAGTAAAATTGTAATGGGAGCCAGAGGGTGGTGCAGTAGTAAAACATAATACTCTGTGAGGCTGACCCAATGAGAAGGTTCCCAGTTCACATCTGGAGACCTCCCTGAATACACGGGGCATGTATGTCCCCATGATCTGGGGCAGCCTGGGGCTGGGAGTAGATTGCAGCATCAGGACCTTGTCAGGGATGCTGGCTGTCTCTCTCTCTCTCGCTCTCTCTCTCTCTCTCTGTTTCTTTCACTCATGGAGCAGATAAATAAATAAACCAAAGCAAAATTAAAATTAAATCATGCTAACATCTGGATTGATGTTCATAAAAAGACAAGAGCCTTAATGTATGTTATCACTGCATTCTTCATATATATGTATATATATATATATATACACCAGAATTTCAAGAATTATTAGGATATTTTTTAATCCAGTACATTAATAATAAATAATTAATTTATCTTGTTTCCCTCTCCCCCCACTTTCTTGCCACCCTTTGTGTATATTAGCTCTATTAGCTGGAAGAAAAGTTAAAGACATGGAAACACAAGCCAATGTTTTATTTGATCGGTTGAAGCCTTTGAAGATTTTAGAAGAGAATCTGAACAGGAATCTATCAGAAATTAAACTGCTGATCAGCCAGGCCCGGAAACAAGCAGCTTCTGTGAGTTCAGGGACCTTTGACTCTCCATAATACCCAGCACTCCTATAGCCAGGAATCTTGGTGACACAAAGTCCCACAGAATTCCTATAGACAGACCTCTCAGTCACACTAGGTCCCTAAGATCTGTGTAGACCCAGGTCTCAAGAATCCCAAATTCTTAATACCTTGGTCTTAGTATATTTAAAGCTACTAAGTAGCCTAATTTTCTGTGAGTTCTGCTTTTATTCAACACGTTTCAAAAGGTTGTTAGCAAAGGGACCTTTGTGTCTCTATAGAGATTTGTAATTGTAGCCTGGATTTATAGCTATTAGCCTTGGTAGTATAGAATGTGTTAAGCCTAAGTGTTAACTTCACTCTCAGCTTCAGTGGTTGCACATGGCTTTATTTCTTCATTTTACCAACTTGGCTTTAGTAATACAAGTAACTCTTTAGAATGTTTGTGCAATATGGGCCTTATCCTCAAGGAGCCTGAGACACGGTGTATATAAACAAATGCTACACAAATCCATGTTACTAAATGCAGAAAATATTGGCACCTGGAAAAGTTCACACTTGGGTACATGTTATAGTCATCCATGGCTCATGAGCTGGACAGGAGTTTCAGGGAAATAGACTTAGGAGGGGATGTGTATTTGTCATGCTACTAGGGTCTTAGAGAGGATGGATGTGACCTCTAGTCATCATCTGGAGCTCTTTATGACAAAAAAGAGGAGTTCTGGGCTTCCCATCCCCACCCTCCCACCCACCACTCAGCAATGAAGTGTTTAACATTGGAAAAGATTTAGGTTTCCATAAGCTCTGGCTTCCATCTGTTTTAGTTACAGTCACCAAATAGATGTAAGCCCATGGAACACTTCCAAATGCTATGGATAATACAAACTTAGACTCTTTAAGGTTAATATATGATAGGTATGCAAATAATTACTACTCAAAAAAATATGTCATAAGTGCACCAATTGGTCTATAAATATGTGTTGAGTGAATAAATACATCATCCCTACATTTAATCACCAGATGATCCTCAAATACCCTGTATGTGTGAAAGGTCCTTGTCCCTAAGGTTAAATTTCAGGTAAGATAATTCCCTATATAAAATATTCTTTATTCAAAGCTCGGACTGAGTTTCCCATATTTAAACACACTACCAAATAAAATCATTGTCATTACCCTTGATTTCTCACACTATGGAACATGAAGCACCATGTATCATCAAGGGAGCAAGCCTGCCTCACAGTGAAAATTTGCTAGGGAATAGCACTTTCGAGTGACTGGACAGCTGCCTGTGTTAGTAAATGATAGAGACACTTTCTCCTCCTGCAGATTAAAGTTGCTGTGTCTGCAGATAGAGATTGCATCCGGGCATACCAGCCTCCGATTTCTTCTACCAACTACAATAACTTAATACTAAATGTTAAGACACCTGAACCCGACAACCTTCTTTTCTACCTCGGAAGCAGCTCCAGTGTAAGTTACGGACCCATGGAAAGCAACACTGAGTCTTTTCTGAATGAATACATTTTCTGAATTGACACTTCTCTGATTGAAAAAGCTTCACCCTGGCTCCTCCTGCCTACAAGATTCCAGTGGTTTCCAGGAGGAAATTCCTGATGGGAGAACATTGATGCTTGGGCCTTGCCAAGGAGAATGGGTCAGACCCTATGCGTGTGTTAGGGCAGAAATTATTCACAAGCACTTTTTTTTATCTCAACTGTTTTCTTAGGGGATAAGATGTAAAGTGCCTGTCAGTCCCCAATGTGGAATTTCATAGCCTGTTTTATGATCTCATTGCCTATTTCACTTCCATTTATTGCCTTCTGAGGGTAGGCAAACAGTCAAGGATGGTGCTTTCTCTTGTGCTCTGTGGCCTTGCTGGTTACTGCCAGTGATTTTTCCTGGGGTGCTTCTTGTAAGCATTGTGGAGGGCCCTGCCAGGCGAGGGCAGATAGGCACTGATGTCCAGTAGTGGCCACTGTCCCCATTGGTCTGAATCATGCTCCAATTCCAGGGAGGGAACCATTGAAAGACAAAGATAGCATTTTGTCTTATCTTTTTTGGTAAGATTCAACACCATAATTCATTCTTGAAAGTGTTTGTCATTCGTGCAAACACTGCAGTGTGTAAACTCACATGTACTCCTGTTTTGCACCGCAGTCTGACTTCCTTGCAGTGGAGATGCGGCGAGGGCAAGTGGCCTTCCTCTGGGACATGGGCTCTGGGTCAGCTCGGTTGGAATTTCCAGACTTCCCCATCAATGATGACAAATGGCACACTATCCATATTACCAGGTAGTAGAGAAAGCTCTCTCAGAACATCTCTCCTTTTTAAACTGTATCTAGCAAACCATTATGTGCATGTTACATCCGATACTAGGCTTTAAAACTTCTGAAAAGTTAGATTATAATCAAAGAATATTTTGTTTAGATTAACTGTAGAAAGAAGGATTTGTGCTTATTGTCACAGAAGAAATAAACTGTTACCGAAATAAACACTCAAAAGAAGAAAAAAAATTAAAAGTTTAGATTACCTTTAGAATTTTACCTTTAGAAAGTCTGAGACCGAGGCAGTCTTAAAACATTTATTCCCAGTAAAGAAGAATAAAACATGCGTGGTAGAAATTCCATGTGACTCACAGAGTTGTACAGGTAGAAGAGAACAGGGAATACGGAGGATTCAAGTGGGAGCTATATTTCCTTATAAATTTAGACACAAAGCAAAATTCTTTCTTTACAGCTCTTTTCCAAAGATAACCACTTGAAACCACTTTACATATATTCCTTTTGGCTTTTCAGTAACAATATAATTTAGTGATGGTAGCATGTTGTTGGAATTCTTTTTTATCATTATCTACAAAAATGGAGTAATATTGAAGGCAATAGAGTATTTTCAAATATAGAGTAACTCGTTATCTGTAACTGTTTAAAGCAGGGAGTAACAATGAAATTTCTGTTTCATAACTACTCTACTCTTAGATTTGGGGGCATAAACTGAGGGTGAAGTGAGAGAGATTGGGAGCAGGAGGACCAGTTAGGGGACTTTAGTGGATGGGGGAAGAGCAGGTGGAGGCTGTGCATGAAACATATGGGGACATTTGTGTACTGACCTGAAATTCTGAAGTTCCTTTGGAACTCTTTGTGACTCTTAGGTTTGGAAACACTGGTTCATTGAGTGTGAAGGAAATAAGTTCAACGCAAAAGCCACCACCAAGAACAATTAAATCCCCTGGAACAGCTAATGTTCTGGATATAAATAACTCAACACTAATGTTCATTGGCGGACTTGGAGGACAAATCAAGGTGACATTCTGCAGGTTCATCTGAGAAGAACTGACTGGCTGGTTTTACCCATATGTAAAATCAATATACTTAAGCATTGAGTATAACCTAGGCAGACAAAGATTTTTCTACTTTCACCATTTTGCATCATATGCTCATCTGTAGTATTGGGCTGCTTTTGTAGGATCAGCATTCACAGTTCATCAATAGTATAAATGGAGAAGAGGCCAATGGTTCATTTTGCTCTCTAGGTTTCTTTTCCAGAGATGAAACAAGAAATTCAATATTCTGTATTAATTTCTACAAAGTTCCTTTATCTCTATGCTATCTCTAGTGATAGACTAATACCAATTATGCTTACTGAAAGGGCCCATCACACTTATTTTATTATGTTAGTGATCTTTTCACCTAATCAAAGTGAATACTTTGGACTTGGTTCAGTGATCCAAAGTGGCAGTAGGCATCTCAGTTTCAGCAGGTCCTCACCACTGACTGTATTCTCTGGGTCTCTGTTTCCTCACCTGTCAAAGAGGCTTCTCTCTAGTTATCTTGGGAACTGAGATGATCTCTCAAATCCTAGAATTCTACTTCATAACTGGTAAGAAATCAGTGATTACAAACTGACCATTTTTCTGGAGGCTGTTCCCAGATTTGGATCTGTTAGATTTGAACCCCCTGGGATAAATTCTATGCACTTAGAGAGCATATTCCTCTTTGCCAACTATATGTGGCTTGTGTTTGCTTGTTTACTGTAGAAATCTCCTGCTGTGAAGGTTACTCATTTCAAAGGCTGCATGGGAGAGGCCTTCTTGAATGGAAAATCAATTGGTCTGTGGAACTATGTCGAAAGAGAGGGCAAGTGCCATGGTTGCTTTGGAAGGTAAGCTGTCCACATGGTTTATCACACAGTACGTCTTTCAGTTAATATCTGAAGTCTAACTGAAGAAGTTACATGCACGTTAAAGATGAATACAGTGTTTGCCATATTGGTCATCTCATTACCAAAAGATATGGTGTAGCTTATTTGCTGGTAGAAGTGTGGGTTATCATTTTTATTCCTTTTATGCTTTGGATATGTATTGTATGCTTTGAACAAGGATCATGAAATCTAGAATCTTCAGGGTTGGTCCTTGTGGTTAAGGGACCTGGTTACCATAAGGCCAACCACCATTCAGGACCTGGCTCCAGAGACTTGAAAAACATGTCAAGTGCGTGTGTGTGCATGCCCCAAATCCCAACAGGATGGAGAAATGGAGGAGAAGGTATTGTGGCATAACCATGCCCCATTGAGGGTTGTTTTCTCCCTCTGTCTCATTGTGCAAGTGCACATGCCCTCTGGGGATTAAAGGTTCTATTCATTTGAAAGCAGGCTAACAGTTGGATATTTTTCAGGAAGATTTTTCAAAAAAGATTAAACAGAAAAGGAGTTTCTCTTAACTCACAGTTTCCCTATCCCTTTCTCAGTGTCTCTCTGTCTTTCTCTGGTAAGCGCATGCACCCTCTGGGACTTAAACAAAAAATTAGAAACTTCAGACATGTTTTTAAACAACCTTCTCTCTCAAAATGCCACAATGAAGTACTGGATAAATCACTATACATTTTGTATTTTGAAAATACCTCCGAGAATGAAAATTTTTTGTGCGTGCAGTCACTTTTTATAGATAAGTACTTTCTTATTTCTAACCAAGTTCTATAATTCTAGAAATAAAATTAGTTTGGAAATAGAGAAAAACTAGTATCTTTTTTGCACACATTGACGTAATAGAAGGATTAAATAACTTCATCTCAGCAAGCTCAACACCTATCCCTCATTATTTTATAACAAATTAGATGAAACTCTTTCAGTAGATAATTCTGTTTTCTAGCATTTCATTAATTAAGGGAATAAATTGCCTTTTGCCATTAGAGAAATGTAACATCTGATATAATTTCTCCTATGTAATGGGTGGTTCTGTCCAGATATCTATAATTAACAGTGAGTCTTGACATGATCATTTTAAAGCAACTTGCTTTGCATTTAGAAACTCATGGGTATGTTTTCATTATGTCATTGTTAGATCTGTTTCCTCACAAGACTCAGAGCTTGGAATTGTGTAGTTTAAACCTTTTTTTTTTTTTTTTTAAGATTTTTCACATAGGGCACATATGCTCACCAGAGAGAGATAGCGAAGGAGAGAGGAAAAGTGAGAAAGCTGGTCCAGGATGTGAACCATGGTTAGCCATGTGGAGTCCAGCACCTCAACTACCATGTTACCTGCTGGCCTGATAGGTTCAGAAGCTTCTGAAACCTCCTCCTTGTGGGCTTTTTATGGACGTTTCTTTGTATGGGCATGGTCAAAGCATGGAAAATCATGTAGAAATGGGATTGGACAAAAGGATGTGACCCAGTGCTGATCAACTGAGTGGGAAAAGCCACCAAGGCCTATTTGCTCTGTTTTCTTGGGCTCTCTGAGCAGCATTCCCTCCTCCTGGATATGGGGCAGGAGCCCTCTAGAATGAAGGCCTCATGTTCTAATATGACAAGGTAGGTCAGAGAATTAGTTTACAAGACAGAAAGGCTGAGGAAGTTTAGATTTCTATTGACCTGCCTTGGGGAAGAGAAATTTCACCCATATCTCTCTGAAGCAGCTTCAGTAACTAAGAAAAAAAGACCAGCTACTCAAGGCCCAGGCTCTGTGGATAAAAAAACAAAAATTATATGAGGGGTCTTCAGAAAGTTTCTGGAACATACATATGATGAGAAAAATATGTGTGGATTTCATAAAATTTTTATACCAAAATAAATTTACATTTAATTCCACTTTTCCACAAACTTTTTGAAGTATTGTAATAGGATGATTTGTTACCAAACTATAGAAATAATAACTCTACCATGCTCTTTGCAAGGGAGAACTCAGTAAACGTATTATCTGTTCTCTACTCTCCTGAGTATGGATTATACTTCATCTCTTCTGCTTTATAGTCCGCAGGAGGAAGATGCTTCCTTCCATTTTGACGGGAGTGGATATTCCATCATTGAGAAGACACTCCGGACTACCGTGACTCAGATTATAATACTCTTTAACTCCTTTTCACCTAATGGGCTTCTTCTCTACCTCGCTTCAAATGGCACCGTAAGAGTCTTTCTGAGGCACTGGGCCTTATTGTATGTACTACACATTTCAATTTCAGTGAGATTATTTAAGTTTAATGAGGATTTACTAATATAATATATATGATATGTATGCCACACAATTTCTATGAGCATATACTAATATAATATATATGTGGGGGAGCCTCATAGTGGACCAGTTAAGCAGGGGAGAACCAGATCCCACATGGCTGACAGTGGTTTGAATCCCGGCCCCACTGGCTTGAGAAACATGCCAGGCTTGTGTGCAGGTGCCCGGGATCCAGACAGGATAGAGAAATGGAGGAAAAAAAAAAAAAACTGTAATTACCAGGCCCCACGTTGTAATTTCTTTTGTTTTCAATGCAAAAATACATTATGACTTTCCTGAAGACCCAATACATTCATACATACATACAAATATGACATACAATTTCCCCATAGTAAAACCACTTGCTTATTATATTAACACAAATTTATTGAAAAGCCTTTGGAAAATACGGAAGAATATCAGGTAGAAACTAGGCCTTCCAGTATTATAGATACCAATTAAGCATTTGTTCTCTAATTTTTAACTCAAAATAATTTGTCTTGGTCTATGTTCACTGTGACCATTGTGGCCTTATTTAAATCCCCTCTACAGAAATTTCATGTCCCCATTTTCATCTTGTGTGCTGATAATTTCTGTCTCTCAACCTCCTAGTTTTGTTTTTATAACTGACTCATTTGTTGGTCTAAATGAAACAAGAATACAAAGAAATTCCATTTCTCTTACTGAATTGTAGATTTTTGTAACAATGAATAGTGTTTCATTTATAGTTATGTGGTATTCTAGAAAGCCATTGTAGACATTTTAAGTTTAAATTCATCTTAGTTCATTATGGTGTTGCTTACAGAAATATCCAAAACAGGGTGATTTACAGAGAAATAGAGGTTTATTCACTCACGGTGGTGGTGAATAGAAAATCCATCATGAAAGAGTGGAAGATAGACCCTGAGCAGAGCTGAGTATGGCCTATAAACTTGAGGCTCTGTCTGCCTCATTTCCTCTCCTTGGAAACTCCCCAGACCTCAGTATGGGAGCCCTGCATTAATGACTGTATCACATTCAAAGGCCCTGCCCTGAGACACTATGAAGGAATTAATTTTTCATTTAGCACCTTTGTAATAAAACCAAGTTCCCACACTTGAACTTTTGGGGGCTATCCAATCACAGCCCACTAAGACTAAATTCCAAAACATGAAATTTGGGGACATAAGCCATTATCTAAACCGTAACAGTAGCCTAGACTCCTGGCTAAGGGGCAAGATCCAGTTTTCTAAGTTTGACTATAAGAGGTTTCTACCATCCTTGACTATATGGGGGAAAAAAAAATACTTGTGAAGAGCTTCTCTTTCTCTCTCTCTCTCTCTCTCTCTCTCTCTCTCTCTCTCTCTCTCCCCACCCCTCTCACTCTCTCCCTCTTCTTTGCCAGAAGGCACATGTGCTCACCAGAGAAAAAGCACTTCCCAATGGGTGGGGATACACCTCAGTTCCTTTTCCTCCATTTCTTCATCCTGTCAGGATTTGAGGCATGCATGCACACCCAGCTGGTGGGTCTTTCAACCCGCTGGGCCTAGAAATCAAGCCATGGTCAGCTGTGTGGGCTCTGGCTCCAAATATACAGCACTTAACCACCGAGCTAAGGGGTCAGCCCTGTGTTCTCTTCTTTACAGAAAGACTTTTTATCCATTGAGCTGGTCCATGGCAGAGTTAAAGTCACCGTTGACCTGGGTTCAGGGCCTCTTGCTCTTATAACAGACAGGCGTTACAACAATGGAACCTGGTACAAAATCGTCTTCCAGAGAAACCGGAAGCAAGGTAGGTATCCAGACATACTCACCTGATGTTAGTTGCTATCATAAGAATAGAAATCTTGGGGCCAGCAGATGGCATAGTGATTATGTCGCTGGATTCCCACATGTCTGACTGCTGTTAAAGTCCTCTACTGGTGGCTTGAAACTCATGCTGGGTGTGTTTATTTGCATGCCTGCTCCAGATCCTGGGAGGAGAATGGAGGAGAAGGGATTGTGGCGTGGCTATCCCCCCTGGGGGGGTGATTTCTCACTTTCCCTCACACTGTACCTGTTTCTCTCCTGTGAACCTTAAGGCAAAAACCTCTAAAAAACAACAACAACAAAAAAAATAGAAATCTTTCCAAAACCAATATTCTTTAATCTACATTAGTTTTCTGGGTACTCTTGAGTGATATTCTAGTTGAAATCTACTGTTATCTGTGGTGTTCAGATGTGTTATTTATCATTAACTGCTGAACTGGAATCAAGAATCAAACCCATTTTATTTTCTTCCACATGTATGCTGCTGTCATTTAGTGATATTGACTATTTATTTAGATTTATTGACTATTATACAAAGGCTTTTCACATTTCTTTTAATACTCAAGAACTTCAGCTGGTCAAATTTGCAGAATTTAAAAGAATATGTCTTTGGCGGAAGTTTGCATCTCACTTTAATGTAGAGAGTGATTGTCATTTTCTCATCCACTCCTTTTGGTCTCTCTTTAGGACTCCTAGCAGTTATCGATACATACAATACCAGTAATAAAGAAACCAAGCAAGGCGAGACTCCAGGAGCATCTTCCGACCTCAATCGTCTAGAAAAGGATCCAATTTATGTGGGTGGATTACCTTGGTCAAGAGTTGTAAGGTATTTTAAACAGCACAATTTTTGTGTGGCTAATTGCCAGCTGTATTAGTTTGCTAGGGTTGCTGTAACAATACCGCAGACTGGGTAGCTTACACGACAGCAGCTTATTCTGTGTTCTGAGGACAATGAGCTCAAATGTGAGGTGTTGGCAGGATTACTTCCTTTGGAGGGCTGTAAGAGAGAATCAGTCCCATGATCCTAGCTTCTGGCACCTTCAGGAGTTCCTTCACTTAAAGCTAATGTTTTTCCTTGGACTTCACATTGTCTTCCCTTGTGTCTGGGTCACCCTGTATCCATATTTTCCCTTTCATAAGGACACAGTTGTGCTGGACTAGGGGCCACTCTATTGAGCTCATCTGAGGTTGATCATCTTCAAAGATCCTATTTCTCTACATTCTCAAGTACTAGGGGGTTAGAGCTGCAACAGTTTTGAAAGGTCACAACTTAACCTATAACATCTGCTTTTATTCAAAGTATCTATGCCATATTAATTAGGAAATAAAACAATCCTTCTACAGAAAAAAAGGGTTTTATATTTATTACCTTTAGAACATCTAAAAACTGTTACTATGCAATATTTGGAAACCCCACTTTCTTTCACACTTCCTCCTCACTAGACACTGTAGAGTAGTAGAATTTCCTTAGAAGCAAAATAAATAAATAATAATGCTTTATGTAGACGTACCTAGATTTCCCCCTTTGTGTGATTATAATAAAAAATATGAATGTGAAAGTTGAAAGATCAGCATTGGGATGTTAGATAAAAGATGACAGAAGAGAGAGAAAGAATGGAATCCATTTATGGCATCAACTCGTGCTTAGCTTTGTGACTTTAATGATTACATAAACTTTTTTGTGGTTTGTTATTCTCAGTTTTGTAATTTTGGATTAAGCAAACAAAGCTCTAAGCTTCTTCCTCATCATTAAAAAAAAAAAAATGCATGAAAAGCCAATAGTCAGAACAAGACAGCTTCCAGGGAGTAGGGTCATTAAGTGTCAGACTGGGTCATGCCAACCCTGCGCTTTTCAAATTCATTGATAGCAATACCCTATCTTTATATGTTCTTCTACAGAATCCTAGTATGTGGCACAAAAGCGCAGCCATTCCAATGGTTCCACGTAATCGGCCCAGGATCCACTTCCCCACACTCTCCTTTTTCTTTGCTAGAAATCTCTGAAAATTTAGAGGAACACAATTTGCAGCTATAGTCACCTTTTGATCTTAGGAATGAATGCATTTAAACCTCAGGGAAGTTGTTTACTTGCCAGCTCTTTCCTCCTTGCCAAGACAGAGTAAAGACCGGAAGCCTGTCTCCTAAGCTCCATTCCCACTATTCTCTGCCCTCCTGGGACCAAGGGGTGTTTCTGTAGTCATCAGCTGTGTCATAACTCATCTGTACTTTGCCTAAAAGGCACACAGCGTAGACACCAGAGAAAAGGACACAGCCCAGACCACAGAGGGAGCTGGAGTATCACAGAGGTCAGCTTCCTCATTCCCATTAAAAGAAACTGAGCTCCAAAAAAAGTTGAGATTTGTCCCAAAGCATGTAGGTGCTTATGATCTACAACTCATTGTTCAATATGGAAGAAAAAAATGAGGTGTGACTGTAACAGAAAGCCACGTTATTGCAAAGTGTCCCAGTGCCTGGCTGATGCCCCAGAATACAGCTCAAAGGGATTCAGTAATCACCATGTTTTGGAAATGAGAGCCTGGCTGTGTGACAGCTTGATGTCAGCCAAAAGTATGTCATCTTCCAGTAAGAAGAATATGGTATCTGCTTAAAGGCTAAGAAGTAAGGTTTTGGATAATCTCAGACTTTACCAAATTCAGTTATTTCCTTTAGGACAATGTTCATGAATATGCACTATGCCCAGTAACCATCTGATCCTAGGAAATAGCATTACCCACTTCCCAAAGGAAGTGAATGTTCTATTTACAAGGAGACTGGATGCAATCTATGTGCTATCATTTCCCATGACAGCGCCCTGCGTCTTATAACAGGCCTGTGTTTTCATGTGTGTATTTATATTATAATGACTGTAAGAGTCCCCCTTAAAATATTAACCACATTTTTGGGACCATTGGATGACATAATAGTTATGTCACTGGACTCCTATGTAGTCGACCACGGTTCAAGTCCCAGACCCGGCAACTTAAAACTCATGCAGGGCACATGTGAATTCCCACTCAAGATCCTGAGAGGAGAATGAAGGAGAAGGAACTGTGGTGTGGCCATCCCCTGGGGGGGGGGCGATTTCTCCTTTCTGTCATTCTGTCTCTCCCTGTCTCTCTGGTGCCCTTTAGCAAAAATCTCTAAAAAAAAAAAAAAAAAAAAAAAAAGGAAAGAAAAGAAAAGGAAAAAAAGACACATAGTTTTATGTAGTAGCCATCTAAGTAGCCAAGATCACTAAGTCTGATCTGTTTCTCTAGTCCTATGGAGAATATTCGTTTGACCTTAATTATGGCGATCAATATCATTCTGAGCAAAGTCTAGACATTTCTTCAGAGTGACACATGGTAACAGGTTTTCCAGATGTGTAGATCCATAGTTCCTTCTTTCAGATAGAATTACAGAATCCTAATGTCAGTGCGGTGGTTCTTACGCCCTTCCCCTACAGGAAAGGTGTCACCAGCAGGAACTTTGTGGGCTGTATCAAGAACCTGGAAATATCCAGATCGACCTTTGATTTACTCAGAAATTCCTACGGAGTGAGAAAAGGCTGTGTACTGGAGGTGGGAAATGTTTATTAATATTGGGATGGTTTCTATAAATGTCCATTGATTTATCAACATAATAATGTAACAGAATCCAGGGGCCAGAAAGTAATGCCATGGTGGTACACCTGGACCCACCTGGGAAGGTCCCAAGACCTCTGTACTTCACGGATGCCTACCTGCCCATGATCTGGTCTAGCTGAAACTGGAGGTATCTCACAGTGTGAGGACCCTATTGTGGGTGTCTGCCTTCCCCTGCCCCATGGAAGAAATAAATAAATAAACTTAAGAAAAATAATCTGAACCAGTGGGGTAGAAGAGAGATGATGGGGAAATGGGCAAGAAGCTCCATCATGCAGCCTGCGGGAGGACACCTACCATGCTTATTCCTCTTTCTCCACATCCAGCCTATCCGAAGTGTTAGCTTCTTGAGAGGCGGCTACGTTGAATTGCCACCCAAGTCTTTGTCACCAGAATCAGAATTACTGGCCACGTTTGTCACCAAGAGCAGCAGCGGCATCATTCTGGCTGCCCTCAACAAAGAAGTGGAGAAGCAGGGATATCCACAGGCACCTGGGGTAAGTAGCCCCATGCTATGAAGCCCCAGGCTCAGGGAAGGAATGACTTCAGGAAACACTGAATGGAAAATCACTGACTCAGGAGTGTTTGTTGTAGCTGTGTTCCCAGTAGTTTATGGATCTGCACTTGTAATAAGAAAAAGTTATTAGTGCTGAATGCCTTCCCCTTATGAATCAGTGATTTCTTGTGTTGCCTAATCCATCTTTCTTGACTAAAGACTGAGTCAAAAGATTTTTGCTGTCTACCTCTAATTTCTCTAATTTTTAAAAAGGTCATTCAGAGAGTACATGCTGCATTTTCTTCCACTTGTTCTGGTCATTACTCTTCATTCTAAAGCTAAAAGAGCAAGTCTTCAAGTTCCATTCAGGTTTTTAGTGAACCACTCCCTGAACCAGGATTTTCTTTGTCTATTATAACAAGAGCTTGAAAGCAGCAGAATGAGAATGTGCCTTATCCTGAACATAGTAGATCAACAGTAGAAAAGAGGAAAGAAGAAGGCTTTCTATACTTACTCTGTTTCAGTGGTCTAGGTGATATTTACCCTATCCTCTGCTCAGTTGTGCTTATGTCACATAATTCGAAGAGATTTTTTGGAATGCTACTGTATTGTCTCAACAAAATGGAGTCTGTGCAATTGTAGTCTAGAGCACTGTTCTCTGTCGTGCAAGATGCTTTACAGACATGGCTATATAATTATCACATGCCTGTTGTAATGTGGATGCTGGATTCTACATTTTACTGAGGAAGAAATGGGTTCAGATGGGACCAGCAGTTGGCATAATAGCTATGTTGCTGGACTCCCACGTAGTCAACCACAGTTGAAGTCCCAGGCCCTGTGGCTTAAATTCACGCCAGGCATGTGTGCATGTGTGCCCAAGATCCCAAGAGGAGAATCGAGGAGAAGGGATTGCGGTGTGGTGATCTTCCCTGGGGGGTGATTTCTCCTTTTCTGTATCTCTGTCTCTGTCTTTCTGGTGAGCACACATGTCCTATACAAGAACCTCTCCAAAAAAGAAATGGGTTCAGAGAACCTGGTTAGCTGCCCAAGGTCACACAGGTGTTATGTGTCAGAGCCAGGATTGCAGTACTGGTCTGCAGACCCCAAACACAGAAGAACCACTCCTTGATGAACTGACAATGGCTGAGATTGGTTTGTGTTTCCATTAGTCTTTTTTCTTTTAGTTAAAGTGAGCATTGACATGACCTAAAATTAGCCATTTAAAAATAAACAATTCAGTAGCATTTAATACATTCATGATGCTATGAGACCACCTCCTCTTTCTAGTTTCAAACATTTCATCACCCAAAATGAGAAAGTGTATGCTCACTAAGTAGTCACCCTCATTCCCCCTCCCTTTCTACTTCTGACAACCACCTATCTGCTTTCTGTCTCTATGGATGGCTCTACCTACTCTGCATCTCATATAAAGGGAATTCTGTAAGATGTGATCTTTTGCGTCTTTCACTTATCATGTTTCAAAGCCCATCCACACTGCAGTGTGGGTAATACTTCATTTCTTTCTTTTTTTTAGTGAATTTGCCATTTTATTTTATTTTATTTATTCATTTTTTATTTATTTTTATTTACATTTTTAATACATTCAATCACATTATTTAGCTTACAAGGTGAGCATTTCAATATATGAACATTTCTCCCCAGTTGAGTTGATCAAAATATAACAACACTACCTCCCTGTCTCAACAATGCTGTCTCCGTATCCTTCCTCCAAATGTTCTTCCCCAGGCCCCACTCCTCCACACACACACATCTGGCATTCACATCCACCTCTTGTGTTTGTACATCCTTTAACCCATCAGTTTCAGTTATAGAGTGCGGACATTCAGTATATATTAAGTGGGGACATACAGTGTCTCTCCTTCATAGCCTGGCTTGCCTCATTCAGCAGTAAATCTTCCATATTCTTCCACATACTTCATTTCTTTTGATGGCTGAATAATATTTTACTTTGTGTACCTACCACAATTCACTTATCAGTTCACTAGTGGACATTGTATTATTTCTTCCTTTTCACTGTTATAAATAATGCTCCTGTCAATACGTGTATACAAGTATTTGTTTGTTTTCAGTTCTTCTGGGTATATACTTAGGAGTGAAATTACTGGGCATATGGTAATTTGTTGTTTCCTTTTTTTTTTAAGACTTTTGTCATAGAACATGTGTACTCTCCGGAGAGAGAGTGTGTGTGACAGAAAAAGAGTGGGAAAGTGAGAAATCATCCCCTAAGGGATAACTATGTTCAAGTCCCTTCCTAATTCTCTTCTTGGGATTTTGAGCATGCATGCACAAGTGTCCAGTGTGTTTTTTAAACTGTAAGTTTAAGACTCAAACTGTAGAGTTGGCCATGTAGGACCCATTCCCTTAACCATCATGCTACCTGCTGGCCCTTATTTAACTTTCTAAGGAACTGTCAAACAATTTTCTTCCAGCCTTATTAGGATTACTTGCAAATCAAAGTCTGCCTACTAAACTAGGAAAAAAAAAAAAGGAATAATATTACCCAATGCTGGCAAGGGTATGGTGAACTGGCATCCCAGTTCTGCTGGTGGCCCTGTGAATCGTTATACCTCTTTCATTGTGGCAGCAAGCTTCAAGAGCTTCAGAGACTTTCAAATGTTTCAACTCTTTAATCTCACTTTTATAAATGTTAGAAACAATGTCACCTGCAAATTTTTTTAAGTTAAATGTTCATATTTGTGGTAATAAAAGATTAGAAACTACTTATAATTTCATTTGAAGAAAGATAAATTACAATACAAAGAGTCTTCCAAAAGTTCATGGAAAATGCGTATTGTGAATACACAATGCACAAGGACCAGAAGTTGGCATAATGGCTATGTTGCTGGACTCCAATGTAGTCAACCACAGTTCAAGTCCCGGATCTGGTGGCTTAAAATCACACTGGACACATGTGCGTGCGTGTCCAAGATCCTGAGAGGAGAATGGAGGAGAAGGGATTGCGACATGGCCATCCCCTCTTGGGGGTGATTTCTCGCTTTCTGTCTCTCTGCCTTTCTCTCTGTCTTTCTGGCAAACGCACGCACCCTATAGCAAAAATCCTCTCCCAAAAAAAAGAAAGAAAGATGGACACAGATTTCAATTTATTTTTTGTACCTAAATAAACTCATACTTTAATCCATTTTCCATGAACTTTTGGAAGTCTCCTAGAGTATCTACTTGTTGGTACATAATGTAGCAATAAGAAATAAATATGAGCACTATGTAGACCTGGAAATCTTCTATGTATTTAGTGATAATTGCATAATACAGAATGCATATTGTATGAACATTTAATACATAATGCATATTGTACGAATATTTAAATTTTAAATATTATGTTATGGGCCAGTTGGTAGTATAGTGGTTAAATTGGCTGGATCCCATAAGGCCAACTGGATCCCACATGGCCAACTTTGAGTTCCAGACCCATTGGCTTGAGAAACACACCAGGAGTGTGAGCATGCTTGCCCAAAATCCTGAGGAGAAGAATAGTGTGATGGCTATCCCCCATGGGGGGTACTTTTTCACATTCCCTGTTTCTCTTCCTCTGTCTCTCTGGTGTATACACCCTGTAGCAAATTAAACCATCAAAAAGTAGTTGTGTTGTTCAATGACGAGATTCTTAAACTGTTTTGTGGTATTTCTTCCCACATCATAATATGGAAAATTTAAAGAGCACATAGTAATGTGTTTTGTATGGGGAATTCTCTCCACACCCTTCCCAGCCCTTCTTTTCCATCATGCTGATTGGAGGCCACGTGGAAGTGCATGTCAGTCCTGGGGATGGAACAAGTCTGAGAAAAGCCCTGCTGCACGCTCCTACGGGCACATTCAGTGATGGACAAGAGCACTCCATCTCCATGGCTAGGAATCAAAGGTACTGTACACACAACGAGGCATGTGCGTAACCAGGGCAGAGGGCATTCTGGCCATGCTTCCGCAGGAATGTGATGGGGATACTCAGGATGGTGTCCTTGGCAGTCAGTCTTTGTAGTTTCAATGTAATTCTAGAACCTCACTACAATGCCTACTTGGGAATCCATTTCAACTGTTTGGTAATAAGATGTTGTGGATTTTCATAATTGAGCAACCATAACCGAGCCTTTTACTGAGCCCTAATATAAATTGTCTTTACATTCTATTGATTCTGTAGTAAATAGTATTATATTGGGTCTTTGGGAAACTCATGACACATTTTTCTATGCAAAAATGTGTCATGATTTTTCTAGTCATATTGGTTCACTGTAGCAGCATCCCTCCAAAACTGTAGACCAAATGTTTTCAAAGCACATTGGGCATTTTCCTCATAAGTCAAGAGGTAAAATGAAAATACTCTCCCCCAAAGCACTTGAATTCAATGATATTAAATAGTGTTTCTTTCATCTCTGGAGAATGTTTCATTATAAATTTTAATTTTCAAGATTCACCTTTTTATTCCCATAATGTCATGTTAAAAAGTGTCTTCTGGGAACATTAATTATTCGGGAAGAATTTTCTGGGATTATGTATTAAAAGAGTTGTTGTGTTATTATTTTAAAACTTTTCATTCCTCATCTTCTTTGATCTTTCAGAATCATCACTGTCCAAGTGGATGAGACTAATCCTGTAGAAATGAAGTTGGGTCCTTTAGCAGAAAGGACGATAAACATATCCAACCTGTACATAGGAGGAATTCCGGAGGGTGTGGAGACCTCGGTGCTTAAAATGAGAAGATCATTCCATGGCTGTATCAGAAACCTGATCTTAAACATGGAGTAAGTGTACCTGTGTTCTCAGCCTCTTTTGGGACTTTCTGATCGTTGCTGGTGAGTGCTAATGTTATACTTCAATCTAATTTTGCCGTTTGAGATTATCTAAAGGCCGAGCAAGTTTCTACATAACAAATGAACACCATTATTCAATCATAAAATTCCCTCATATGGATTTTACTGGATTAGAATGATGGACAAACATAGCTATCATTCTTGAAAGAAAAAAAAAATTATTAAGCAGTAGCTCCCCAGGATTGTCTATAAATAGCATTGGTTTAAATATATTTTTGACATCATTTTAAAGAAGGGGATCCATGCAGGCACAGGATACGTTGCTAGATCTGCAGAATAAAGGGACATATGACAAGTGTAGTTCACGACCTCCTGGAGAGGGGAAGCTTATAAACCAGAAATCAGTGTTGGTCCAGCCATGGTGGTGCAGATGTTTGGACACCATTACAAAGTACTGGGCTATAGGTGAGGGCTGGGAGTTCAGATCCCAGGTCTACCTGAATATGTCAGGTAAATCCACTTGTCTGGCTGGAAGGTGGGGGGAGATCCAAAATGTAGAAGATCCTATAGCAGTCTCTGTCTCTTAATAAAGATATATATAGAGAGAGAGAAAGGGAAGGGAGGGAAAGAGAGAGGAAAAAAACAACTTAAAATATAGAAAAAAAAATCAGTGTTGAATTAGGTTACCGTGGGAACTAGAGACCAAATCTGTCCCTGACACAGCCCACAGCCAGGCTGCAGGGGTTTGGGATGATGGCATTGGAGCCGACTCCTGAGGGCTGATCAGACATGGCCAGGAGTTAACATGGGCATTGGCTTAGGGGCAGGTTGCCATCTCAAGGGAAAAATCAAACAGAAAAATATGTAAATAGAATACATGGACTCTTAATCACTGGGAGAAATAGTCAGTTTGTCTAAAAAAAAATTCATGTCTTTTTTTTTTTTAAAGTTTCTTTCTTTCATGAAGGTGTGGAGAAAGAGAGAGAGAGACCAGCCCCTCAATAGGTCTTATGCCATGACCCTCTCCCAAGCTTTCCCAATCAGCTGGGATCAGGGGCATGTATGTCCGGCATGTACTGGCAGACCCGGGAACAGAACCCTGATCTTCCATATGGCTCCCAGCACTGCAGAGTGGCATGGTACCACTGTGCCACCACGATTGGCCCTAATGGTCTTTAAGGGCTTTTAATTGTCAGTAATCAAATGGCATGGCTTCATGTGTTGGTTTATATTGTCTTAATTCTCAAAACTCTTTCTCGTTCATACCTAGGCTTTTGGATTTCACTAGTGCTATTGGCTATGAGAGTGCAGATTTGGACACCTGCTTGCTTTCAGAAAGGCCCAGTCTTCACAGAGAGGACAGCGAGCTCGTACCAGTGCCCCAGCCGGTCCCAGAACCAGTAAGAGCAGTTTTCTTTAATGATATCGGTCGGGGCCAGGCAGAATAGAAAGCATATGCCAGAAAAGGTTAAAATGGGACCTTGGTGATGGAGAAAGGTATTGGGAAAGCTGAAAGTGGAACTATTAAGCAAAGGAGGAGGTGGTGTCATCAGCACCCAGGGTGACCCAAGGGAGCAGAAACAGAGCAGGGAGGGTCTCCTGGTAGGAGCCCACCCACAGGAAGGCCACCTGAAGCTGGCAGGAGGGAGGAGTACTTGGGCTTCCTCCCCCTATCCACCTCCAGTTTCCCAGCAATGCCATCCATAGGCAGAAGCCACTTTTCAAAGGAGCCTGGGAAAAATAGTCCCCAGGGATCATCCCCCATGATAAGAGGTAGAGCAGGAACAGAGTGGGAATGGCTCTGAGCAAACTTGCAGAGGACACAACCCAGCGTTTGCTGATTGTAAGGTAACCTGACTGGGTTGGGCAGAGTTTCTCTTAGGACTCCTTGGTGATTTTAGATTTAGTCAGAAAACATAAAAGTAAGTACTTGATGTAAGCCACTGCATCATAGTTACTTTTAAAAAAAGAGAAAAAGGAAAAGAAAAGAAAAGAAAAGATAAAAAGAGGGACGAGTAGATGGCGTAACGGTTACGTCTATGGACTCCCACATGGCTGACTGTAGTGTAAGTCTCGGACCTGGTGGCTCGAAACTCATGCTGGGTGCATGTGCATGCATGCTCAATATCCTGAGAGGAGAGTGGAAGAGAAGGGATTGTGGCGTGGCCCTCGCCCCGGGGGGGTGATTTCTCACTCTCTGTCTCTCTCTCTGTCTCTGTGTCTCTGGCAAGCACATGTGCCATATAGCAAAAATCTCTTTAAAAGAAGAAAGAAAGAAAAAGATTAGACTCCTTTAGGAAAAATCAGTTTGGGCAAATATTTCTAATGACAATTATTGGTTTGTTTTGTTTTGTTTTTTCCTCCTGATTTTGCTCTCTCCTTGGTTGAAAATATGTATTCTACTCATTTAGATAATGGCACTGTATCAAAAGCAGTGCCTTCTAGCAAGACCCATCTCAGAGTTCAGGACAGCTTTCTTGGCAGCATCTGCCCACCTCAAGCCAGAAGGCTGAGTCTGGGGCCTCCTTCAACATGGAGTCAGTGTGTACAGGCAAGGTCAGGGCAGCCTGCAGAACCAAGCCCTTTCCCTGGCTCCCAAGCCTCTGTCTTGGGTCTAAGAGTGCTTCCAGCCTGGCCCCTCCTGCATGCACCTTGCTCCTCTCAGTGTAGACTTAGAGACCTCAAAATGAGGCCCTGTGACAGTCACCTGTGGGTACTTCTAATTTTTTAGTGTCTACGCTGCAGCCATTCCAGAGCCTTGGGTCACAGTGGAGGGCTTCAATGGGGCCGCAGGTAGGCCTCTGCACCTTAGGCCTGATAAAATTTCATGGGAGAGACTCCAGTGTCTCAGGGTCATGTGAATTTAAGTGAACTTGAGTGGGATTAAGGTAAAAGGCAGAAGTTCTGCTTGCCTTCTCAGAGTTAAAGGCTACCGAATGCACTATTTAAACCCCCAATGAACTGAGTGCACACTCGTGTTATTCTTGCTATTGTTCTGGTACAGTTGCTTTTGGGTGTTTTCTCCTGGATGTGTTGTGGTTCTGGCCATGGTGGCTGAGTGTCCAGTCCATCTCTTCCAGGAACAGTGTGCAGTGGACACAGTTCCAGAGTATGTTTCCGGTGCCCATCAGTTTGGCCTCACACAAAGTAGCCACCTCATGCTGTCTTTCGATCAGTTGGCTGTCAGAAAGAGGTAGGTACCTGCCTCAAGTCCTTTGGCAGTGTCTCATTGCTAGATGAATATGGGAGGTCTTCTGCAGCAGCAGGGACTTTTCCAAAATAAGTTTCTTATATTCTATAAGGAAGTGTTCGGCTTCCGACCAAATGGGAGCTGGAGAAGGCAGAGATAAGAGCACAGAGATGGTGCAGATCACACACTTAAATTATGGTTAAGTGAGTCCTGCGGGTTCTGTCCTATTCCTTCTCGATGCTGGCCTTTCCTGGAGCTGCCACTTTATATGTATACAGAGAAGCGTGCAGATCTCTATTTGAATCAATCTTCATTCTCAAATCCAAAGTCCCCTGGATCTGTCCTCATCTGGACTTTCAACTGCCTTCTCCATCAAGTGCTCACTAATCTGATGCAATTACTCCAAGTTTTTCATTGTAACCACCAAATTCCTATCTCCATACCCACTCAGTCTGCATACTCCCTGTGGCCCTTGGACTACTTATCCTCCAAGGGCTCTTCTTCTGGGAAGCTGACCTATTCCACAGAGCTCAAGGCCTAGGGTTTGAGGTTCCCTGGACTCCACTTTCCTCCTCTGTCCTCCTGCAAGCCTCCAGATGGTCTGCTGTCCATGCCTGCAGATGGTCACACCCTGTACCTCTCATTGCTGTCAGCTTTGATCACTGCTCAATCTCACTATCCTCAGATCTTAACTCCCTGTCTTTATTCTGCAGCTCCTCCCATTATTCTCTTTGCATTCAGCAGCCCCCAGCCCCTGACCTTCAGGTCCTCGGGAGCAT